TCTGAAAGTCAGGCGATTGGTGAAAACTCTGAATAACCCTGAACCCAGCACACAGTCCCTAGGAACAACCACTACCTTCCTCAAGCATCAAAGGTCATCTGGATCATCCCATTCTGGTTCTCTGAAAAATAAATAATGTATTAAAATTTCCATTTTAAGAAACAAATGAAACCAAACCTGTATAGTGCATAAAGCATATTTTCTTAAATATTTTGTTTCCTTACTTGGTCAGATATACTAACTCTGCTATTAGAGGTGCATGCCTTTCATTGCTTTTCAGAACAATACAATTATGGTGTTTTTATTTTTTGTGAAATTAAAATTAAATATTAGAAAATAATAAAATAAAAAGTAAATTAAAAAAATAATAAATAGAACATCTACTCTTTGCAACATGTTCCAAAAGGTAGATGTCTTATTTATTATTTGCAACCATTTGTTCATTTAAAGCCACCTAAAGCAAAACAATACGTTGGTTCTAGTTCAAACACTTTATTTTATCTTTCCAAATATAAACTTTGACTTAAAAATGGATTACTTTGGTTTGCCTGAACTTTGGGCATGGAGGTGGGTGTGCTAAAGTTGTTAGCACAGCTTTGTTATGTTAGTCTGGAAAAAAAGGGTTTTTGGTAACTGTTTTGCTAAACAGATGTCAAAAGTAATTCTTCCCCAAAAAGATTTAAACTGATTGTAAAACAGTCAACTGGAAACTTTAAAGTTCCCTATTCTTATAACCATCTCTTTTACGTAGTTGAACTTTTTTACATTGCAACATTTAATATAGAAAAATCCTGTAAATTCCAGCAGGAGAAAGGTGTTATTTGTTTCTTGTTTTCTGATTCATAATTTTAGTGAGAATGTCAAACAAATTCATCTTGTCACTACTGCTATGGTTGTCTTATAAATTTTTCCCCCAAATCCATTAATATTTAAGAAACCTTATGTGATGGCCTTTAAAAATCCAGTTATCACAATAGGGTAGACAAAGCAAAATCAAACTTAATGAGAAAATTGAAGAGACTTAATTTCATTTCTTTCTGGTGTGAGAACAAAAGGTTGTGAACTAAAATAAATATATTTGCCTTTATGTGTTTAAGCACTGAATAAAAAAACTTTTTTAGAGTAACAAATGAATGCTGGTCTCTGCAAGAAACAGTAGGAAATACTACTATTCCTATTTACTAGAAATATGGCTTAAAATACTTCTTGAGTTTGTTTTATTTTTTAATCTGGTCACTTAAGCTCTTTGCCTAGGGTTTAAATACAAAAAGGTTTCTCATAACAGTATCTTCAGTGGCAATGCAAGATAAATATATTGAGGGAAATAGAGAATTATGTTTTGAGGCTGATTTTTTGTTATGGGACTCAATACCCTTTTTACCTTGTTTTTGATTGTTTTACCAACATTGATGTCTACATCAATTAAAAATGAAAATGTTTCTAAGTATTTTGTAGTAAATACAATGGGTCTCATTCCCCTGACTCTGAAGAAGCCACCAATACGGCAGCGTTGAGAAGGATGTGGGATGAGAGGCTGATAAAATCTCAAAGATGAACTAGGGTGCCAAAACGAAGAAAGACAAAAATGACTGTAGTTTCAATGCACATACGCTGGAATCAGATGCATCTATCAAGGACCTGAAGCGCAAAAGATCAAGTACGACATCATTGGGCTGACTGAGATGAGATCAATCACATCACGCCATTTTCGACACTGGAGAACTGTTCCTCGAAAAATGTGACAAAAGAGGTGTCAGTGGTGTTGGTGTCCTTGTCAACACGAACTTGGCCATGAGCATTGATTCATTTGAATGCCTAACAACCTGAATCAGGCAATTACACTTGAAGAGATGTGGCTCACTGCCAGCAGCTTCTATCTTCCTTGTCTACACACGAACATCCAATTATAATGAAGGAGAAATTGAGAAATTCTACATGGAGCTGGAGAAGTTCTATAAAGAAGACCACACCTTCTACATGATCATTGTTGGTGATTTTAATGCCAAGATAGGACCGAGAAGATCAGCAGAACTCCACATTGGGACCCTTGGCCTAGAATAGAACGAACAGGGTGACAGACTGTCTGAGTTCATCATGTCAACCAAGACCATCCATGGTAATTCACAGTCTGAGAAGGACGAATCTAAACATTGGACATGGGAGTCTCCTAGTGGAAGGTTCCATAATGAAATTGATCACATCATATTCAATCGATGGTATTGCCTGACCGATGTCGCTGTTGTCTTAAAATTCCAAGCAGGATCAGACCACCGTCTCCTTCGTGCAAAATTCTACTTCACAGAGCGGGGAGAAAGGGCTGCAAAGTTTAACAAGAGAACACCCAGAATGACCACCACTGGGAGCTCTTTGGCACTATTGCGGCAACATGGGAAGATGCCATTGTTGACAACATTGACAAGGAATAGGATCAACTGGTTCAGCACCTCCATGATTGTGAGAGGAATGCCAAGAGAGAGATAAAAGGTAAAGGTAAAGGCCCTCCCGTTGATCGTCGATTTGCTCGAGCGGGCCCAGTAACGTCTCCATTGGAGACTTTGTTGTTACTGTGTCTGGCATATCAAATACTCTCGGTAGCTTGCCGGGCTCTCCGAGAGGGGCGGAGGAATCGAACTCGGGTCGGCCATGTTGGCCACGTGCAAGGCGAACGCCCTACCCGCTGTGCTATCGCTCCAGCCCAAGAGAGAGATAGCCACAAAAAAATGCCTGTCGTTGAAAACTCTTGAGCATATTCGCCAGGTAATGCAGAAGACTATCATATGATCCAAAACAATAAAACCTTTTATTAATTCAGTTCATCAAGGCCAGGTATGTCCCCATTCTTTACATGCATCTTATGTTGGTGTTTAAATAATAGTCATATTAATACCTTCAATATTACAAAATTAATTTTTGTATATTATATAAAGGTCATGTTAATTTTATGGTTAATTTAAATTTTAATCATGCTAAAATAGGCAGCTCACTAACTGTATATGATAGTCTTCTGCATTACCTGTTCCTTGAGGATAGTTATATTCATTCTAATGAATGTTTCATTCCTATAATTCTGGATTCTTTTTTTTATTTTAATGTAGGAGTATTGTAATTTATTCAGCCATTGATTAGGCTGATAGAATTGGGCATGAATGCCACTTTGGTTTTTTTCCTTTTTATATATTTATTTATTGAATCACCGTGAGAGCATTTACAAAGTTTTTGGGTTTAAGTCTCGGTCATACAATGATGAAACACCCATCCCTTCACCATTTTCCACCACCCAAGCTCCCAGTAATACCCCCATCCCACATCCTCCCCCTACTTGTGGGGCAGATGATTTCCACATTACTCTCTACTTTGATTACATTGAATATTTCGACACCAGACCCACCATTATTATTTTGGATTTTACCCCGAACTCAGATACGCCAAAAAGTCAACCATAGATAATTTGTTTTCTATTGCTGATTATGAATAATGTATGATGTCACACAGCCGCAGAAGTGGCCATGTGATTTTGGAATTCTGAAATTTTAACAATTAAATCTGCAAAATTTAAATCTGGGATTTCTGCCAAAACCTGCTGGGTTCTACGATTTTAGAGTAACAAATGAACGCTGGTCTCTGCAAGAAACAGTAGGAAATACTACTATTCCAATTTACTAGAAATATGGGATCATGGCCATTAAGCAGCTTGATCAGGAGACAGAGAAGCCATTTCTCGGCGGCAACCTGGGGTCTCGTTGAGGCGGGGAGGAAACAGCCAGCACCACCCCCATCCCGTGAGGACCCACGAGTCTCATCACTGTGGGACCAAACCTGACTATACAATGGCCTCTGGAGGATGGCGGCCACTGAGCCACCTGTGGGAACAGGCGAAGGCATGAAGCCTATTCCCACTTAGGGTGGCCTGGCACCAGTAAACTACTGCTTGGATTGATTGCATTTCTCCCCAAAGCCGCTGGGTTCCGAGATCTGTTTCTGAGTCTTTTGGATCATGGCTGATAAGCAGCTTGATCAGGAGCCAGAGAGGCCTTGCCTCCAATTATATAGCTGAGCTGGAAGTGGTTTGTGGGTGAGTCTCCCAAATACCACATACCTAACTTTTGGCCATTTACTTTCTTGGTAAACTTGGCCTAATGTTGTTGGGGTCTGGCCAAAGGCACAGCAGCAATTTTAGGGTATATATAAGTCTGAAGGTACCATCAGGCTGCTGATGCTTTCGCCTCACAGGTACAGATTGACCTCCTGGCAGCACCATATGCCTGGAGAGGATTAATTCTTCAAAAATATTCTTTTGCATTTTTGTATTTTGTAAAACAATCAGGTATTAAGATTGTTCAGATCATTTCATTACAAATTCTTACATTTGTGATGAGATGATCAAAATAATGATGAATGATAATACATCCTAAGAGAGGAATAGTGTTAAAGGTAAAACAATTTGTTGAAAGTGTTTGAGTTGATTATGACATCAGCTACCCATCCTATCCAAATAAAAGCAAAGTTTTAATTCAAAGGAAAATATGACGGTTTTTTAGCAATGAAGTTTACTGACTATATAAATGTGATATCTGGAATTATAAAATTCTCCTAGGAAATGTTGACGGTGAAAAAAATACTTTATTATTTATGGAAGCCAGAGTAGTGTTTGACACTTTTCAATCAATTAATGCAAGAAATGAATGCCATGATAAATAAAATGGAGATAATCATTGAAAGAACATAAAATTATGAACATATGCTTACAGAGAGGAGCAGAGTATCATGAAAACTTGTTTGACAGTTACTGTCACCTAACAAACCTGTCTTTGACAGAGTTATTTTCAATAAATGCAATTAAGAGCATAGCTATTAGTTTAAAGGTGTTTTGGTGAAACTGGCCTTGTTTTATTTACCCTTTCTAAGCAGGAAAAATATAAAATAGATAGGATGTCACTGTTTTTTCAGTAGGTAAATTTCACCAATTAAAAGTATGAGACACTAAAACCTTTGTAGCCAATTATACGAATCTTTATTTAGATAATGAATGATTATCAAAAAATGAAGGAAAAGTAGAGTTGGAGTACGAGTTACCTAAAGGCAGGGATTGAGGTCTTAGGATCATTCATGGTTATGAAGGTGTGTTAACTTTTTACATAAAAATCATGAAAGTTAAAACAACTGTAATCATTTTAACAAGCCATCAACGAAATAAACTCTCTTTAAGAAAATAAAAAGAAATATAATACCCACAATGCAAATATTTTATTCAATCAATTACTGAACAATCAGGTATTAAGAGCATAATACTGACATTTTAGAAATTAAATTATAAGGTGATTCATCAGAGTTTAGAAAATAAAATCTATAACCACTGGAATGCTAATTCTTCAAGGAATCTTCTCAGATGTAAAGACTTGAGAAGCTTGTCTTCTGGCCTTGAAAAGAAATTTAAAAAATCTCATTAATTGCAAGCAAGAAATCAGTATCAACTATAATTCTAATAAAATTACAGACATTTTTCAAGATAATGAAAATTCTGAAAAAAATTCAAACTTCAAATTTAAGACATTAGAAACAAACATTTTAAACCTGACCCATACTATATTGTAAAGTTCTTCTTAAACAAAAGGAAGTTTTTAAAAATAGCTTTCTATTAAATAATAAGCAAAAAAAGCAAAATGATGGCTCAAAATTAGAGAGAAGTGGTAAAGAGAAGAGTATGAACCTAGAAGAAAACCATCTTCCTCATTATTGCCTTAAATAATCATTTAAAGATTTAAGCTTTTAATGCTGTTTACAACTTGAGCTATTCCAATCAAGTTTATTGTATCAGACTAATTTAGCACTGTAGCACTGTCCTCCATTGTTCATCGATTTGCTCGAGCAGGTCCAGTAACGTCTCCATATTTTAATAAACAGTAATTTAAAATAACAATATAAATCAAGTCTCATGACAATTTGATTTCATCCTATACATTATCATTTCACATCATTCATGACAACAGCATTATAAAATTGAATATACTTATGAAAACAAGTATTTGAACGTCTGTGAAACTTGTTACTGTGTTTGGTATATCGAATATGTCACGAGTAGCTTGTCAGGCTTTGCCATGCGAGCGAGATACTCTTGGTAGCTTGCCGGGCTCTCTGAAAGAGGGGTGGAATTGAACCTGGCTCGGTCAGGCTGGCTGTGTGCAAGGCAAACGCCCTACCGCTGTGCTATTGCTCCAGCACATTAGACTAATTTAAACAAACTGATTAACAAAATGAAGAACATTACTCTTATATTGTATAACAATAATCAATCAGAATGTAAAAATAACAGGTCATTGAATACTATTTGGTGGAATTAGGATTTTTTTCTAAAATAAATCCCTTCATCTAAGCACCATATATAGAACAGCATAAATTATAAACACACAAAATATATTTATAGTAGAGCTATCTCAGGTAATTATAAGACAGTGGCCAAACTAGAAACATTTTTTTCTTTGAGAACTGATCTCTCCTCCTTGAAAAGATTTAACCCTATTCAAACTCTCAAGTTGAATATATATTTGTGAGCAAATGTCCCTGGACTTTTAAATTATTAAAAAGTACTTTAATTTAGCTATAGTTAATAAGATGCCTAAAATGCAATTTGGGTACTATTTTCTTTAGGAGCCACTCCTGGTGGTGCTTTAATACTCAGCAGTATTGGGGATTGAACCCACTGGTCTGATAGACTAGGCATGTGCTCTACCACTTGAGCGCTCTACCTTTTAGTATCACAAATTTGACACTGAAGTCTTTGCAAAAAATACCCTGTCATAATAAAGCTGAAAAAACTCTTAAATAAATATTGCCTTTTTATTCCAATAAACAATTTTTGTCTATTCTCTCACAACCTTAGTATTTTAAGTGTCCTTTAGTCCCTTGTCTCCTATGGGGAAACAAATCAATGTGAAATTCTCTAACAGGTTCATTATTTCTTTTTTTTTTCTTTTTCTTGTGTCACACCTCACAATGCTCACGTCTTATTGCTGTGCTCAGGAATAACTTTTGGTGGGGCTGGGGGACCATAAGTGGTGTCAAGAATTGAACCTGAGTTAGCAACCTTCCCAACTGAATTATCTTTCCAATCCCCAAAGCTTTTTTAATATCTTGCAATTTCTACACTTACTCTGCTACTCCACAGTTTCAGTGTATACCAAGTAGAGACATCTAGGGCTTTTTTTTTTTTCTACAATACACACTAAGTCATCACTTTATTCAAAAATAAAGGCGCAACTATACTAAATTATGGAACTGTGCAAATCCGACAAACCTTCTAGCATAAAACAGATTTTTAAGAATCATGAGTCATATTTTAATAAGCAGTAATTTAAAATAACAATATAAATCAAGTCTCATGACAATTTGATTTCATCCTATACATTATCATTTCACATCATTCATGACAACAGCATTATAAAATTGAATATACTTATGAAAACAAGTATTTGAAAGTAATCAGGAACCATCTGTAAAATTTAATAATATCCATTACAGAAATTAAAAGATATTGGAGCAAAATGTCCTTGACAACTTAGTGAACAAAACAGGAGATACAAATGATAACACCAGTTTTAACAAACACTTCAACATTCCTTAGTTTATAATGTCTGCAATTTATGTAACAAATATTTAGCTACTTACAACTTTTTCCTCTGGAGAAAGAATACCCTCTACTGCCACTATCTGGTATTGCTTATGTTTTAAATTTCCTACAAATTTCCGAAGTTGCTTGATACTGCTAGCCTCCATATCTGGCTTTAGTAGTTTCTGCATTTCTCGAGAAGGACACCCAGGATCAAATATTAATAAACACAATGTTCGGTTTTTCCTCTCTTCAATTCCAACAACAGTTCGACTATGACCTATGAAAAAATAAAGTACCAGATGAATATGTATGTGTCTGTTACTTATGTAGAACTATTCCTATAAATGTCATTTCTACTTTTCCTCTGTATATAGTATGTGTGAATAAGTATATTTAGAGTAATTTTGTTTAGTCAATCCTTCTGACACTTAAGTATTTGAGTTCTCTCAAACCTAAAACACAAGTCCTACATTATAATCTTCAGTTTTCTTTTGTACAATTTTACTTATCTTAAAGTCTTCACTACACTGCCAGGCTTTTCTATACTGCCAGATTTTTTACTACTCCTTTCCTATTAACTTGTCATTCTTATTCAAATGAAATTTACTTAGCATGGAACAAAAGCTCTCATGGTTCTAACAAAAAGTAACCTAAAGGTTGTAACATTTATAGTTTATGTACTGAAACAATGAAATCAATAATATTTATTTTTTTATGCCTGGAATTATACATTATTCATTCAACAAAAAGTTATCAACTTTCCAGATTCCAAACTATTATAGGCAACTAGGAATACCGAGGAAAACAAAGAGAGATAGGATAACAAGGTAAGATGTTAAAATAGATGGTCACAGGATGACCTCTCCATAGTGAAGTATGGGTAAAGATGTGAAAAAGATATTGAATGAACAACAAAGGAAGAGTGAACCTAACACCCTGAACATGCCAAGGATGTCATCCTTCATTTAGGAATGCATTGGAAAGACCTAAACAGAGTTCTGAAAATCAAGACATGGTCACATTAGTGTCTTTTTTCCCACTCTCACTCAGAATTACCTTTCTGAACGCAAAATCTAATTCGTCTTATTAAGTTTTACTTATTATTATCTGTGAGTTATACCAACCTTGATGCTGAAGATAGATAGGAGGTTTGAATGTACACACTACTTTTGGAGTTCCTTCTCTCTCTGAAGAATAATAGTTCAATATCCATTCAAATAAACGAGGGTGTGTACCCAAAGGTCCCGTTGATTTGTGAAAATCAACGATACGGCATCTATATAAAATTGACAAAATAGATAAGAAAATCTTCTAAAGAATATTTTCATCCATGCAATTATTCTATATAATGCAAAAAAATTTCTTAGTTTAGAGTTAATTTTAGTTCATCATTATTTTCCAGTAAGGAAAGAAAATTATAAATGAGAACCTCACTTGGCTTATATTTTGTACTTAAAAAATTATTTGGGGTCATACCCAATGGTGCTTAAGGCTTACTCCTGACTGCGCACAGAGAATACTCCTGCTGGTGCTCAGGGGACCATATGAGGTGCCAGGGATTGTACCTACATCAGCTCTATGTAAGGAAAATGCCCTGCCTGATGTAGCTATCAAAATATACAAAAAACATGAATATAAGAAGTTACCCCCAGTGTCTACCACATTATTATTTGTAATAGAAAAAATAAGGAAGCAACCAAAATGCCAGTTGATTGATATTGAATAAAGATGTGACTAACAGATATATAGTAAAAAGACAAAACAATAGGTAGATAATCTGGTGGATATTGATATTTGAATTAAGGTTATCTGATAGGAGATGCAGAAAAAATAGGGAGGTATAAAAAATCCGATAGAAACCTAGGTAGTAAAACAAAAGGAAAGATAAAAATGAAACATTACCAAGAAATGCATAAGTTCAAAGAAGTTCAGTGACCAACTAGAAAGAGTTCCAGGAAAAAAAATAAAGAAATGGAAATTTCTAAAATATACTTCACTTTGAGCTCTTTCTACATGTCAGTCAGAATCCTAAAAACTTTATTACCTAACTTGACTATCTATGAAGCATTTACTGTTTGAATACTCTACAAATTAAATCATGTACTAGTAAGTTAGTAAGTTGGTATCAATTGCAGGCAGTCTAACCGAAAAGTAAACACTTTTATTTATTTATTTATTATTTATTTTTTGCTTTTTGGTTCACACCCGGCGATGCACAGTGATTTTTCCTGGCTCATGCACTCAGGAACTACTCCTGGCGGTGCTCAGGGGACCATATGGGATGCTGGGAATCGAATCTGGGTGGGCCACGTGCAAGGCAAACGCCCTACCCACTGTGCAATCACTCCTGCCCCTCGAAAGTAAGCACTCTTATCCACAATTATGAGATCTGATACCTTACAATTTCAGATCTAAAGGAAAAAGAAAGAAAATTTCCAACTCGACGGATGAATCCAAGTCTACACATTAAAATTTCATTACTATCACGTTGAAGAGAATATATGCAACCATATAAAGCATAGATATAAGAATTTAATTTAAATATGGAGAAACAAGGCTGTCCAAGCTATCATTAATGTAATTATGAACCTGGCACACTTTCATAGGAAGTTAATAGTACTTACACACAAAAATAATATTAAAAAAATGAACAAGAGATCAAAGCCAAGGAAAATGGAGGTTCTAATTCAGAAAATTTGCAAGAAAATACTACACAATTATAGCTGTGAAGGGGGATAAAGGTGAATTTTTCAGACTAATGATCTCAGGCAGATGGCTTTAAGAGGGGATGAGATCAGGAATAAGATTATACGATAAGTGGAACATTTAGGGCAAAACTAATATTGATGCAGCAAAACAATAAAAGAAAAGGCTGTTAAAGGAAGTTTTTAAAAGAGTATCCCGGGACTGGAGCTATAGTACAGCAGGTAGGGCGTTTGCCCTGCACACGGCCAACCTGGGTTTGATTCCCAGCATCCGATATGGTCCTCAGAGCACCGTCAGGAGTAATTTCAGAGTGAGAAGTAACCTCTGTGCATCACTAGGTGTGATCCCAAAAAGAAAAAAAGTATTCCAGGAATGAAAGTAAAAATAAGTGTCAAAACGGTAAACTACCTTATAATAAAAACTGAGATCAAATCATAATTAGGAGAACAGAGGGTGAATGTTGGGAGATATAAGGGGAATGCAATTGTAATATCTAAGGAAAACCATGAAAGTACATTATTTTAAAGCAGTGAAAGGACAGCTGTCTTTGAGAAACATGACTTAGATAGAACATGACAGGCAATGAGTTGCTTGTTTTCATGAGAAGACTTTCAGGGCCATATAATTTTATAAAATATCTTTGATAAAATAAAATTAAGGGCTGAGGATATAGCTCAAAGGAGTGGAGTACATTGCTTGCATGCAAATGCCAGAGTTTCATCCCTAACACTGTCAGTCCTTGAGTATTGCTAGGGGTAGCATCATGAGCACAAGTGTCCAAGCACTGGATTGAACAACCAGGTTGAGTATTGCCAGGGTGGATCTAGGTATTGTGAGCACAACTTACCCAAATAAAAATAATTAAGACCAAAAAGAAAACAATCACCTCCTAGATGTGACAATAACATTAACTTTGGTTTTTAGGGTACATACTTTACCCTTAGGGAGGTCAGTAGTGTATATACTTCACATGCTCCAATCCAGGCTTTTGTTCCCTGTAACTTGTTATTAAGTTGACAAGCACCCTGAGGATCAAAACCTTCCTTCCAAGCATCTTCAATCATAGACTGAATTTTTGGAATACAAGGAACTGACATACCTAAAATTATACAAGTAAACATATTTCAAGATAATTACTAAATTATTGAATGTATCATTTAGCTATAATACCCCACATCACAGGAAAACATACACATTTTTAAGAGTTATTCCCAGCATCTCCTGTATGATTTTTTCTTTTTCCCAACAGAATTAAGATATTTTTTGGTGGTGGGGGTTGGGGGTGGGGTAATCACATGCAGCAGTGCTCAGGGATTACTCCTGACTCTGTGCTCACTCTTGGTGGGTGAAGGACTATATGGGCTGTAAGGAATTATACCAAGGTTACTGTGTACAAAGTAAGTGCTTTACCCACTGTACTATCTCTCCAGTCCCCATATTTTTAATGTAAAGATCCATTAAAGTACTTCTTTGTTAAAATTATTAGTTGGAACTGCTATTTATTAATTCATTCTATATTATATGCACAGTATGAGAGAACAGATTCAGAGTACTATATTTTACGTACCTTTCAAGCAGTCAGCATAAGCGTCATTTTGTAGTAATGATGAAAGTAGCATTTGGAAGTTTCTGTAACCACAACCCCAGCCTTTGTCACCAAATGATGAATGAAAATGATCCACTACTGCAGAAAGCCACACACGCCTCACATCTGTGGCAGCATTCTGATAATACCGATAAAGAGCTTCAATAATTCCTAAAGAAAGAAAAGAGAAGAGATTTAGAAGATTTAGAGGGCTGTTCTTAAGGCTCCCACGTAATTCTAACAGCAATCTCTCCCTCAATTTCTACAAAAAAATCCTAATTCTATCTTCTTTACATTCTTTCTGCTACAATTTTAGTTCATGACCTGCTTGTAACTATTTTGTATAGTTTTCCAACACTAGCATATTAGTTATAACATCAAATTGAGATTTTATCTCTCATTTCTACATCTGCAGGGTGTAGCACATGCTGATTTAATGTTCTTTTCTCCATTTTATTTTACATACTGCTGAAAAAACACTCCCTCTAAAGCTCAGTTCCAATCAATTTGCTCCCTATAAAGACTTTAACAGCTACCTATTACCCATGGAATATTAATGCATATTATATGAAGCCACAGTCAGCTGGCCTCTGACTTACTCTATTTCAAATCATTCTTCTACAATCTTGGCAGTGACTTAACTGACTACATTACACATGATATTGTCCATAGAGTTCTCATTCAGTTCCAGTATTTACTTATCTCTTTTTACAGCTAACTGCTGAGAGTATAAAGATAAATGTGTCAATATCTCTTGAAATTTCACAGACCCATAATATCTTGTTTATTTGTACAAGTTCTACAACATAAATGAGGTATTCAGATAGGGTATAACAAACTCTTTCCTTATCCCAGTGTATTTTTTCCTTACATTTTGAAACCTCACAGATTCCCCAATGAACAGATGCTACCCATACAGATACTAAGATCTTTTTCTGAACACTCAGAATTTTGTGTGTGTATATGCGTATGCATGCGCATACCAGGAACTACTCATATTCTGCCATATTCTAATATATTTATATTAGAATATATATTTATTTATATATTTATATATTAGAGCAAGAAAAGTATGTCTGAGGAATTCACAGAAATTTAAAGTGGGTTTAGTATCATAGACTGATGAAGATTGATTGGGATAAACTTTGACGAGAACCTCCTCCCCTAACCCCTGGGCAAGAAAAAGAAAGAAGAAGGTAATGCACAACCTAGTGCACTCTGATATACTCATTAACCGTGGCACCTCAGAGTATGGGTAGTACTGTCCTAGAAATCATATCAAAACAATTCTTTTTTGGGAGGGAGAGAGGGGTAAGGGGCACACTCAGTGGTGCTAAGCTTACTGCTGGCAGTGCTTAGGGGACCACATGAGGTACCTGGGACTGAACCGAGTTAGGCATGTGCAAAAGAAACACTCTGCCTACTGTCTCTCCGGCCCCACAAAAACCATTTTAACATAAAGTTTTCTTTCAATAAAATAATTTCTATTCTATGGCACCTATATTTCATTAAATGAATTCCCAAAATAAGCATCTGTTGTTAAATTACAGTCCACTGTTAAAATTATGAGAACCTCTAAATGATAAAATTATGAGAACCTCTAAATGATAAAAAAATTATGAGAACCTCTAAATGATAAAAAAATTCTTTGCCCGGGGGCTGGAGCAATAGCACAGTGGGTAGGGTGTTTGCCTTGCACGCGGCAGACCCAGGTTCGATTCCCAGCATCCCATATGGTCCCCTGGGCACTTCCAGGAGAGATTTCTGAGTGCATGAACTAGGAGTAACTCCTGTGCATCGCTGGGTGTGACCCAAAAAAGCAAAAAAAAAAAAAAAATTCTTTGCTCTTGAATCAAATATTTTTATAAGCTGCTATATTTCAAAACAGCTTATCAAAAGTATTTTATAGAGAAACATGCTTTAATTACATTATTTATAATCATATACATATAACTCTACAGTAACTTTAAAATAAGTATATAATAGAGGATGATCTAAAAATTTCAAATATTTTTCTCTGTATGCTCCAATCAGTGATATGACATATCTGCTGGGATATCCTATCTCACAAAGAAATTTTTACATGAAGACCCCTGAAGAAATATAAAGACAGCCTTTAGAAACAGATGTGATATGTAATGTTAGAAATAAATGCCATATAGATTTGCAAAGTGGTACAAAGTTAAAAAAGCAGTAAGTACTTACTATATGAGCTGATTAGCAACAAAGGAAAAAAATCTGATCTCCCTCCCTTCTCTTAATATACACAAGACACACAGGGACAAATGAATTCTATGTGGTTTAAATTCACAGTATGAAAAGCAAACTAAAATATTTAAAGAAAATAAAGAAACAAACTTGTGATTACAAAGATGGGTGAGGAGTTAAACAAGATACTTAATAATAAAAGGAGAGGCAGAGAAATTTGATTACAATTAAATTTGAAATTGATACATATGCATAATTTCATACAAATTACAAACTCTTCCTTTGGGGGGCTCGGGTAACCCACTCAGTTCTATTCAGGGTTCACTATGGTTTTGGGTTTCAAATATAAAATAAGGGGCTAGAGATAGTACAGCAGGTTAAGTACTCGTCTTGCACACAGCTTACCTGGGTTTGGTCCCTGGAATAACATATGGTTCCCCAAACCTGACCACCACTAGGCATGGCCCCCAATTAAAAACAATGAAAATACAGGGCCAGGGATGTAGTTCAGCAGGAGAGCACTTGCCTTGCATGAGTGAGGTTTTGCATTTGATCTCCAACATCATAAATAAGTAAACAAATATTGAGAGGGCCAGAAAGATAATAGAGGGGTTAAGGCCTTGAATGCTGCACACACCACCAGGTGTGGTGTAAACCACCTGCCAAAATTAACTTCACTTGTTCCTTTTAATTTTTCTAACATGGCTACTGGAAATAAAAATTAATATGTGGCGCATATCAAAACTATTATTAAGGTTCTTTTAGAAATATCAAATATATCAATACAATATAAAAATGAATAACTTTTTTGTTTTTGGGTCATATCTGATAGAGCTCAAGAGGACATGTGATGCTGGGGATTGATCACACACTGTACTATCTTTCCACCCCAAAAGTGAATTATCTCTCCACCCCAAAAGTGAATTATTTGAAAAAGAATTTCAAAGTTTCAAACAACACATCTAAAGTAATTCTGAACAACCTCATCTAAAAGAAACTGTGAATTTTTTTTTTTTTTTTAGTGAAACACCATGAGGTACAGTTGTAGATTTACAATTTTTTTGTGCTTGGGTTTCGATTATACAATGATCAAATACCCATCCCTCCACCAGTGCCCATTTTCCACCACCATGGATAATATCCCTCCCACTTCCATCACCCCCATCCCACCCTGCCTCTGTGGCAGGGCAATCCCTTTTGAAGAAACTGTGAATTTAAGTTTACCTAAAAGTCAAATAATTATTAGTGGTTACTTCATTATCTAACATACTACTAAAAATAAAGTTCTGATACTCACCAGAAGTTTTTGTTTTTCCATCATCAATACCAACAGCCAATGATTCCATCATATCAGCTTTTCTTCTATGAAATTCAGACGGATGCATTCTTCCCCTGTTTACTTCTAGCTCCATATTTCGTAGTTGCTGTTGTTTATATCCTCCTGAATTATCTAAGCCATACTGCCTCTATTTAACATAAAAACAAATAACAAATAACTTCATTTTTAAGTCCTTTAAACATAGCAAGTATGAAAAATTACCATATTTCTAAGAAAAAGTATTTGGAAAAAGTATTCTGGTTTAGAGACTTTTTATAGAAGAGTTTTACGGAAAAAAATATATTTTGATTCTTAAAAATAGTTTTTCCCTAAAAATACCAACACTGGTAAGAAACTAGCTCTCTATGATCTAAACAACTAACTTGGAAAGTTACAGCACAATGTCCTTTATATTTTGGATATTTTTGTATTGCTAACACTCAAAATTTCATAAGACAAAGAAACTCGAACTTATTTTACCCCTCTGAATCTTGGTGAAAAACTAATTTGCAAATAAGTGAAATACCAATGAGAAAATCAGCCAAGTTAGATACTCCAAAGTGTATTGCAAGGAATAATGCCCATGTGTGAAGTATCTAAAGAGAAAAAAAGTGAAAGGAAAAATAAATCTGGGAAAATTATTATGTATACAAAAATACTTTTTTTTTTTTTGCCTGTCCCCACCGCTTTTTTGAGGAGGGGGTTTTCCCAAGACATGCTTTGGGGACTCAGGAGGATGTGCCAACAAAGTAGGACAATCCAATGCTTGAACTGTCAATGCAATGCTGTTCTCAGAGACACTGGGTACCACCATGGTCACCTCAATTGTGCTGTGTGTGGATCACCAGGTGCTCAAGGGGTCATGAAGTGTTGAGGATTGAACTTGGGGCTTCGTGCATTCCTGAGCTATCTCCCCAACCTCTTATTTGCTTTCAAACGTATAGAATCACAAAAAAAGTATTTATATATTATCCTATTAACACACAGAAAAATTTTAAAACATTTATAAGCACGTTCAGCATACTATAGTCCATAGCAAATCAGAATTGAAAATAACACCAAATCATCTATAAAAATATTTAAATGCTGGGTTAGAGAGATAGTTAAATGGGCTGAGCTTACAGGAAGCTAAAGTTCAGTCTCTGGCACTGCAATGTCCCCTGAGAACACTATAGCACTGTAGCACTATCGTCTTGTTGTTCATCGATTTGCTCGAGCAGGCCCAATAACATCTCCATTGTGAGACTTGTTGTTACTGTGTTTGACATATTGAATACATCACAGGTGGCTTGACAGGCTTTGCTGTGCCGGCGAGATACTCTCAGTAGCTTGCTGGGCTCTCCAAGAGGGGTGGAGGAATTGAACCCGGCTTGGCCGGGCTGGCTGCACGCAAGGCAAATGCCCTACCGCTGTGCTATATAAGTAAAATAATAATATATAAATCACTGTCACTGTCACTGTCCTCCCGTTGTTTATCGATTTACTCGAGTGGGCCCAGTAATATCTCCATTGTGACAATTGTTACTGTGGTTGGCATATCGAATATGTCACAGGTAGCTTTCCAGGCTTTGCCATGCGGGCGCAACACTCTCAATAGCTTGCCAGGCTCTCCGAGAGGGGCGGAGGAATTGAACTTGGGTCTGCCATATTGGCCGCTTGCGAGGCAAATGCCCTACCCACTGTGCTATCGCTCCAGCCCATAATTACAAATAATATAATATTAATAACAGTATAATTTATTATTATTAGGGCCAGAGCAATAGTACAGCAGGTTTGGACACTATAGTGATTCTTAAACTAAAACAAAATTTAATGCATTAAAATAAAATAGGGGCTAGACAGATGGTATAGGGGATAAAGCACTTGCTTTGCATATAATCAAGGTTCAAACTTCATCATTACATATGGTCCCCAAACCACGCCAAAGAATGATCTCTGAGCAGAAATGAGTTCAAGAGACAAGCCTTGAACATATATGGGTGTGACCCAACCCATCCAGCCCCCTCCCAAAAAGAATGTAAGTATAGTTCAATAAATACCCATACACACAGAAATCTAAAGAATCATCAAAAAGCCTTTTCCATTAAAAATATATATTTTTGGAGATCACAGGGCTGTTTCTCCTGGAAGAGACCATAACACGAGGTCCCAATAGCCATGCCAACGGACTCTGCACTAGGCTGCTTCACTTGGGGTGCTCCAGAGGGGGGTAGGTGAGAGCCCTCCCCGCACCATGAGACCCAGCCTCAGCAGTCGACCTCCAAAACCCAACTTCTGCCACCCTCAAGGCAGGTCCCCAGATGCTCAAGCTGAGCCTCACTCATGAGTAAAGTCCCACAGAACCCAGATAAATGTGGAAATTCGTGACCTTGGACTCTGGGCTCAACAGGACCCGGGAGAAGAGATCCTCTGCCGTTTCCCCCAGTCTCCAGCAACCAACACACATAAGCCACCTCCTCCTGGCACCAGATAATCTCGCCATAGGCCACCACCCAGATCACACGGCTGCTTCTCCCAAAAGGGAGCAAAACATCACTTGAATCACATAACCATCCCATTTATCTTTAGTTTGCTCGAGCGGGTGCCAGGGCGACAGTCTCCATTCATTCCTGTCCCGTGCTAGGGTAACCCAATGACAACTGCTCGCTCCAGGAACATGAAGAGCCTCAAACTGTTTGTTCAGGGTTTTGAAAAAGAAGTCTAACCATCTCATGGGTGGGTGGACACGCATCCTTTTGACATCCCAGTGGAATCCAATCGGTAACAGCTCTAGTCCAGCGGTTGTCTCTAAATCGCATTCCATGTCCAGCGCATCTGATTTTTGACGCATTGGCAAATGAGACAGCGTCCCTGATTCTCGATCGTTGACGGAGGTCAGAACACCGGATTCCTTCTCTCACTTGAGTGAAGCATGATACTCCAAGCATAACTCTTTCGATTCCTCTTTGGAACACCCCAATAGCATACTCATCCTGTTATCCTAGGGCCCTGATCTCTGAGGCGTATGTTAGTGTAGGAAGAACAGCGGAGTTGAAAAGATGTGCCCGGAGCCGGAGGTTCTTTGTCCTCTTAACAACTTCTTCATTGCTCTTGAAGGCATCCCACGCTGCCCTTTTTTTCCTGTGCAGTTCTGGTGGCACCAAGTGGATCTTCATGTTGAGTTCTTGACCCAGGTAAACATAGCTGCTGTATTCGGAAATGTTCGTTCCCTTGAGAGCAAATGAAACATCAGGGACTAGTTCATTTTTCATGAACATTGTCTTGGTGAGATTCAGTGTAGTCCAACCTTTGCACTCTCACGGTCGAAATCGGCCAGAATTTGTGCCACTAAGTTGTTTGGTGTTATTAGAACGTTGCCATCAGCAAAGTGGAAGTGGTGTAGTTGCTGACCATCTATCTGCACTCCCATTTCATTCCATTCCAGTCATCGCAGGATGTTCTTGGGGGTGGCCCTGAAGAGTTTTGGTGAAATCATATCACCCTGCCGAACCCCTCTCTTGACGTCAATGATCACTTACTTGTAGAATGATGAGATCCTGGTGATGAATCCCTAATACAGCTCATGGAGGATTCTGATGTACTGAGTTTGAATGCCCTGTATGGCTTTGAAGACTGCGTCAGTCTCAACAGAATCAAAGGCCTTCTTTAAATTGATGAACGTTAGACAGAATGACATCTTGAACTCTCAAGAAACTTCAATGAGCTTGGTCACAGTGTGGATATGGTCAATCGTGCTGAATCCTTTAAGGAATCCCGCTTGCTCGCATGTTTATCCTTCAGCTAGTGTTCCGCCTACTCTATTCAGGATGACTCGAGTTAACAATTTGTAGATGACAGACAACAGGTAGATCAGGCAATAATTGCCAATGTCGTGGATGTCTCCCTTCTTATATAACAGAACAGTCCTGCTGGTTTTTCATGGGATGGAACCTTGCATTCAGACAGGTAGCGTGAGAAGAACCAAGCCAGTGTATTGATGAGTACTGGCAGCAGATTCTTCAGGTGTTCAGGTGTGACCTTGTCTGGACTGGGTGCTGTACGCTTTGATGAAATGGCATGTTGAATTTCGGAAGGGAGAACGATGGGAATGACATATCTATCCTGCGGAATTTGGTATGTGGGCAGGTGGGCGTGGCTATCATAGAGATCTGAATAGAAGTAGTGGATAATCTTCTCCATTGCCCTTCTGGAAGATGTGATATATCCATCAGGACGTCAGAGGGCAATGATCTTGGTCTTGTAGTTGGCGAAGGACTGGCAAGCATTGTGAATACTTTTCCCAGCTTCTGCCACATTGGCCAACATTGCTGCTCTTCTCTCTTTGAGGTCCTCCTTTATCTCTTCTCTGCAGTTTTGCGAGCTCAGATGTTAGGTTGTGATTGCCTGAGGCTCGCACCAAACCACAATAGCAAATGAGCTCAAGAGTTTCCGAAGATATGTGTTTGTTTGTGGCTTTCCCACTCTCGGCATTCCTCGTGCAGTCATGGAGGTGCTGAACCAGTCGATTGTATTCCTCATTGATGCTGTCAAGTACAGCATCTTCCCATGTTGCTGCCTGGGAATAATGTCAAAGAGCTCCCAATTGGCAGTCATTCTGGGAGTTCTTAAACTTTGCAGCCCTTTCTCCCCACTCCGTGAACTAGAATTTTGTACGAAGGAGACAGTGGTCCAATCCCTTTCAAATTTTGGGACAACAGCAACATCAGTCAGGCAAAACCGTCCATTTAATATGATGTGGTCAATTTCTTTGTGGAACTGTCCACCGGGAGACTCCCATGTCAAACGTTTAGATTTGGCCTTCTGGAACTGTGAGTTATCATGGATGGTCTTGGTCTCTCACTCTGTTCATTCCATTCTAGGTCATGGGTCCTGATGTGGAGCTCTTCGGGCAACCTTCTTGGTCCTATCTTGGCATTAAAATCACTAACAATGATCTTGTAAAGGGCTGGAGCAATAGCACAGCAGGTAGGGTGTTTGCCTTGCGCCTGTCCGACCCAGGATTGATTCCTCTGCCCCTCTTGGAGAGTCCGGCAAGCTACTGAGAGTATCTCACCCACACAGCAAAGCCTGGCAAGCTACTTGTGACATATTCGAGATGCCAAAAACAGTAACAAGTCTCACAATTTGTTGTAAGACATTACTGGTGCCCACTTGAGCAAACTGATGAACAACAGGAGGACAGTGCTACAGTGCTACAGATCTTGTAGAAGGTCTGGTCTTCTTTGTAGAACTTCTTCAGCTCCATGTAGAACTTCTCAATTTCATCAAAGTTGGATGTTGGTGCGTAGACGATGAAGAGAGAAATGGCTGGCAGTGAGCCACATATTCAAGTGTTAGCATCCAAATCGGTTTGCTAGGCATTTGAATGAATCAATGCACATGGCCAAGTTCGTGTTGACAAGGACACCGACAACACGGACACCTCTATTGCTGCGTGTTCTGAGGAACAGTTCTTCTCCAGTGTTGAATATGGCATGATGTGATCGATGCCTTCTCGTCTTGGTCACACCAATGATGTTGTAATTGATCTTCTGCATTTACACCATCAGTCCTCGATGGATGCGTCTGTTGCCAGTGTATGTGCGTTGAAAGTACAGACAGTCATTTTAGTCCTTCTTCATTTTGGCAGCCTGGTTCAGCCCTGAGATTTTATATGCCTCTCCTTGCTCATCCTTCTTAATGCTGCCGTATTGGGGGCTCTTTCAGGGTCAGGGGAATGAGGCCCATTGTTTTACAAAATAAGAGGCCGCCCTTAACTATGTCACCGGATTCTGCACCAGGTTGTTTCACTGGGGACTCCCCAGAAGGGAGCAGGTGAGAGCCTTCCCTGCCCCAAGGGACCCAGCTCTGGCAGCCAAAAACTGCCATAACCCAACCACGGCCACGTTCAACGCCACTCCCCACACGTTCGGGCCAAGCCTCATATATGAATAAACATATTCCTGGACCACATCATAAGATACTCCCTACCCAATTACCACACCATATTTGATGGGGTTCAGACAGTAGGCAACAAATCATAAAGGGAAAAAAGAATATATATGTGTGTGTGTATATATATATGCATATATACATATTTTCAGATATATATACCAAAGCTCACATCATCCAAACTTTAACAACATGTTAGTGATATCCTATAGAATGTCTTAATGGCTCCTGCCAAAACAGAACAATCTTCACACTGTCTCCTATATAACAATTTTTCGTAAGCATGTTCAGCAGTTCTTCGTAACTGACAATACAAAATATATTCTTTCAGTTTTGTTTTGGGACAGGGATTGGGGTTTGAGATGGAAACATCCCGAATGTGGTGGTGGGAAGGGGTAATGGTGGTGAGATTGGTGTTTGAATATTAAATGTAATCAAATGTTATGAACTAACTTATAAAATAAAAAAATTAAAATTAAAAAAATACGTATTTTTTTTATAAATGCTTAAACCTCAGTCACTAAAGAATTTATGATCCAGACAGGAAAAGTTAATTCTATCTCTCTTCATATTAATATCCTAAAATTTTGGGGCTATTTTCTAATTTTCTCCATAAACTTTACATAAGTTTTAATCCAAGCTTTGTTGTGCAATATCATCTGAATTTGAGCAAATTAAATTAACAGGTGTTAGCATCGGTTTTCCTTTCCGCCTTGCCACAGGGAGCTTAGGTTTATTGGGTTACTCCCATCACAGTGCTCCCATTCCTCTATGTTTATTTGTAACTTCTTTCTTTGTGTTCTGTTGACTCATAAATATTGTTTTTCTCTTCTCCTTAAGTCCTTTGCATATTTAATTCAGAGCAAACTCCTTTTTTTATGGGCACAAGAAGACAGTTAATGCTATGCTCTTGTAACATGGGAGTTAAATGACTCCAGATATTATCTCTGCGGCATATGTTCTCTGAATCTAAGTCTCAGTTACCCTTACTTCCTAGAATTCCCAAAGCAGGGTCCAGACAAGGGCCTGGATGGACCCAGGGTAAGCTGTGAGCTATGTGCTACCGTGGCATCAAAATGGGCCTGGCTAAAGTGCCATAATGCTTAACTATAAGTTAAGAGCATGGTCATGGACAAATGCTGTCATAATCCAAAAATCAATAACTAGATTCAGACCTTACAAGGGTTAGGAATGATTAATGCAGACTGAGCACTGTCGTCTGAGTCTGTGGCGAGATTGTCCCAAGGAGTAGCCCGACAAGCTGCAATGTATCTCTTACTGTGTCCATACAAAATAACTAATATTAAGTAGAATTAAGATGTTAAGATGCTTATTAAGTTATTGGACTAAAAGAGAGAGAAACACCCCTAAGTGGTACTTTGCCCTTGAGCAGAAAAGGGCTTTTGATATGTTGATTTTCCTGCCAGATATATGGGGTATGGTGACTACCCCCAATTCAGAGAGTCAGAGAGAGATGAGAGAGACACGGTAGCAAGATGGAGAGAGGAGAGACTAGCAAGGGGGACAGAGAGAGAATGCAGGGGAAGAATGCAGGAGCAGGCATGTGGATACTAGAGACGTGGCTTCGAGAGGGAGTGCGGAGAGATGAGGGGAGAGAGAGGAGGAGAAGGGAATAAGGGGCAGTGTGAGACTAGAATGGGGAACTGAGTGATGATGTAGGCAGGCAGATAGGGAAGGCCCCTTCCCAAGGCAATGGCGGTAAATCTTTTGGGAAGCAATAGCCCTGACCTCATGGAGAACAAACTGGCACCAGTCCACCAGTCTGTGACAGACCCTGTGGAGGCTGGATGCCTACAGGAATGACAGCAGAAGAAATAGAGACCAATTAAGGACCAGAAAGATGCCCCAGAAACTCCAAAGCTGTTCCTTGACACCTGGATCAATCCCCTCCTATAGAAGCTCCTACAGAAAAAAAAATCAAGAAAGGAATTTCAAAGAAGATCATCAACAGTCCCAACCTCCGTAGTAACCTCCCTAGCAATGGACTTTTACCTAGGTAGAAGCCCCACATGGGTACTGGTTGGAAAAACCCTATAAAGGCCACCTTGAACAAAGGAAGTGCATGCATATGCTGTTTGAGCCATGTGCTGCCTGCGGCCATGTAGTGCCTGAGCAAATGTGTCACCCGCATTTCCCATCTTGAAATGTGTACTTTCATGTTTTCATGTCTAATGCTGGGATGTGATAGCACAGCAAGTAGGGCATTTGCCTTGCACGTGGCCGACCCAGATTTGATTCTTCCATCCCTCTTGAGTGCCTGGTAAGATACCGAAAGTATCTCGCCTGCATGGCAGAGCCTGGCAAGCTCCCCTTGGCATATTTGATATGCCAAAAACAGTAACAAGTTTCACAATGGAGATGTTATTGGTGCCCACTCAAGCAAATTGATGAACTTTATCTCTAATAAGAGTCAATAAAGAATTTTTTATTGGGGTTGTGTCAATTTTTGAGATATATAGAAATGCTTATTTTACAAAACCACAGTGAACCCTTCTGAATAATGGCTATTCGTATTCATATTAAAAATACATGTAAAAACATATATACATTATTTTACATATTAACAGGAGCAAAAATAATGGATTGCTGAAGTAGCTTTACCTAATTGAAATTATATTTTTACTATCTTACCTGCAGCTTCTGAAATTCTTCCATTTCTTGTCGTGATTCTTCAGATCTCCTTTTTCTGTCTTCTTCTTCTTGAAGTTGGTGAGCCAACTGCAGATCACTTGAACATGGGACTCTATTCATGCCTATTTGGAGTATATGTTGCCATTCTGTCATTTATTCATAACTGATATTAGAGCAACACTGACCACAAATTTAGCTAAACTTAGAACTCCTGCAAGGTCTATAATCTACTTTTCTATCACTAACATTCTCAGAGCAGTTAAGCTCTGGAAAGCATTTCTCAATAATTAACCTAATTCAATTTTCAACAACCACATCAAGTAGAGATAATGAACTACTAAGGAATCAGACCCTGGAGAAATTAAGTAACACCATTTTCTTTATTAACACAACTAAAGTAAATTGGTTTTAAGAGAAATACTAGCATGTGGAGGGGAGAAAATAATACACCCTAAACTATATACTTGCAAAGCACAGGTGTTATATAATCTGGCTCTAAATATTACAATTGCAGTATCTAACCCTCTTTCCTCTCTACTCAGTGTCATGTAAACACATTAGTGACTTCTACCCAGCAGCTTCCCATCCCTATTTAATGATTTTATTCGTTCTTTCCTTTCAGACCTTTCAGTCTTCTACAAGCCACATTTGGTCTCCACTTATAATGTTGGAGATATGCAATTCACAACTGCTTTTTAGTATATTTCTGAGGCTTTATACAGTGATATATCATGTTTTCCTTCTCCATTACCCATCATAGTCTTTCAAAATTATTTATGCAACCAAAGTCTATACCATAATCAGAAAAGTGATAAGACACTGAACTTGAAAGGGTTATTTTCCCACAATATTTAAAGAGAACCTCCCAGAGCAGAAGACTAACTATTCCATCTATCAGCAATTCTCATCTTGAGATCAAGCTAAGTGAGCAGGAATGCTGTCCACGTTGCCCATGACTTAAGCCAGGATCACTGATACAAGACACTAAAGAACCTGCATCAATATAAAGAGAATGGAAATATAGTAGAAAAAAAAATGGGATAGCTTTTCCTTAATAGCTTAGTATTTTATTTGAGTAGAATTGTGAAACTTAAAAAAGGATAATTTCAAGACATTACATTTCTTTAATAACAGAAATTTTAAAATAGGTGCGTCCTTAGCAATGCTCAGGCTCTTAGGGGCTACTCCAGTGGTGCTTGAAGACCATCAGGACAACACTCAACAGTGCTCAACAGGAGGGACCATTTGAATGATCCCTCTAGCCCCTCACTGCACTGCTGAAAACAGGTAAGCGAGAAAAGGAAAACTTTTATTATAGTCACTTGTAAAACTTGTAATTATAGAGTTGGGGTAAGCAGGAAGAAATGCCTTTGAGATATTTTAAAATTATACATTCCTGTTATTTTAAAAAATCTTGTGGAAGTCTCCTCATTCAAAAACAATTTCTGATAGTGAGATATTATATTATTATTTCTAGCTGTTGAAGAAATGGCCTTAATTTGTAAATAAAAAAGTTCTAAACATTGGTGCTCTGAGATATGATCTGTGTTCTTCCATTTCTGAATCAGTTGCTGGTTTCCTGAATTAAAATTCATCTTTTTTGTGAAACATCATCTATAAAAGGTTAAAGCTAGATTAGAATGTTTTAAAGGGACATATTTTAAGTCAGTTCTTTTTTTCCCCTAAAGTTACATCCAAAAAATCTGATGTATCCTACAAAACTGAAACAATTTTATTTATAATTTATAAACATACCTTGACCAAAGTTGCTTTCTTCCAAATGCAAATCCACATGTTCCTGTAGAATGTGGTAATTTGTACAGAGGAGTCCACACATCGGGCAGTCATACAGTGGCTGGTCACAGTCTGTTTTTGAGAGATAGTTCAAATTGATTTTACTATTCACTCTTTTATATTTTTATCCCAATTATCTACCAACTTTACTAATTTTTTTTAAAAAAACCTCTTCAGAGTTTGATTTAGTGACCTTTTACTTCTAGTGTCAAGATCAAAGACTGACTGTAAGCAGAAACCTTACTTAGAACTTAATAAAACATTATATTAATAGAAGCATTCAAATCTACAGACAAATCAAGAAAAGTTTAAAGAAAAATCTAAACAGTATGCAGAGGCCTGTCTAGACATGGACTTGTAAAGGATTAATATCTCAGTACCCTTCAAATCAGTGATAAGGCAAAGAACACACTCAATCCTGAGGCTTAGAACTGGAATCTATCTGAGATTGCCTGTTTGGGAGACGGGAGACTAAATGGCTATACTCAATAGAACTTCAGGATTCTGAGATCAAAATCTAGTTGATATTGGGCATGCAAGTACCCAGCTGTGCATATGTAGAGTAAAAGAACCGAGAAAATTGTACACATTAAGAACTGGTTTGGAAATGAAGACTGTAATAGCCACACAAAGCAATCAGGACACTGCTTCACAGAGATCATGAGAGAAAATTCCTTAACAACTGAGCACTACAAATTAAGTCACAAAACACACTGAAAGGGTCCAATGCCCTGGGAAAAGGCTGCAAATCTTTTAATGGAGGAAATTCCATATGAGGAAATGAAAACCATTAGGGGAACAAGAAAAAGTTTGCACTCTAGCCAGGTCTTTATATAAGGGAGGAAGTAAACAGTGAATCCTCAGAGAAAGGCCATCACCATAGAGAAGCTGGATGGTAATAAACTGACTGCTGGAGGATAATGGCTCCTAACAACAGTTGATACAAGACTGCTGGCCTGTACATCTCTGTGTTGTGTTTCAAAATGAAGGACTTAACCCCTTCACCTAAGGACACACGAGGCAGCTACCAGAAGCCAGCTGAAAGAGTTCATTTACTGTTGTGAAATAGGGAAAGCATTTCCATGCATAGAAATATGACTGAAATAGGCTGTGAGCCTTCACCTCTTGATAAAAAAATGGCAGTTAGGATAGAGAAGGTAACCATTTGACAATAACAGTTGGAAATGATCACTCTGGACAAGAAGTGAGTGTTGAAAGTAGGTAAAGGGATATACATGATAACCTTTCAGTATCTGTATTGCAAACCACAATGCCCAAATAGGGGGGGAAGGAAGTGAGAGAGGGACAGAGAGGAAAACAGAGAGACAGAAAGAGAAAAATGCTTGCCATAGAGGCAGGGGAAAAATGGATCACTGGTGGCGAGAAATGTATACAAGGAAAAGGGACAGGACGGACAGGACATGATATGACTGAAATCTAACGATGAACAACTTTGTATCTGTGTATCTCACGGTGATTCAATTATAAAATTAATTATAAAATTGAAAATTAAAAAAAAATTCCTGGCCCAAGGCCCATTCTTGTGTAACCAAACACGAGCCCAACCACTGCATTTATGAATTTTTCTCAAAGAAGAGAAATTGAAACAAAATGTTCAATTAAAACCACAAAAGGCAGAAACAGAGGACAGTAACAGGAACAACAAATAAAAAGTTACACATATGGTAGCTAATTAATCCAAATGCAACAACCATCATTTTAAACTTCAACAGTCAAAATACACCAATGAAAAGACATTCAGAAAGAATTAAAAACACAAGAGCTGCCTACAAGCTTTCTATCAGAAATCTGCTTTAAATATAAATATCCCTGTATCACTGTCCTCCCGTTGTTCATCGATTTGCTCAAGGGGCCCAGTAATGTATCCATTAGAGACTTTGTTGTTACTGTGTTTGGCATATCGAATACATCATGGGTAGTTTGCCAGGCTCTGCTGTGCGGGCGAGATACTCTAAATAGCTTGCTGGGCTCTCCGAGAGGGGCAGAGGAATCGAACTCGGGTTGGCCATGCTGGCTGCATGTAAGGCAAACGCCCTACCGCTGTGCTTTCACTCCAGCCCTAAATATAAATATACATGGATTAAAAGTAAAAGTATGTTGGGGGTAAGAGATAGTTACAGTAGTATGAGACTCTACCAGTTAGACCCCTGGTACCACAGAATCCACCAAGAATCACTGGGTGCTCCCTGGTGTGATCCAGGAAGACCCTAGCACCCACATAGGTGGGCCAGGTATCCCTGGCACAGAGTCAAGCAGCACTGTATGCCTAAGGCTTTGCATTGAAACACAAGGTACTGGCCTCACAGGTGGGGTTCCTCTTCCTTCCCTGACACCTATGGAGAACTGCTCAGGAGATACTCCCCACCTCAAAAAAAGGGGGAAAAAATGTCTAAGTATAAAGGAAGTATGCATATGCAAATGTCCAACATGATATATTATTAAGTTAAAATGAAATGAGCACTGTAGCACTGTCCTCCCATTCATCGATTTGCTCAAGCGGCCCAGTAACGTCTCCATTGTGAGACTTCTTGTTACTATGTTTGGCATACTGAATATGTCACAGGTAGCTTGCCAGACTTTGCTGTGCACGAGAGACACTCTCGGTAACTTTCCAGGCTCTCCAAGAGTGGCAGAGGAATCGAACTCAGGTTGGCCGCATGCAAAGCAAACACCCTACCCACTGTACAATCACTCCAGCCCAACACTGATAGTATCAAATGTTATTAAAGATACTGTTAATGATGTGAAACAAAAACTCTGATTCACTACAGGCAGGAATGCAAAATGGTACAGCTACTTTGGAGTAATCTAATATTTTACAAAATTAAAAATACTATTATCATAGGATAAAGTTATCACTTGCCTTGCAATTTATACAGAAAAACTGGAAGATTCTCTCCACAGGAAAACTGGTATATGAATATTTAAAGCACTGCTTGTTATTAACTACCAAAATCTGGAGTTATGGTTTTTGTAGTTACTAACCAAGAAGACTCTCAGTTACTAACCGGTATGTTCAAAGGAATATTACCTAGTGCTATAAGAAATAAACTACCGAGCCACAAAAAATACATGAAGGAATTTTAAATACATCTTATTATTTATCTTACAAAGAAAAATAGACCAGGATGAAAAAGCTATGTCCTGTATCATTTCTACATGACATTTTTGGAAAGGCAAAAGTATGGAGATGGTTAAAGCATCAGTGGTTTCCAGGACTTAGACGGAGGGATAGCTAGTAACATCACAATGGGTACTAAGAGCAGTGAAATTTTTCTGACTGATACTACAATGGTGGATACAAGTAATTACATATATCAAAATCTATAAAATTACAACACCAGTAGAGAACACTAAAATAAGTCAAAGACTGAGTAATGATGTATCTGAAGAACTTAACTGATTGTTAATAAACATAATTGTGGCATATATGACTTCACAGTGGAGGAGATTTGTTGGTTACTAAGACACAAGCAAACTTGGGTACTCCGTACTTTTCCGGTTGTAAACTTGAAACCGGGCTAAAAACCAAAGTTTATTACATGAACCTAGGCCATTTATACCTTTTGTGATAAGTAACTGTAGCAAAGAACAATTACAAAATTGCAAAGTACAAAACTTGTATGAGACAAGGTAAGACATGTGAACTTGAGTTTGGGGATAAGTTTTTAGAAGAAATACCAAAAGCACAATTGGGGTTGGAAAGACAGTCGAGGGGTTAGGGCATTTGCCTTGCATGTTACCAACCCTTTGTTCAATCCCTGGTTCCACATACGATTTCCCACCAGGAGAGATCACAGCACATAGTCACAAACAAGCCCTGAGCAGTGCTGGGTGTCCCCCCCACAAAAAATCAAAATAAACAAAAAGCACAAATTCACAGTATGAAATAAAGTAAGTTAATATTAAAATTAAATCTATCTATCTGCTGTGTGAGATACACTAGAGAATGAAAAGCCAAGCTACAGAATAGAAAGATTTAAAAAGTACGTAGGTGGAAAAGAGTGTATCTAAAATATGCTAATAACTCTTAACACTCAAAAAATAAGACATCCAATTCTTAGTTGATATATTTCAACAAAAAAACATCAACATATATGAATGAATCAAGCTGAAAGAAAAAAAAATTCAACTATAAAGGAATTCAACAATTTTCTTTCAAAAATGATAGAACTGTTAAGCAGAAAGCCATCAAGAATACAGATCTGAGCACCACCGGAGAACAAGATCTAACTCACAAATATAGAATACTAGATCTTAAAACCAGAATCCTATACCTAGAATTTATTTCATGGAACATGTAACAGGACATATAATTCACATACTGTATTTTGGGCCATAAAACAAAGCTCAACAAGATTCAAAGAACTGAAATCACACAGTGTATTTTGTTTTTGTTAATAATGGAATCAAACTAGAACTCAGAAAAGGAGAATGCAATTGGGCTGGTGAGTAAAAGAATAAACTCCTGAATCTATATTAAGCTAATTTCTCTTCACAAAGATGCTAAAATTACTTTGAATACAGGAGAAATATTATCTTAACATTGAAATTCTTTTCCACTATGACAATTTCATATTTGAATAATGAAGGTAAACAATAATTTAGACATAATGAGTCACAAACCAGTTTATATGCCACTACATATTAAAAACGAAGACTGCTTGATTTATAAAATGAGAACTTTACCTTCTAAGGGAGTATCTAAGAGATCTGCATGATTTGTTTTCATATGAGTTTCCATATCTTTACTGCAATCTTCTATTTTTCCACAGAACGGACATTCGGGAGGACTATACATTGTTCCATAAACTGATTCTTTTATTTGGGATAGGTCACACTGTTTTTCCTTACTTTTTGAAAATTTCCTAGATTCAGTTATGTTTTCAGAATAAATGGCTGTATGCTTTGAAGTACCATCCTTAGGCAAGATTTGAGCTGAAAGTTTTGCATGATTAGATGCACAAGCTGAATGACTACTTGAATTAACTTCTGTTCTGCGATGCAGGGTGCCATCCTTGTTATCTGATGTTCCATACTGTACTGTACTGATCGCCTCATAGTTTCTTTCTAGTTCATTTTGTTCAAAATGAGCAGTTTCAATATGAAAACACATTTCTTCATAATTTACACCTGATAATTTGCAAAATGGACATGTAACTTCATTTTCCATGTGAGCAATTAGGAGGTGTGCTTTTATGTCCGGTTCTGAGGTTACTGTTTCACCACAAATATCACAAGAAAACATGGCACATCAAGTAGCTAGAAAAGAAAACACAACGGTATTACTGGAAAGTAAGAGTTGAAGAACAATGGAATACATTCTGTAATATTACTTGGGACATAGCATTTGTTATTTCACACTGAATTACTTGGATGAACAAGACTTCAATTTACTTAACTTTTTCTCAAACCTAGAAGCATATGTATAAGTCATAATACATCCCTAATGAAAACAATAATTGAAATAGTCAAAAACTATTTCAAGGGCTGTAGGAATAGTTCAGTGGGTTCAATACCTGACACTATATATGATCCCCAGTCCATAAGGAGTGATCCCTGAGTGCAGAGCCAACAGGCAGAGTTCATGCATTGTATAGAGGTTTGAGCCACGCAGCACCCTGCAAAATACCCCTCATTTCTGAGAACCAAAATGAGAACGGCTCCACCACTGCCAGGAGTGGCCAAAACCAAAATAAAACAAAATAATTTATAAACTGCCCAGATTACATAAATCAATAAAGATGAAAAAGTGATCCAATCAACTAAATACAGACCTAAAAAGAATTATTATTCTAATTATTGCTTTGGTTTGGGGGCCACACCTGGCTGTTCTCAGGGCTGATTGCTGCCTCTGCTCCAGGATCACTCAGGGTGATTCCTCACAACCAGATGTACCTGGGATGGAACAGGTCAGCCACATACTAGGCAAGTGTCTTACCCCCTATACAATCTTGCTGACCCAAAATCCAGATTGTAACAACGTAAAGAAACACATCTTAATGAAAGTACTTCACACTTAAAGGGCTTTATATATTCTACTTGGTGGAAAACCAAATATAAGCTGGGGGAAAACCAGCTCAGATCTGTCATCACAGAGAGAGAATGGTAGAAGCAGAACTGATAACCAGTCAGGTTATGGAATCTGAACTCTCAACCTAAAGAATTAAAGCAAAGTTAACACCTGAGAACCCTTGACTGTCAGTTTAAACAGCTCTTGACTAAAACAGAATCCAGAAAGCCCGATTATAAAATCCAGTATTATACACCTAAATAAGGCGTTTCACCTCTTTTGAGTTTATGTCCTTAAAGTGAATTATAAGCCTCATTTGTGCTTTATGCACTAATAATATACAGACCACCGCCCCAAAACAGGCGATTTTGCTAATAAAATAATCCTTAATAAAGCAATCACTGCCACAACCATCTCACACAAACCATGATTCAACGGACTATATAAAAACAGGAAAAGAAAAAAAAAGCCACTATGCCATCAATGAGATATATTTAGCTTCACAAAGTCTCCTTACACAGTTCTATTTCTCCTTCCATCTTTACAGAAAATTTTTATAAGAATTTTCATAAGAAAATTTTCTCAGCATCCCCTCACCTCCTCCCAACACACACACAGAGAGAGAGAGAGAGAGAGAGAGAGAGAGAGAGAGAGTCAATGCAATTTTTTCTTTCTTTTTAACCCTGGTGGGACACCCGGAAGGATGCGATTGCATTTCCAAGCACGTTGATAAGACAATGGGGTGGAAGATTTGACACCCACGACAAATGCAGGGATGGGGGTGGGGGTGGTGAGGAAAGCAAAAAAAGCCTGGATACAAGAAGAACCGCTCAAACTTCCGAGCCCACGATCCGAGCCAGGCTACAAAACCCGTCCAGACACCAACTCGAGGAAAGTTTTCCGCCTGGGGCCGGGGGTTGGGCCGTCAGTTCCTACCGACTAGGTGATTCAGCCACCACCACTCTAGGTTTGATGTCCTCTTCGGTCTCGCCGACGCTGTGGTCTAGCAAGCCGGCAGAGAAATGTTTGCGTGGGATCCAACACCTTTCCTGGCCCGAAAGACTTCTATCCAACTGTCAGGGCATAAAGGAAACAGCAGTTTTCAGTTTCACATTCTAAGAGAGCTTCCCCTGGATCCCGGAAAGGAAGAACTCCCACATTGCACCGCGCCACACCAGCCGGGCTCGCTGTGCATTCTGGGAGTCGTAGTCATTGTTCTGGTTTTCGACTCCGGCTTTTCTTGGAGAGAACTGGAGGCAGTTTTTTTCGGGAAGATTTTTTTCCTGGCGTTATTGAGTTACTGTAGTTCACAGCCCTCACTGTCGTGGCCTGAATGAGTAGTTCAGTTACCAGCTCTGTTTGTTAGCAGTTAAGAGCTAATAATGCAATGTGCCAAACTCCAAGTTATGCAGATGAAGACTGGGGGTCTTGAACACACATTTCATGAGGATCTATTAAAAAGGCTTGGGGGCTGGAGAGAGAGCACAGCGGGTAGGGCGTTTGCCTGGTACGCGGCAGATCCGGGTTAGATTTCCAGCATCCCATACGGTCCCCTGAGCACCGCCAGGAGTCACTCCTGAGTGCAGAGCCAGAAGTAACCCCTGTGCATCGCCAGGTGTGATCCAAAAAAAAAAAAAGGCTTGGAACTTGGGTGCGACAGTAATGCAATTGCACAAAATCCGTTCTATTTTAAGCTTGTGTTATAATGAGGCAGAGGAAATAAATAATAAGTAAATAAGATGATCATGGCAAATGTTAACAGAAAATATAACTGGTTTATTTATAAAGAGAATTAACATAGTCACAAAAAGTCTCATATGAAAGAACCCGGCTCGAAAAGGAGGAAGAACATTCTAGACAAAGGAAAGAAAAACAGAAACTCCAGGACTGGAGCAAAAAGAACAGTTCTAAAAGCAAAGACAGTTAATAGTATGATGTATCAAAAGCTAAGTCAACTAGTTTGCAGATCTTTGAAGGAGAATAACATGGTTTTATTCTGGGCACTGAGTGATTAAACATGGCAGATTGAACATGTACTGAATATGTACGAATATAATTTCTACTTCTTAACACCTACTGGTATGACAACAGGATAAAAATAGTAAGAAAAACAATTCACTAATGTGGGAATAGAGAAACAGTACAGCAGTTAAGACTCTTGCCTTCCTGATCTGGGTTCCATGCCCAGATCCCCCACAGCATTGTGGGGAGTGATCCCCAATCACAAAGCCAAGACTAAATAAACCCTGAGAACAGTCTGGTATGACCCAACCACACTTAGCTCCCCAAAAAAACCCTAAATAGTGTAATTCTAACGAAAATTTTAAAGCTAGTAGATGTCTTACTAAGCTAGTCAACCACATCATAGCAAATCTCAGTAACTTCATATTCCTGAGGAAAAGATAAAATGAACATGTGACCACACTAAGTTTTCAGTGTTAGAGCTCTTCATTTTACAATTCCTGCAGGTACATATCTGCAGGCTGACAAAGTTTTTTTTTCTTATATTTATTTTAGGCACTGTGGCTCACAATTCTGTTACATCACACCTTCTCCTAGCATGTCCACTTCCTTCCAACATTGTCCCACTTCCCCATCTCCATCCTGATTCAGGATGATTGACTCTTCAGTGTCCTCTTGAACAGCAGCAGAAACTTCCGTTTCTCTTCCTCACGCTTCTCTTCTCCTCACCTTGGTTTCCAATACTCTGTGTTCATATATAGCACTATACCTGCCGCTTACTTTGCTATCTGATTGGTTATACCCTATAGGGTCTTCCCATGAGAAAGACTAGTCAAACTCTTAAATGTGCCCTTGTGAGGGTTTGTCCGAAGTTCATAGGTCTTGATTATTGGATTTCTCCCTTCTTACATCCTCCCTGAGAAAAGTATGAATGAGTAATAACTGAGAGTAGTCAACAAAAGGACATGTCAAATAATATTCCAGAACTCTGGAAATGTTCAGAAATTAAGGACTAAATATTCTAAAAGAGATGTTAAACTTGGCCTGAAAAAAAAGAACATTTTCTGAAAGTCTGAAGAAGGATTTGTTAGAATCATACTTTCAAATTTTCTTCATTATCAAGTAGTCAAACTACTCATTTCCCCCTCCTTGACAGAAGATTTAGTTTATGAAAAAAAATAAGTCAGAGAATTATATGAATCAAAAATATACAATAAAGTTAGAGGTGAAGAGGTATCATTTAAAATGGGGAATAAAAGATAAATATTGAATTATGGAGCCACATTTCTCCATTCTGGTATTTGATTTATGATTCTGAATTAGATTGAAAAATTCTCCTTCATGGAAAGTCACTTTCCAAGAGATCAATAGATAATATATTTTTAGAAAACAGGCCAAATGAAATAGTTGAGAGCCCATTTTATCACTGTAAAGAGACCAATAACTTGAAAGTAAACAAGTCCTACTGATAAACTTGATTATTAACAGGTTTGTGTGTGTGTGTGTGTGTGTGTGTGTGTGTGTGTGTCTTAGTCTTAGTCTTAAAAATGAATGAAATCACACAGACTGTAGGACTTTTGAGTTCTACCGGAGGCAGGTAAATGAAACCAAAACAAGAGAAAAGAAATCTGGATTCTAAATAAACAGAAATTGCATTAAAATAAACTTCAAGGAAACTAAAATTACTATCTTTGAAGATTCAATCTCTGAATCAAAGCTAGGAACTACCTCTTGGTGCCAAAAATGCAAAAGAGGGACCAGAGAAATAGCACAGGGGCTAAGACAGTTTCCTTACACTGGAATCTCAGCTGAGGCCCTGGTTCAAATTCCCAGCACTGGGTATCCTTCCTCAGATCCAGAGTAGTGACTCCTGACCACATAATCAGGAATAAGCCCTGCAGTGCAGGATGTGGTCCCAAACCACTGTCACCTTCTCCCCATCCCCGAAATAAAATAGAAGAGTATATATGTATATAAAAGGATTTACATACATGTATGTATAGACATTTATATAAATATGCATATACAAGAATATATAAGAGAGAGGGAGCCTGAAAGAAGTAACACGAGATGGGAACTAAATTGCTTTTTTTCTGGTGTAGGAATCACGTGTTATTTATCTTGTATATTCTATAACAGCGTTGCAACTAGAAAAATCTCCTTCAGTATTGATCACTGAACCTGAGGAAGGAATACAACACTATTAGCGTGTTTTAAAATATTTAGACTACGTTCTTTACCTGGAATGACTTATTTCACCGATCACTGACTATCTGGGTGGAAAATCCACAGAACGTTTGAGACGACAAAAACTAGGTCTAAACTGTATGTTGAAAAGCATGAAGCAGGAGCCGAGAGTATGGGATGAAGTTCAGGCAGCTGCAGCTGGAATCTGCATTGTGAACTGCTGTCATCCCAATATTTTATACAGGACCTGGACTAGATTCAGCTCTCATTCCGTCTTCCTGTTGAACGAACGAATGAGAGGGCCCAAGAAAGAATCGGGCAGTGAGACACAGTCTCCCATCACACCGAGATCACAGTGCTCCACTAAAGCACAGGAATCTGCGTTCAGTCGGCCCCTATCTTTCCCTAAGTTGGACGGCACCGCGCGGTTTTCCCCGCCCCTCTCCCGGTGAGTGCGGCCACTACAGCCGCCGCCGCCGCCGCCGCCGCAGCGGCTGCCTTAGCCGTGTGCAAGGGCTTCTTGGGAACCGAGCCGCGGGGTCTCGGGGAAGGGGCGCCGGTGGCCGCCATCTTGAGTTGCCAGCCTGGTCGCTCCGCTCCAACGTTAGCCTAGCGGCGGCAGCCGACCGCCATCCCGACGCCGCAGCAGGTGACTGGGAAGTCGGAGCACGAGATCGGAGCACACTGATGGGTAAGTGGGAGTGACCGCCCGGGGTGAGCGTAGCAGCTGGACACTTTCGGAGCTCCGAGGTCCCGGGCGAGTGTTTTTCTTTCTATTCACTCCGCGACTTGCCGGGAGATCAGCCTCCGACCGAGGCAGGGTTGGGTTTTTTTTTTTTTTTCTCTACTGTCCGTGGCGGGGGGCGTGGCAGCCTTTCCCTTTTGAGAGCCCGAAGGCGCTCAGGGATCAAGCTCCTTCCCCAGCGAACCACCCTCCCTGGAAGGCGGGTTCCCCCTCTCTGCGCCCCAGCGCCTCTTTCCATTTCTGCTCCCCGGTTTCTTGGCGCTTCTTCGTTTCGGAACGGGCTTGGCCAAACGGTGATTGCCAGGAGCTCCGCGCCCGCCGGTGGCGGGAGCTTAGGAGAAGTTCCGTGCTCCGAGCAGCCTGGGTCGGGGTGTCTTGGGGGACCCTAGGAGCCGCTGCCTCCACCGGCGACCCCGCTGCCTTCCTGCCCCGGGAGGCGGCTGCCATCGGGTCCGGTTCGCCGGCCGCCTTCGGAGAGGAAAACTTAAGGAATTCCCGACCATGCGTGGGAATTGAAAGGACGGGAAAGTGGCGGAACGACTCGGTGGGATTTCAGAAGCGTAGGACGCGGGCATGCACTCTTGGACTTTAAAAAACCCACTGGTCGAACTGACTGAATGATTCATATTTTGTAGAAAGTGCTTTTTTCTTCTTCTTCTTTCCCCTCTCCCCACCCCTCTTGATTGGCAAGAGCACTGCGTGTGTGGCTGTAAGGGCTTGTGGAAGCTTGTGCTCTTGCTAAGACACTCAAACCTAGGCAAGTAAGAGTCTCTTACTGGTCCAAGACATTCCTTTAACAGATTATTCGGAAAAGTTTGAATTCTAGTTATTTAGCCAGCCTCAGGGACCGTTTTTTTCAGAGTATTTGCCCTCTCTCACCCCCACCTTTCTCTTTGTTCTGCAACCTGAGTCTGAATATCATTTCTTGTATCTAAAATAACTCTTTGGGTGCAGGAACATTTGAAAACAGTTTTCAGAGTTATTTTCCAGGGAATGAAACAATCGAGTTGGGCAGGCACTTTTACAGATACCTTTTCTTGGACTTGATGCCCCCAAAGCAACTGCAGTGAGTTGTAGACTGTTGATAGTGGACAAGGATTTCATTTTATAGAAGAAAATGAACAAATGGTACATGAATAGTCGGGGGTAGTTGACATTTATTCGGAAAGATTATATTGTCACTTAGAGGTGAGTAGTGTCTGAGTTGCAGGGAGGAAATATTAGGACATTAATTATTTTGCTTTTGAAAACTATATCCAGGGGCTGAAGCGATAGCACAGTGGGTAGGGCGTTTGCCTTGCACGTGGCTGGCCTGGGTTCAATTCCCAGCATCCCAGATGGTCACCTGAGCACTTGCAGGAGTAATTCCTGAGTGCATGAGCCAGAAGTAACCCTTGTGCATCACCAGAGGTTACTCCTGCACTCAGGAGTCACTCCTAGCAGTGCTCAGGGGACCATCTGGGATGCCAGGGATCAAACCCCAGTCAGCCCCGTGCAAGGCAAATTCTCTTATTGTCCAGGTCCCTGATATGTTAATTTGGTTTAATGTAGACACTTAATATTTGCTGGATAAATCAAAGAAGATTTGATTGAATAATTTATTTATAGTGCTAGTACAACTTAAATATCTTTTTAAAAACCTGTTTTCAAAAATTATTTTCTTCTGTTTCTCATTTTTCCCCATCTTCTTTCTTTTATCAACAAAAATGAGATCATTAAGGTTGTTCTTCAGTCTGTTTTCTTTTATACTTCTATTTGATATTGAGTAGTCAATCACTACGCAGTACACTGAGCTGACCTATTTGAACCATCTATAGAACCTATATGTGCCCTTAGTACTGTAAATTTTTAATTTTTGGTGGGGCCACACCCGGTGATACTCAGGACTTACTCCTGCTCTGCACTCAGGAGTCACTCCTGGTGGTGCTCAGAGATGCTGAGGATCTAACCTCAGATGGCCTGGGCTGGGCTGCGTGCAAATCCAATGCCTTAGCTGCTATACCATATCTCCAGCCCCCAAGTTTATGGTTTTTTATAAAGCTACTATGCACCTATTAGAATTGTTAAGATTAACAACAAAGAAAATCCTGACAAAACAGAGATACAGTTACAAAGCTTTCATGTTTGGGTTTCAGTCATACAATGATCAGACACCCATCCCTCCACCAGTGCACATTTTCCACCACCAATGTCCCCAGTGTCTTCCGCCTCATCCCAACCCTCCCCCTGCCTCTATGACAATTTCTCCCATACTCTCCACTTTTGGACTTTATTTATGGTTTGCAATATGGATACTGAGAGGCTATCACATTTGGTCCTTTATCTGCTGTCAGCACACATCTCATTCTGTCTCTTGTGTATCTCTAGTCTACTCAATTTTTTTATTGTATAATTATGCCAGGCTTCTTCAAGAACTTTGCTTTTGCATATATTCCCTCTAAAATGTTTATTCCTTCACTTTTCATTTGATTCTCTTCTCTGCAAAATTCTTGCTCATCCTTTAGGATACACAACTGTGAAATCTTTCAGATATTCTATGTCTTCACACATCTCCCATCCCGACTGATCTCTCCAGCCATCATTGATTTAATGATCCCAGCTGCCTTCTCCCCCAGCTCATGAGGCAGGCTTCCAACCATGGAGCAGTATTCCTGACCCTTGTGTCTACTGTCCTTCGCTGTCAGTCTCATGTTATTTTATATTCCACAAATGAGTGCAGTCATGCTATGTCTGTCCCTCTCTTTTTGACTCATTTCACTTAGCATGATACCTTCCATGACCATCCACTTATAAGCAAATTTCATGACTTCATCTTTCCTAACAGCTGCATAGTATTTCATTGTATAGATGTAACAAAGTTTCTTTAACCTGTCATCTGTTCTCCTGTCCGATTGTTTTCAGATTCTGGCTATAGTGAACAGTGCTGCAAGAAGCATATACTTTCAACATACCCATCAGACCTAACTATTTACTCAAGAATAAGGAAATCTTATTTATTTGAAAATCTGCACATGACTGTCAGTAGCACTGTAGCACTGTCCTCCCGTTGTTCATCAATTTGCTTGAGTGGGCCCAGTAACGTCTCTATCGTGAAACTTGTTACATATCGAATACCTCATGAGTAGCTTGCCAGGCTTTGTCAGGCGGGCGAGATACTCTCGGGAGCTTGCTGGGCTCTCCAAGAGGGGCGGAGGGTTGGTCGGGCCTGCTGTGTACAAGGCAAATACCCTACCCACTGTGCTATTGCTCCAGCCCAAGTGACCGTCTATAGCAATTTATTTATAGTTGCCCTAAACTGGAAACAACATAACAGCTTTTCACTAGTAAAGGGATCAGCTATGTATGTTCATAGAATATTACTAAAGAATAAGAAGGAATTAATTATTGTTAAATACCAACAACATAGATGACCAGCTGGCATACAATGCTCGATGATGGTAACTAATGCAAGACTGCATACTGTATTATCCAGCTTAAGTGTAGTTCAGAAAAAGGCAGAACTATGATGTTCCAATTGTGTTTTGTGATCATCTGAAATAACTCAAGTTAAAAATCATCAAGTCAAAAAAAAAAAAAACATAAAATGTATGAACATCTTTCCTCTGAACTAAAAAAAAAAAAAAATCATCAAGTCATCTATGCCCTTTTCCTCATCATGTATTCCTTATGTTCTTTTGGACTCTAATTTTTATTGAGTCAATTTCAGAAATATTCTGGAACCCAAACCTATGTTCTATTTTTCCGACATAGCTACTAATTTTGTTCACATTTGTATCACCAAACCTTCATCATTTAACTTTCTCCAATTTCTTTAATTATGTTTCTTAATGTGAAATCCTGATTTATATAAATATATAAATTTTTATATATATAAAAATTGCAGGAACAATTTTTGTTCTTGTTTGATGTTCTGATTTTATCTTGTTCTGTCTCTTGTGTATCTCTAGTCTACTCAATTTTTTTATTGTATAGTTATGCCAGGCTTCTTCAAGAACTTTGCTTTTGCACATATTCCCTCTAAAATGTTTATTCCTTCACTTCTTTTCATTTTATCCTCTTCTCTGCAAAATTCTTGCTCATCCTTTAGGATACATAACTGTGAAATCTTTCGGGTATTCTATATCTTCTCTGTCTTCAGATATTTTAATGCATATCTTTCAGTGCTCTATTTGCAATAAAATTCAGTACTAAATTGGTCTTTCACTTCTTCCTCAGCGATAACAAATGCTAAATCCTATTGCCAACACTTAGTGTTGACTTTGTAATTGCTAACTGATCATAAAATTTTCTCTGAGTTTGGATATGTCTTCAGAATTTATCAAAATGATGCTCTATGTAGCTTAATTATTTCTCATGTATTAAAAGTTGATAACTTGTTCTTTTAAATTTTATATTTAGACCTAAACTAGGTTATAATATCAGTAATACATTCATTTCAAATATTATTAAAATGTAAATATAATATTAAAAAATAAAATGGATAAGTGGAATGAATTGTGTGATGTTGGATAAAAACTAGATTTTTAGTAGTGATCATTATGTAGTATATACAGGTGTTACTATTTAAAACCTTATACCTGAAACCTATGTAGCATTATAAACCAATGTTACCTTGATACAATTTTATTATTTTTAAGTAAAATGACATGATGTTATATTTATATTTATGTAAAATAAATATTTTATATACACTTTATTTATATAAATGCAGATGTTTTAGAATGCATTTGTGATAAAGCTACTTAAAAAGAAAAAAATAATAGGGGCTGGAGAGACAGTACAGTGGATAAGGCATTTGCCTTGCAGGAGGTTGTCCCAGGTTTGATTCCTGGTGCTTGATATGGTCCTGCCAGAAGTGATCCCTGAGCAGAGAGCCAGGAGAAAGTCTTGGACACTGCTGAATGTACCCTCCCCCACCCAAGAAAAAATGAATAGAAGAATTTGAGGGGGGCAAATGGGGCAATGCTCAGGGGTTACTCTCTACACTCAGGAATTACTCCTGGTGGTGCTCAGGGGTTCATATGGGATGCTGGGGATTAATTGCTGCAAACTGCACTTGCCATGTGCACGGCATGTACTCGATCTACTGTACTATATCTACAGCTCCAAGTATACAAGAATTTCTAGTATTTAAAAAGAAAGCTAGTATTGCTAGCTTTATGCTAGTTATGAACTCGAGTTATGACCCATGTGGTCTTTAATTTTAAAAAAATTGGTCAGGCCCCAATAAATATTTAAGGTACGGCTCTTAAACCTAATTTTATGATTTAAACTATTTTCTGATTATTTCATGAACAGTAGTAATTTTAACATGTAATATACTTCAGAAAGATCAAAAGACGAGGAAAGGGAAAGTACATCTTAGAATCAGTAAAAATGGGGTAACTACTTTGTTTTAACCATAATATAGTAATTGATAGCTTATTCAAAAATATTTGGTTGATGTTCCAGTTTTCATATGGAATAGGGAATATGGTTTTTTAATTTAATTTCCATAATAAATTTTATTAATATAGTATGAATTCAATTCTCCTTGACTAAAAATCTGTGTTGTCTTGTGAGTTATTAGTATCTGTTTGCTTTTCTCCCAACTTTAAGATGCCATGGCTAGTCCAGGAAAAGATAACTATAGAATGAAAAGTTATAAGAATAAGGCTCTAAATCCCCAAGAGATGCGTAGACGAAGAGAAGAAGAAGGAATACAACTACGAAAACAAAAAAGGGAGGAACAGGTAGGTGTTTTAAAATATTTTATTTTATTTTGGGGAGGTGAGAGTTCCACAATCAGTGGTTCTCATCTCCGTATTTTGTTGTAAGAGTCACTTTATTGCAGCAGTTAGTACCAAACTAGTCTTAACAGTGTACTCTAATAACAAAAGTCAATGTCTTCTTTCCTCTCCTCTTCCTTTATTTCTGTCTCTCAAAATATCTTACTGTATGTGATGTTTGCAGACTTCAGTTGACCATAAGTAGCTAAAACCACTGATAAGGGGGACCTACTGAATTAAAATTTTGGATCACTGTGCTACAGAGCAGTATAAATAATTTTAAAAATTAAGAGGTTTCAGGTGAAAAACTTGCCTTGAATATGTGAGGCCCTAAGTTGTATATCCAGCACTGCCAAAAATAGAAAAACAGCAACAAAACAACTAGACAGGGTTATGTTCTTATGTACTCACATGCACAAATTAAAGTTACTGTGTGAAAGGATTAGCAATGAAGAGAAAGGCCTATTTTAGCAATATGGTAATTATTTGCCCTCTCCCATCTGTAGTGTGTAGCATAACTTTAATATAGTAGTTGCCAAAAAAATAAAAATCTGTTGAATGAGTGACATAAAGAGAACTGTACAGATTAAACATGTTTTTAATTCTCAAAATTAAAAGAACAGGTGTTTTTCTCTCAATTTTGATTTAATAAACATGCCTATCGGTATAACATAGGTAAGGTAAGGTAAAGGTAAAGGCCCTCCCGTTGATCATCGATTTGCTCGAGCGGGCCCAGTAACGTCTCCATTGGAGACTTTGTTGTTACTGTGTCTGGCATATCAAATACTCTCGGTAGCTTGCCGGGCTCTCCGAGAGGGGCAGAGGAATCGAACTCGGGTCAGCCATGTTGGCTGCATGCAAGGCAAACGCCCTACCCGCTGTGCTATTGCTCCAGCCCTACACAGGTAACATTTTTTTTTTCTTATTTCATCTGTTCTTGAATTAATAAGTATAGAATGTTTTTTTCTGAGAATTATTTTTTTTTTTTTTTTTTTTTTTTTTTTTTTTTTTTTTTATTTTTTATTAGTGAAACAACATGAGGTACAGTTATAGATTTACAAATTTTGTGCTTGGATCTCGGTCATACCACGATCAAATACCCATCCCTCCACCAGTGCCCATTTTCCACCACCAGGATAATATCCCTCCCCCCCATCCTCCCATCCCCCCATCCCCCCCTGCCACTGTGGCAGGGCATTCCCCCCTGTTCTCTCTCTCCTCCTGGGCGCTGTGATCAGCCAAAGAGGCATTGAGTGGCGAACATGTTCAGTCCAGTCTACTTTCAACCTGCATCTCCCCTCCTGGGAGGATCCTCCAAACACCCTCCACTTGGCGTTCCCCTCTCCATCTGAATTGTCCTTTCCCCTAGAATGCCCAGCTGGCCTCTAAGTTATGGAGTAATTCTCCTGGTGTTGTGGGTATTAATCTCATATTTTATTATTTTATATCCCCCAGATGAATGCTATCTTTCTATGTCTATCCCTCTCTTTCTGACTCATCTCGCTTAGCATGATACTTTCCATATTGTACCACTTGTATGTAAAGTTCGTGATTTCATCTCTTTTAAGAGCCACATAGTACTCCATTGTGTAGATGTACCAAAGTTTCTTTAACCAGTCATCTGTTCTTGGGCACTCAGGTCTCTTCCAGTTTCTGGCTACTGTAAAGAGTGCTGCAATGAACAAACAAGTGCAGATGTCCCTTCGGCTACACGTTTTTGCCTCTCTGGGATATATTCCCAGGAGTGGTATCGCTGGGTCAAATGGGAGCTCAATTTCTAATTTTTTGAGGAACGTCCATACTGTTTTCCAGAAGGGCTGAACCAGTGGACATTCCCACCAACAGTGAAGGAGTGTCCCTTTCTCGCCACATCCGCGCCAGCAACGGTTGCTTTTGTTCTTTTGAATGTGGGCCAGTCTCTGAGGTGTGAGATGATATCTCATTGTGGTTTTGATCTGCATCTCCCTGATGATTAATGATGTAGAGCATTTTCTCATGTGCTTTTTTGCCATTCGGATTTCTTCTTTGAGAAAGTTTCTGTTCATTTCATTGCCCCATTTTTTGATGGGGTTGGATGTTTTCTTCTTGTGGAGTTCTACCAGTATTTTGTATATCCTTGATATCAACCCCTTGTCAGATGTGTATTCGGCGAATATTCTTTCCCATTCTGTAGGCTGTCTTTGTATTTTGGTCACTGTTTCTTTGGAGGTACAGAAGCTTCTTAGTTTAAGATAGTCCCATTTATCTATCTCTGTTTTCACTTGCTCAGCCAGTGGCGTGTCATCTTTGAACATACCATTAGCCTCAATGTCATGGAGGGTTTTGCCAACTTTGTCTTCAATGTATCTTATGGTTTCTGGTCTGATATTGAGGTCTTTAATCCATTTTGATCTTACCTTTGTACATGGTGTTAGGCAGAATTCTGAGCCCATTTTTTTGCATGTAGCCGTCCAGTGATGCCAGCACAATTTGTTAAAGAGGCTTTCCTTACTCCACTTCACATTTCTTGCACCTTTATCAAAGATTAGATGATCATATGATTGGGGGGTGATGTCAGTGTATTCAACTCTGTTCCATTGGTCTGCAGTTCTGCCTTTGTTCCAGTACCATGCTGTTTTGATTATTACCGCTTTGTAGTAAAGTTTGAAGTTCGGGAGGTTGATTCCTCCCATTTTCTTTTTCCCAAGAATTGCTTTAGCTATTCGTGGGGGTTTATTATTCCATATAAATTTCAGGAGTGTTTTCTCCATTTCTTTGAAGAATGTCATGGGTATCCTTATAGGGATTGCACTGAATTTGTACAGTGCTTTCGGTAGTATTGCCATTTTGACAATGTTAAGTCTTCCGACCCATGAGCAGGGGATGTCTTTCCATTTCCTCATGTCCTCTTTTATTTCCTGAAGTAGCGTTTTGTAGTTTTCTTTGTACAGGTCCTTTACTTCCTTAGTTAAGCTGATTCCTAGGTACTTGATTTTCTGGGGCACAATTGTGAACGGGATTGTTTTTTTCATGATGCTTTCTTCTCTCTCACTGTTTGCATATAGGAAAGCCATGGACTTTTGTGTATTGATTTTATAACCTGCAACTTTACTATACAAGTCTATTGTTTCTAGGAGTTTTTTGGTGGAGGTTATTGGGTTCTCTAAGTATAGTATCATATCATCTGCGAATAGTGAGAGCTTTATTTCTTCCTTTCCTACCTGAATGCCCTTAATGTCTTTTTCTTGCCTAATTGCTATTGCAAGTACTTCCAGTACTATATTGAACAGCAGTGGAGAGAGTGGGCATCCTTGTCTCGTCCCTGATCTTAGAGGGAAGGCTCTCAGTTTTTCCCCATTGAGGATGATGCTTGCTGTAGGCTTGTGGTAGATGGCTTTAACTATGTTGAGGAAAGTCCCCTCTATGCCCATTTTGGCTAGGGTTTTCATCATAAAGGGGTGCTGGATCTTGTCAAATGCTTTCTCTGCGTCTATTGATATGATCATATGCTTTTTATCTTTTCTTTTGTTGATATGATGGATTATGTTGATTGATTTCCGAATGTTGAACCATCCTTGCATCCCTGGGATGAATCCTACTTGGTCATGGTGTATGATCTTTTTGATGAGTAGTTGGATTCTATTTGCTAGTAGTTTGTTGAGGATCTTTGCATCTGTGTTCATCAGGGATATCGGCCTGTAGTTCTCTTTCTTTGTGTTATCTCTGTCTGCTTTTGGTATCAGTGTGATATTTGCTTCATAGAAACTGTTCGGAAGTGTATTTGATATTTCAATTTCATGGAAAAGCTTAAAGAGGATTGGGAGTAAGTCTTCTTTAAAGATTTGGAAGAATTCACTGGAGAATTATTTTTTTCTGGTAATTAAATATGCTGTTAATATACCACAGATTTATCTCTTTCTGCCATTTTTTTCAAACTGCTTTTAAATTAAGATTTTGTTGAAATAATTCTTATGTATCCAATTCATAATCCAGAAAGGTCTTACATTCATTGTCAAATGCTGTAAAATGTAAATGTGTACCTGCGGATTGACAATTGATAAAAGATGTGGGAGATACTAAAATAATTTAAATGATAAAATTAAAAGTTTTTTTTATTTCAGTAATGTATTTCTGTGGAAAGTCAGCATTTTTGGAAAGCTCAATAAATATATTACTTTTTTTTTAATTATAGTTGTTCAAACGCAGAAATGTCTCTTTGCCCAGAAGTGATGAATGTATGCCAGAAAGCCCTATCCAGGATCCAGATATCAGTTCCACTGTACCAATTCCTGAGGTAGATATAAAAAAAAAGTATTTTATACTCAATAATATTTCAAATATAGTGAATACCACATATAAGATTCTTGCACAGTTTAAAATGATAAATGGTATTTTTTGTGTGTTTTAGGAAGAAGTTATTACCACAGACATGGTTCAGATGATTTTTTCTAATAACACTGATCAACAACTAACAGCAACACAGAAATTTAGAAAACTGCTTTCTAAAGGCAAGAATTATTTTCAGCATGTATAGTTACTATTACAAATTTCTGTGGTGAAATTTTATTTATTAGGCTTTAAAATATTCTAAGGTTTTTTTTTAACCACTTAGGGTCACAATTTAAAAAAATTTTTTTTCAAGTACCATATGTTCAGCCAAGGAGATATCTCAAAAGGTTTGAGTGCATACTTTGCATTTTGGACGTGGATTTAATCCCTCTTACTGCATGGTCCCCAAGCACCACCAAGAGTGAACTCTGAACAACACTTGGCAGAAGCCCCTGAGCACAGTCAGTTGTGAGCCAGAACCCAAAAACAAAGCAAAGATCAAAACCAAAATGCGATATATTGACTGTGGAATATTTTCAAATATTAAGGTCAAGGTCAAATTTTCAAATATTAAGGGCTGGAGCGATACCACAGCGGTAGGGCGTTCGCCTTACAAGCGGCCAACATGGCCGACCCGAGTTCGATTCCTCCGCCCCTCTCGGAGAGCCCGGCAAGCTGCCGAGAGTATTTGATATGCCAGACACAGTAACAACAAAGTCTCCAATGGAGACGTTACTGGGCCCGCTCGAGCAAATCGACGATCAACGGGAGGGCCTTTACTTACTCGAGCAAGGTCAAGGTCATTAGTCTTGCTAATAAAGTTAGAGATAGGTTTTTAACCAGATTTTATATATATATACATACATACATACACATATACCTATCTATATTATGGCAACATAACATGAATGGGAATATAAAATAATCTCAACTCATGTTTCTCTCAAATCTTTATCATAGAGAATATCACATAACTTGTTGTGTAATCTATAACTTCCTTAGTATAAGTTTGTAAAAGTAAAATTTTTGGATGAAATAGTAACAGTGTATTAATTTATATTCCCATTCTTAATTTATGCAAGTGTTTAGTTAACTCTATTCTTACCAACATAATTTTTGGAATGTTTGGAGGATGCCTCCAGTGGTGTTCCAGTGCTGCACTTGGCTCTGTGTTTGGAGCTTCTTCTGGCAGCTCTCCTGGCAGTGCTCTGGAGAATTATGTAGCACTGAGATCTAATCTGGGTCTTATAAGCATGAGCTTACCCCAGTGAGTTATCTCTTTGGCCCAACACTATTTGAAAATCAAAACAAAGCAAATGCAGTAAACTCACTTTCTGACACTTAGGGGCTATGTAAATTGGATATTTTTCTTCTGTTATTGACTTTGTAAGTCATAATTGCCTACATATGGTTGCTATTCAAATTTATATGAAGGTTATACAAATTGCCTTTTTGAAAATTAACTTTTTGTGTTTTATATGTAGAACTAATCATTATAATTGGGATATATATATATATATATATATATATGAACTGATAAGATTTTAACAGTGCCCTTGATTCACTTAGCTATGTTATTTTCCTAGTAGGAGATAGAACTTACTAACCCATGAGAAAGAAAGAAGTCTGTGTTGAGAAAAGCTTAAGAACAGGCTTAGCTTTTGTTTTCTTTACTGTACTAATTAGTCATACTTATGTATTGGTCATACTTAAATAACTTCATTTTCCATTTATTAGCTAAAGTAGTTTAGCAATATGAGGAAATTCTCATAAATGAAAAGGACTTCCTCTTTTATTACACGTCATGTTATTTTTTATAATTGAGATTATTTTATGAATTAGATTACTATAAAATTTTAAATATTTTGAATGTGCAACAGCTTTTTTTGTTTGTTTGTTTGTTTGTTTGTTTGTTTGTTTGCCACACATAGCGGTGCTCAGGGCTTACTCCTGGTTCTGTGCTCAGGAATCTCTCCCCACTCTTGGTGGGGTGCAAGGGAACCTATAAGGTGCCAGGGATCAAAACTGGTTAGCCACCTGCAAGGTGAGAGCCCTACCTGCTCTACTATCACTTAGGCCATATCAGATCTTTTGACGTGTATTAATAATAATCAATTTACAGAACTTTTTATTAGATTAATTACTTAAAATTGCTAAAGTTTGCAACCATTGTTTGTAAACTTAAATATTCCCATTACTTAAAAATAGATTATTTCCTAGCTTTAATTAAACACCACGGTTTACAAAGATGTTCATAATTCAGTTGTTTCAGGCATCCAATGTTCCAGCACCAATCCCACCACCAGTGTGACCTTCCCACCACCATTGTCCCCAGTTTCCCATCCACCCCTCAAGCCTGCCCCCTTAGCAGGCACAAAATAATTGATTTTATAATTCTTATTACAACAAAATGGTAAGTGGAATTAATCAAAAAATAGTTTGGTGAGAGAAAGATTTTGAAATTTGTTATATCTCACATTGTTGTTATTCTGTCTTTTGTCTGAGGATTTATTGATCTGTTTGTTACTAGTTGAGCCTTCTGTGTTAATGTTTTCGCTTATTGAGCTTAGTGAGAAAGAGCTATGCTACTTTCTGATCTAATTTGCTGTGCTGCTACCGGGCTTTCAGGATTATGGAATTTGAAGGTGTTGCACAGTCACATATGTAGCCACACATGCTGCACTCCAGGAGCTCTAGGACCTCTGGAACTGGGATGATTTTCTGCCCATCCTTATCCTAATGAGACCCCAGACTTTTTCAGCCTGAAGACTAGTCCTAGGCAGTTCAATAGCTTGGCCTCTGTTCTGACTTTAGTTGTGAAACTGTGAAGTTGGCTTATTTATTTGATGGAGGTGGTGAGAGAAGGGGGTGACTTCTGGAGCTTATAGCAGTACAGAGTCGGGAGAGAGGCATGGCTGCCCAACCTGACTCTGAGAAGGCCCCAGAGTTTGAAACCTGAAAACCAGAGTACGTGAGAATATAACTTTCCCACTATTGAATTTTGTGGTTAGTCATAAGATTTTTATTTTAATTTGCCTAACTCCTATAATGTAAAGTTTTTTTGAGTCCACTTATCTATATCTATAATCATATCCATATATTTTTGTAGTAAAGTCAATCATTTTCTGATTCTTAGTATTGCAATTATCTTTGTCCAGGGAAGACATGTAGCAGGAATTATGATTGTTTTACTTATTGATGTGAGTTCTTGAAAAAGCAGTTTCGCCTAGAAAAATATTAAAGTTACTGTAGTTTTTACTTGATCCGTTTCTGTGATAAACATAGAAAAGAAATTAGAACTAGAACTGGAGCAAGAATTGTAGCATCTCCAATATAACTTATGGTGCGGCCTTTTGCTAGTCTGTGTAGTTTTCTATCAGGCCACTCTTTTAGATAGAAATCACCAGTTGACCTTTCCTTCAGTTCAGTTTTTTTGTTTGTCTTGTTTTAATTGGTTTTTATTTTGGGGTCAAACCCAGTTGTGCTCAGGGCTTACTCCTGGTTTTGCACTCAGGATCATTTCTGGTGGGGCTCAAGGACCAGACAGGTGCTGGATCCATCCTGGGTTGGCTGCACACAAGGTATGTGCCTTACCCACTGTACTATCTCTCTGACCCCATGTTTCGTTCTTAAATGTATATATTCATCCATCTACATATATAAATATAACTGACAGCCACAATACCCACATCTAACCAGTTAACTCTCCTTTTTTTTTTTTCAATATCCTCCAAGTAAGTGGGAGAGCAAATCCAGCAGGTAGGGTGCTTGACTTACATGTGCATACCTGAATTTGATCCCAGCACTACACTCAGGTCCCCTGAGCCCTGCCAGGAGCGATCCCTTCATGCAGAGCCATGAGTAAACCCTCAGCACCATTGGATGTGGTCCCAAACCAAACAAAAGAAAGGGAAAAATGAATGTTAATATTTATATTAATATAAGAATCAAATTAGTAAATACTTACTGTTATTAGAATTTATTTTGGAATAAAAAAACTGGAATTAGAAGGTGGTAAGTACAGTGTAATAATTTTATTTGGTTTTATTGCAAATAATTTTTATACTATATGTATATAAATAAAATGTATAAATGTATGTGTAAAAATATAAGTATATATAATATTAAAAAAGTACATGTATATACATTTATTTATCCGCCAGCTTTTTTAAAAATTCAAATCAAAATGATTACATTGTAGTTACCGTCTTCCAATATACATTATTTTATCTTGTTAATGGTTTCTAACTTTAATGACAGTTTAAGCTTATGTGTGAAGTTTAAGTTTTGAAGAATCTGTACTCTTGTTTAGCATACCCAAATGATATTTTATGGCTGTATGTTTGCAAGCTACAGAAATTTTCTGATTTTTTTTTTTTTTGGTTAAATATTGGTTTACGGGCTGGAGCGATAGCACAGCAGTAAGGCGTTTGTCTTACACGCAGCCAACATGGCCGACCCGAGTTTGATTCCTCCGCCCCTCTTGGAGAGCCCGGCAAGCTACCGAGAGTATCTCGCCCACTCGGCAGAGCCCGGCAAGCTCCCCGTGACGTATTCGATATGCCAGACACAGTAACAACAAAGTCTCCAATGGAGATGTTACTGGGCCCGCTCGAGCAAATTGATGATCAACGGGAGGGCCTTTACTTTTACTTTACTTAAGTATTGGTTTGTTTTGTTTTTTGGAACCCATACCCAGCTGTACTCAGGGTCTACTTCTGGCTTTGTCCTTATGATTAATTCGTGGTAGTACTTTGGGAACCATGTATGGGGCCAAGCATTTAAACTAGGGTCAGCAGCATGCAGGGCAGACACCCTACACCGCCCCCCCCCCCCCCCCCCGTGCTCTCTCTCCCACCCCATCAATTTTGAAATTCTTGCTAAGTTAGAAGCAGCAAGTTGTAGGAAAAAGAAGGAATAAATAAGTCAGTTGCTAAGTAAAAATTTCTTAACAATTGAATACCTAATGTATAATAGTTTTTCTATGCCAAACAACTATGGTGTGTCAAGTTTTTTTTAATGGTTATTTATTTTCTCATTAAACAGTATGTTATCATGTACATGTAAATTATTTATAAACTATATAATGCAGGCAAATAGTAGTGAAGAAAATCAAAAGTAGAAATGAGATTTTTCTTATAGGTGGACAGATAATTGAGTAAGAGATTAAATGGGTGGTGGGTAAAAGGCAAGCGGGGGCAGACTAAGCTCAATACTACTTTTGATTTAGTTTGGGCTGTGCTACATTTTAAGTATTCCATGGAGGAAGAAATTTTGCTAATAAACACTTCAAAATACAGTCTGCAGTGTAGAAACAAAAAATTCAGCTGTGGATGTTAGATTTGTGAATTACTATAATGATATTCATAAGGGATAAATAAATTAGAAAAATAAATATTCTGAGATGAGGCTAAGAGGAAGAATACCAATCAAGAGAAAAATAACTGTTATTGGAGAACCACAAGAACATATCACTTTGTTGAAGCCAAGAAGAGAAGCCAAGAGAGATCTTTTTGTGCTCAGTAGCAAAATTATCTTTGTTTTAACTTTTTTTTGTATTTGTGTTTTAAAGTTTCTTAGACATTTTATAATTCACAAAATCATATATGATTTATGAAAAATTAAGAATTACAGATTACTCTATAATAATTCTGTAAATAATAGTATTTTGAGAGAATAGAATTTCATCAGGCTCTGAGAGACATTAAGTAATTTCACCTAAAAATTGAGAGTAGTGTTGGAAAAACTTAGTGGGAATTTTATTCCCAAGTTGATGTTTTGAGTGTTGAACTGAAATACTCCCAAGTTGTGAAGGTAACCTCCAAAATAACTTTTAATTTATAAAATTTAAATATTTTGTAGGAGGTAGTTTTTTAATATCTGTCATTAATGAAAAAATTGCTTTCTGGTAAACATTACTGCTATGAAAATATTTGTCATCATTTTGCTATCCAGGCAAGGTTTTTAAAATTGGTCATTGATACCTGGAAGTTATTTGTATGTCCTGTTAATTGATAGAAAGACCAAATCATTGCCTTGTTGTGTCCATATGATGGCTTAACTCTTTTACATTTTTAGAACCCAATCCACCAATAGACCAAGTTATTCAAAAGCCAGGAGTTGTGCAGAGATTTGTGAAATTTCTTGAACGAAATGAGAATTGTACTTTACAAGTGAGTTCTATAGCTTATTTTATGATCTTTTTGTATAACTAGCATGTTTAGAGCTTCTAAAGTGACTTCTCAATAACAAATATATTGTAAGTGTTCAATAAAATTTGGCTATTAAATGAAAAGTTAGTGTCACCTGTTCTGCTATGGTCATTGTTGAATGTTAGTTTTGCTTTGTTGTTGTTTGGGGGAACCACAGTTGACCGTGCTCAGGGCTTGGGATGAATGTGAGTTTGGCAGGCTGAACAGAGGAAAGTTAATTTCAATGGAGAATGGTATGTGTAGAGTACAGGGTATTCAAGAAGAGCAATTGGAGCTTGAGAAATGTGATTGACACTTCATGAAATTCAACAGTATAAAATTGGGACAGGTATATGCTATTTTCCATTGATATTACCTAAGTTAATGTCAAATACCATAGTTCAGGACGTTGACTTAACTAATAGAGAGGCTTCAAGCTGGTGATCTCTAATCAAATTGACCCACAAATTACATGTTTTATTTAGCCTGCACAAGTTGTGTTTTTTTGGGTTTTGGTTTTTGGTTTTTTTTTGCTTTTTGGGTCATACCTGGCGATGCACAGGGGTTCCTCCTGGCTCATGCACTCAGGAATCACTCCTGGCAGTGCTCAGGGGACCATATGGAATGCTGGGAATCGAACCCGGGTCAGCCGCGTGCAAGGCAAACGCCCTCCCCACTATGCTATCGCTCCAGCCCCAGCCTGCACAAGTTTTTAAAGATTACTTAGTACACTTAAAGAATTGAGGAATTACAAATAAAAATCTATACTGAGGAGCAGAGAGATCGTACAGGGTTAATTGGGTAACATGCAGCAAAACTGGTCTTGATCCCTAGCATCACATGCGTTCTCCCACGTATCACCAGGTGTAGCCCCTGAGCCACCACCAAGTATGACCCAAACCCCCTCCCAAAAATCTAGTTTGGTTTTGATAAAAAACCTAAGTTGGCATTTTTGCCACATAGTAAAATAGTAAAGTAGGGAACATAAGTTGGCTATGCTTGATGGCGTTCAGGGCCATCACCAGTAGTGCCCTGGCAAGGTTGGAGTTGGGAGCCATAACAACCACAGCTAGCAGAATTGGAAATGCAGAGCTGGGGCTTAAGCTCAGCCTTGCATATACTAGGCATGTGTTGTACAATATGAGCTATCTCCCAGCTCCATATAACAATTTTAGAACTGTAGCCACTCCATATTTTGCTTGTGTATTTGTAAATAATTTTCTATAATTCACTAGTTTGAGAGCTATGGGTTGAATTTCCTCAGTTTTGTTGTAAGTCATGCAAAATATATGCAAATTCTAGTTTAATTGATATAAATAACTTGTCAGAGACTGCTGCTTTGACAAAAAATGCCACAAATGTTTTTCCTATCTCTGCTTATACGAAATTCTTTGGCTTAGAACAATTACTTAAACTTGTAGTTTTCTTGTTTCCTATATGGAGAGCTTGGGGATTAGATGTTCTGTAGAGAAACAAAAGTACCTTTATGATTCTAAGTTTAACAAATAATACCATTGTTCTATTATGCAATGCCTCTTTAAACTCCTTGCTTTAGAACACCTGTCTAATAATAAACATTAGGAGTCTTCTGACTTAAACATGCATGTGTTCCATTGTTGTTCATAATTTTGTAAACTTACTATATTTCTTTTCAGTGTTTATTTTCCAGATTAAGGAGTTTTTTAAAAAAAATTCATGTTTTTTCTCTATGAAGTCATATTTCAAATTCAGTCATACTGATTAGGCCAGTGTGAATTTACCTAGCTGGATTCCCCCCCTCACCCCTATACCTGTTTGAACATTTCTTTGGCACTTTAATTTATTTTACTTTTATTTTTCCTTAGTTTGAAGCTGCATGGGCATTAACTAATATAGCGTCTGGAACATTTCTGCATACCAAGGTAGTGATAGAAACTGGGGCTGTTCCAATTTTTATCAAACTTCTTAATTCGCAGCATGAAGATGTTCAAGAACAGGTAAGTTTCTAATTTGAATTGTTACACTGACTTCCAAAAAAGTTTTTAACTATTGCCATCACCACTAACAGAATATTAGACTGCAGAGAGTACAGTGTTAAGTGATTTTTTTTTGAGCGCAGAAAGCAAATTTTAGAATAGATATTAAACATATTAAATTATGTTTTAATGTTGAAATAAAACTTTTCCAATTAAAATAATTGACAGGGCTGGAGCCATAGCACAGCGGGTACATGGCCGACCTGACTGGCCCGAGTTCGATTCCTCCACCCCCTCGGAGAGTCCAACAAGCTACTAAGAGTATCTCACCCACACGGCAAAGCCTGGCAAGCTAACCGTGATGTGTTCAATATGCCAAACACAGTAACGATAAGTCTCACAGTGGAGATGTTACTGGCCCGCTCAAGCAAATTGATGAACAACAGGATGACAGTTATAGTGACTGAAAAATTGTAAAATAGACAATTTGCATTTGCTGTAATTGAAATGTAGTGACTAATTTGATTTTTAACTTGGTATTGTATTAATTTTTTTTGTTTTTGTTTTTAGTTTTATTTTTGGACCACATCCCGCAGTACTCAGGGCTTTCTGCTGGCTCTGCACTCAGGGATCATTCCTGGTGGGGCTTTAAGGATCATAATGTGGTACTGGTGAACAAACGTGGGTTGGCTATGTGCAATGCAGATGTCCTGCCCACCGTACTATCTCTCCAGCCCGTAACCATTTATTTTAAAAAATCGCAATGAACCTGCGCTAATCCTAAACTTATTTTCAGAGGTTTGACTCTGCCTTTTTTTTAACTTTATTTTTCTTTGCTTTTTGGGTCACACCCAGCGATGCTCAGGGGTTCTTTCTGGCTCTGCACTCAGGAAGTATTCCTGGTGGTGCTTGGGGGGACCATATGGAATGCTGGGGATCAAACCCAGGTCGGCTGAGTATAAGGCAAGAGCCCTACCAGCTGTGCTATCACTCCAATCCCCCCAAGCTTATTTTTTTTTTTTCATTTTGGATCACACCTGGTGATGCACAGGGGTTACTCCTGGCTCTGCAGTAAGAAATTACTCCTAGTGGTGCTCAGGGGGACCATATGGGATGCTGGGAATCGAACCTGGTCGGTCGTGTATAAGGCAAACGACCGTATTATTACTAGTTATAATACACTGTATTATCACTCCAGCCCTTCCAAGCTTATTCTTATATTGGGCATTATCTAGTTTTTCTATGCTTTATCTCTTCTTTTGCAAATTGGTTTCTTCCATACTGAGACATTTTTTTATTTTTGGCATAGGGTTTCCTTTTAGTGTACTAATTAACTGGATTATTAACCAAATAGATATATTTTGCTCTTCTTGTAGAGTCACAGCACACAAAATGTGCTCTTTGTTCAACTATATTCCACTCTTAAAAAAAAATCTCCATACATTCCATTTGAATAAAACTGTTACTAAATTTAAACTTGTTTCTTTTCTTGAATACAGTGAGTAGGGTGCTTGCCTTGCATGAAGTGACTTGGTTCACATAGAGTTCCCCATGCACCCAGAGCACAGAACCAGAAGTAAGCCTTGAACATCTCTGGTGGGACCAAAATCCCAAACCCACCTCTGGTGTGACCCAGAAAAGACATAAAACAAAACAAAACAAAACAAAAAAACAATGAATAACTGAAACCCAATCCCCCCTCCTCCCCAACAACTTTGTAACTATCTCAGGGTGATTCATTTTTTAAAAATTAATTACAAAATAAAATATTCCCTGTCTTACTGTTTAGACTATTTTTTTAAAAATTCTTGAAAGTTACCCCACTTTATTCATTCTGTATTGAATTAATAGAGAACATTTATTAGTACTGTCATAAAAGAGTATAATTAAAATTTTTTTTTTAAGGCTGTTTGGGCACTTGGTAATATTGCTGGTGACAATGCAGAATGCAGAGATTTTGTTTTGAACTGTGAAATACTTCCACCTCTTTTAGAGTAAGTACTTTTAAATTTATCACATTAAGTCAATAATATTCCTGAAAAAGAAATAACTGCTTTTAGATTTATAAGCAGTTAAGTTATTCAGACGCTTTTAAATTTGGCTTACATTATTTATGCCTACAATAGTTTGAAAATATTTAAGAAATAATTATAACTTATTAGTACTTTATATTCTTTTGTCATACTTCGTTGCTTTACTTGATACTTATTATGCTAAAATATTCTACATACAAGCATATCTAGTTTCTAATACAACAATAAACATAGCTAAAACAGAAAATACATGAACAGATATTAGATTTAGGATTCCAGTAATTAAAAACTTATTTTTAAATTTTTTACAAATATTTCTCTGTATTTAATTTGAAATATTTAGAGAACAAATATTTTTTGAAGATATTTTTCTTTTAGGATTAGAATTTACTTAAATGACTTACTGTGTTTTTTTTTTTTTTCAAATACTTGTAACTTTTTTTGTCCATTTGAAACTTCATTTAAACACCATGATTTACATAGTTGTTCACAATACAGTTATTTGGGTATTCAGTATTCCAACACCAATCCTACCACCAGCATGACCTTCCCTTCACCAGTGTTCCAAGTTACCCACTCCCTTAGCAGGCACAAATAACTTACTTTAAATTGCTTGTTACAATATATTTCTTATAATTGTTTTACTAAAGTTATTTTCCAAGGATTTTCCCAGCTGTTAGGTGCTAGTTGATCCTTCTCTGCTATGTTTTGGCTCACTGAGCTTTGTGGGCTTCTATGCAACTTTCCCATCTAATGTTTTGTGTTCATACTAGACTCAGTACTATGAACTTTGAGATGTCCCAGGGCCACTTATGTGTCCATGCGCTCCAGCAGCTGTATCACTAGGATGATTCAGCAGCATGGCATCTCAGGCCTACCAGGTTCACCTTGACTGTCGCTTCTCTCTGAGATGGGTCATGGGGACAGACTGCTTAAATGTGAGTGGAAGCTGGTGAGTGTAGCCTGGAGACCTATCCTACCAGTCTCACCTTGGCTGTGGTTTCTCTCCTTTGATATATTAAAAAGGAAAAAAAAAAGTAAGCTCAAGCTAGATTAATTTTTCCTAACCCTAGCAGAGTCCTAACTCAGTTGTTACTTTAGATCGTGACAGAATTTGTCCATGGCCATGCTCTTAACTTTTAGTTAAAAATTAGGTGCTTTGTCCTGGCCCATCTTGATGCCAGGGTAGCTCACAGCTTGCCCTGGGTCCACCCAGTCCCTTCATGGGACCCTGCTTTTGGGGTGCTAGGAAGTAAGGGCCACTGAGGCTTAAATCAAGAGAACAGATGCCCAGGAGTGAATATCATTTGGAGTCGGTTAATTAAGCATAGAATTAACTGTCTTCTTATGTCTATACAAAAAGGACATTGCTCTGAATTAACTATGCAAAGGACTTGAGGAGAAAAGAAAAGCAATATTTTCAAGTTAACAGAGTCTGATTAGGAGATAAAAGTGATTGACCAGAGAACAAAGAAATGGTTACAAATAAACACAGAAATGGGAACACTGTGATGGGAGTAACCCAATAAACCTAAGCTCCCTCTGGCAAAGCTGAAAGGACCAATGTTATCCTGCAACTTCCCAAATAACTAAAGCAGTCATAAAGTGAGGTGTGGGGGAAGGGAGAGATGGGAGGAATTGCATTTACCAACTTTCAACTATAGTACAAATCAATAATAATTGAAACAGCTTATTATTGGAATAAAGATACTGTAGAACAAAAGAGCAAAGTTGAGAATCCTGAGTTTAACCCCCAGATTTATGTGCACTTAATCTATGACAAAGGAGCTAAGTATATCACTTGTAGCAAAGAAAATCTTTTCAATAAATAGTGTTGGAAAAACTGTATAGGCACATGTAAAAAAAACAAAATTAGAACTGTACCTCATGCCACCACAAAAGTAAACTCAAAATGGACTAAAGACCTCAAGGTTAGACCAGAATCTACAAAGTATATTAAATAAACATTGGATATTATTTTGGTTGTGCTTTGGGACAGGGATTGGGACTTGGGATGGAAACATCCCAAATTTTGTGTTGGGAAGATTATAATGGTGGTGGGATTGGTGTTTGAATATTAACTGTAATCAAATATTGTGAACCACCTTATAAAATAAAAAAAATTTAAAATAAACATTAATAAAATTCTCTAGGAAATTGGCCACAGAGGTATCAACAAGATGACAGTAGGGCACAGACAACAATAACAGCAGCAACAACAAATAGGATTATGTCAAATTAAAAACCTTCTGCATAGAAATAAATTCAAGTTACAATAAAATAATACTCTAAAGAATGGGAGCAAATATTTGCACACAATGCATCAAATAAAGGGCTATTATCCAAATTGGTAAAGCAGTCACAAAACTCAGCAACAAAGAAATCCAATGACCCCATCCAAAAATGATCTAGGAGCTGAACAGACACTTTCCCAAAGAAGACATATAGATGACCAATAGGCATATGAGAAAGTGCTCATCTTGACTCGTAATTAGGGAAATGCAAATCAAAACAACATTAAGATATTAGATAATGTTAGTGAGAATAGCACATTAAAAAGCCTGGAAATGGACAGTATTGGCAGGGTTGTGGTGAGGAAGAAACTCTCATTTACTGTTGGTGGGAATGTCATCTGGTTCAGACTCTAAAGCAATATGGTGATCTCTCCTAAAAGGGAATAGAACTCCCTTATTGTCCAGCAATAACATTTCTTGGCATCTAACCCCTTAATACAATATCATTAATTTGAACAGATATATACACAAACCTATGTTCATGACAGTGCTTATTACATTAGCCAAGAAATGTTTGCAACCTAATAAATGTCCCGTCCACAGTATAGGAAAAGATCATGTTTGAAAAAGAGTTTTTGAATAAATCTTACCTGTCTGAAAAAATAAATAAAAAGATCCTTGGGGATCTTGGGGGAGGAAGGTGGATACACTTACGATGGGTGTGGTGTTGGAATTACATACACAGGAAACCATCATTAATAGTATTCTAAATTATAGTATCAGAATCAATAACATTTAAAAAACAAAAGCAAATCTTTAAATGTGTTAGTACGGACTTAAATAATTAAATCTGGAGGGATTTCTGCCAAAAGCAGCTGGATTCCGAGATTTGTTTCTGAGTCTCTGGCATCATGGCTAAAGCAGTTTGGTCAGTAGCCAGAGGGCCCGTTCGTGGGAGGTGACTTGGGGTCTCATTGGGGCGGGGAGGAAAGACCCACGTGTCTTGTCACTGTGGGCTCCTGCTTGGCTGTCCATTGGTCCATTGGTCCATTGGAAGATGACGGACCCCAAGCCGCCAGGGGGAACAGGCCATGGATCGTCACCTTTTCCTACCTGGAGTGACACGGGGCCGGTAACCTAATGTGGAATCTGGAGGCATTTTTGCCAAAAGCCGCTGGGTTCGGAGATTTTTTTCTGAGTCTATGGGATCATGGCTTAAGCAGCTTGTTCAGTAGCCAGAGGGGCCCATTTGTGGGCCTCTTAGCATTTTTTTTTAACCTTTTTGTGGCATGAACATTTTATTCTATCTTCTCCTACCCTGTTAAAGTTCTGCTGAGAAGTTCAGTGAAAAGCTGGTAAAGATACCTTTCTATGTTCCTGGTTGTTTTCTTTTTTTTTTTCCCTTAGCAATTGTAAATAATTTTTTCATTGACTTTTAGTAATTTAACAATAATTATCTTAATATAGTTCATTTTGAATTCAGAAATCTATGGTTTTTCTCAACTTCCTGGATATTTATGGTTTGTTCTTTCCTTAGGTTTGGGAAGTTCACTGCTTATTTTTTTGGTTTTTTTTGTTTGTTTGTTTATAATCTCAGTTCCCTTCTTTCTCTTTTCATCTTCTGGAATTTCCAATATTCCTGATATTGGCCCTTCAAATGGAGACTTAGATTTCTTTTAGATTTTGTTTTTTCCAATCCTGTTTCTCTCTTCTATTTGAGTCATTGTCATGATTTTATCTTCAGTTTCTGAGTCTTTAGTGACATTGACTCTACTTGTGCTGCTTTGTATTGATTGAACATAGATTAGATTTAATACCCAGTATCTTTGATTGGAATTTTTTAATATTTAAGTATTTTTAGTAAAAATAATGTGCTTTTATATATATGTATATATACATATATTTTATAACTTGGACTTGCTTCTCTGTGTTTAGTTGAGATTATTTAACTTTATATTTCTTTTTGATGACTTATCTCAATTTTGTTGCCTCCTCCTTTTTTGTGTATTTACTTTTGCCTTTTGGAAGTTTATCTAATTCCTTGAACAATTTGATCGTATTTTTATGTAGATGCCCAGAGAATTTTCTTATTGTATGGGTTAGATTTTGTTTTATGTTTTTTGGCTTTTGCTTTCCTGTAGGTGGCGCTATTGCTTTAGTCTTTGAATTCACCTTTGTTCTTTTGGTTTTTATGGGGAGGAAAAGGGTGATGAAATGAGATGGAAAGCAGCAGTCTTCACAGTGCTTTTATTGTGGTCTCAGGGAAACAGCCTAGTGGGAGAGTTGCAAGATATAGCTCTGCTTCCATACCACTCCATATTATTTTTGTCTAGACTAAAAGTTTGCATTACAGTTCTTCGGATCAGTGCTCTGTTGCTGTTAATGTTCTCTTGCAGGGGTTTCAGGGAGTAGGGGATTGGTTAACTCTGTTGTTCCAGCTGCTGCTAACTTAACACATCCAGATTTCCCTTTTCCTTTTCCTCTTCCCTTTCCCTCCTCTTTCTACCTCTCCCTATTCCTTTCCCCTCCAGCTCAGGTTAGTTGGTTTGTTTTCCTGTTTGGGGACTGTGAACATTTCTTTTCTATATTTCTTTTCTCCCCCTCCAGTCAGAGCTATTAATAGTAAAGGCTACTGGTGTCCTCCACACCTCTCAAAGATGTCTTCTGTGATGAAACTTTCTCTCGTGATTCCATGTGAGGTATTCCACTTTCAGATATACAAATACATGTGCCTCAAGCAAATCAAGATGTCAGCTCATGAAATTTTTTTGAACATATAGTTAGTTGTACATTATTAGGAATTTTTCTCACCAATATATTTCTGCCACTTTGCCAGAAGTTTTGGATCTAAAACGTCAGAAATAGAATTCTGATAACTGCATTTTTATTTCTGAAAATAGAAGCAGTTTATAAAATTTCCATTCCTATTTTGCCAGATCAATTTTAGTGTGTTATAATTATATTTGAGAGATCCTTATCTTTTGACGAAAATTTTATAAGGGAAAATGAACATAAAGTGATAATTTCTATTTTTCCCCCCTTGGCAGGTTATTAACAAATTCAAGCAGACTTACAACAACCAGAAATGCTGTATGGGCGCTCTCAAATTTATGTCGAGGCAAAAACCCTCCTCCAAATTTTACTAAGGTATGGGTAAAACACATAACTTAATAGACCTCTATACATACCTTTTAAGTCTTCTTTTAGCCAAGTTTTAAGAGATTAAAGGGGCTTTTTTCTATTTTTTTGTAATTATTTTCTATATTAACTACTCAGTATTTGTATAGAGAGAGACTCTGTAGATGGTGAAAAGAGAAGATAGTAAAAAGAAAAATCAAAATATAATAAATCTCTACTGATAATATTGCTGGGGACAAAAGTAATAGTGAATACCTAATTCAGAAAAGATGAATAATTTATTACTGTGCCTTTGCATTTACTCTTTCACTGTAACTTTAAATTTCAAATCTAGCTTTAAGCATTCAAGATTTGGCTATATTTTGACTGAAATATCAATTTTAAGATTTTATTTTATCACGATCTTTTGTTCTTTTACCATACCCCATAGATTGTAGTTCAGTATATTATATACCATCAAAGCTTTTCATGACCTTCCAGTCTGTGTTTATTGAGAAGTACACATATGGCTAAGAAGCTGATTTAAAGTATTGCTATAATATTCAAAGTATTGAGTGTTATATTTAATACTTTATATTATTATATAATATAAATATTATATAATATTTTATATTATTATATTTAATACTTTGCTTTATACATTGCTATATACATTGATATATATTTAAAGTATGCTATTCATTAAAGGAAATTTTTTTTTTTTAAAAACCTCCCTTTTCCTCCCACCCTCTCTTTTTGAGGACCAGGAGTCCACACTTGCCTAGCCCTGACTGCTCTAGGGAATTTTATTGTGATGCTTGTATATTTGGCCATGGTGCTCACTGAGTATTACATATCTTTTTTTCTTTGTAATTCTATTTTATTTTTATAAATTTGTTCACAATAATCGATTACATTAAATATTCAAACACCAATCCCACTAACATTACACCTTCCCACCACCATATTTCGAATGTTTCCATCCTGAACCCCAAACCCTGCCCTCAAAGCAGAGATGAAGTAATTTATTTTGTATTGCTTATAATGAATAATATGCCAAAAATAATCCAAAAAAGTTTTCATAGAAGAAAATGTATGAATATTGCTGTATTTCACCCAGGAGCCATTAAGCTCTTCAATAAGAGATTATTAACATGTTGTTAAAGTTTGAGCCTTATGTGCTTATATATACGGTCGCATTGGGAATTGAACCCACGATGTTATGCTTGCAAAACAGACTTTCTAAACCATTAAGCTATCTCCTGAATTCTGAAATAGTTTTTTAGCCAGAAATCTGGTTTAATAGAGCTGTGTCTAGGACTAAAAAGATTTGAGTACAGCTGCATTTCACAGATACTTGAGATAAAAGTTATGAGATAATGTTGCAGTATATACTTTATTCAGTTTAAAGATTTTAAAATATAAAATTTTGGTGTAATAAAAGGGGACAGAATGAGAATTTAGACTGGGTTTAGTACAAGGAAAAAGAATAATTTTCAGGTGCACAAATAATCTTCAAATGGCCTTTTGAAAAAGGATATGTCATAACTAATTGTTTGGCAGCAGCTATTATAGAATAGAAATGGAAAGAAAAAATTTCAATATGACCTGAGAAGATAATAAGGTACATTGCATCTGATGATGGTCAGTAGATTTCCTATAACATATCTGTTTTTAATTATATAGTTTTAGCAATCATAGTAATTATTTTACATTTTTAAAATCTCTACACTTAAACTTGCACCAATGACACAACTATCTCCACATTTAGACATTAGGGGTCAATATTTAGACATCTTTACTACATGACTTGGGCTGGAGTGATAGCACAGTGTTAGGGCGTTTGCCTTGCATGCAGCCAACATGGCTGACCCGAGTTCGATTCCTCCGCCCCTCTCGGAGAGCCCAGCAAGCTACCGAGAGTATCTCGCCCACACAGCAGAGCCTGGCAAGCTCCCCGTGACTTATTCAATATGCCAGACACAGTAACAAGAAGTCTCACAGTGGAGACGTTAACTGGGCCCACTCGAGCAAATCGATGAACAAATGGGAGGACCGTGACTACATGACTTGCTAGGTACAATGGCTTCTTTGCTTTTTTTTTCTTTATCTCTTGCTTGTATACACAGTTAATCATTCCTCTCTCTTTTTGTTCCTTGGTCTCCAGACCAGTACACCTCCTTGGTTTTCCTTCTACCTTCATAACTGTTCCTTCTCAGTTTCATTTATTAGTTTCACCTCTTCTCTTCTGCCTCCTACAGTCGCGAATACAAATTGCATATGGTTTAACCTATTTTTTGGGGTAGAGGAGGGCACACCCAGTAGTGCTCAGATTTCCTGGCTCTGCTCAGAAATCAGTCCTGGTAGAACCAAGGGGACCTGTGGGATGCTGGAGACAAAACCTGGGTCAACCTCATGAAAAACAAGCGCATGACCCACTGTACTATATCTCCTTTACTTTTTCTCATCTTTATACATATTCTTTATACAGTGTCCCTGTTCATATGACCCATTTTATAACTTCACATATCATCCCCATGCCAGTAACGTCCAAATTAAAGTATTTGCCTCAAATCTTTCTGAACACCAAACTCAGCCTCTTTCTTTGGATATCTAATACATCTCTTATATGCAGCATACTTGAAATGTAGCTCTCTTGTCCTTTTTCCTCAACATTGTTCTGATTACTAGTTTTTGCATCTATGCCATATGAAAATTCTCCTCTTTGGGCATTGAATTTTGACTTTTCTGTTCTCTTAAGTTTTAACATCATTCGGTTTCATCTTTACATATTCTGGGTAGGATGTTAAGCATCTATTGACCTCTTCAAAGAAGGACTTTTTATTTTTAATTTTCCTTTGTTTCTGAGAAGAAGTGGTACAATCATCTTATTTCTTAAACTAGAAATTTCTTAAAACTATAAATTTATGGTACTTCACAATTTGTTTACATCAGTAAAATGGTATATCTGCTACATTGAGTTTTATTGTATTTTATTTTTTTTGAGCCACACTTGGCTATGTTCAGGACTTATTCTTGCCGATGCTCAGGGGACCATAGATAGTGCGAGAGATCAACCGTGGGTCAGTCATGTGCAAGACAAGTATACCTTACCTGCTAAACTACCACTTCAGCCCTGTATATTTTTTAATTAAAAATTTTATTTAAAAATGTGGGCTGGAGAGATAGCATAGCGGGTAGGGCATTTGCCTTGCACGCAGTGGACCCGGCAGACCCAGGTTCGATTCCTCCGACCCTCTCGGAGAGCCTGGCAAGCTACCGAGAGTATCTCACCTGCCCGGCAAAGCCTGACAAGCTATCCGTGATGTATTCAGTATGCCAGACACAGTAACAAGTGTCACAATGGAGACGTTATTGGGCCCACTCGAGCAAATCGATGAACAATGGGAGAACAGTGACAGTGACAGTAATTTAAAAATGATTCTTATATTCATTAAAGACTTGGTCACAGAGAGACATGATTGTTGGTGAAGAATCCAGTCGAAAAGATTCATGAGGTTAAGAAGTGATTTCTACTTATAAGCAAACTGCTTTCTGTTCTTGGGCCCTAGAATTATTTTTAGATATTTTCAGAAGGCTGTCAGTTTGTGTACTGCAGTCTTCAAGAAAGAAGTAAAGAGATAATTCATCTAGAAAAAGGTCACTTTTTATGGCAATTTTATTTATTTATTTAAGATATAATGCTTATGTGAGGAAATGGACTGGGGGACTAAGTTACTGATTTTAAGAATACTTTAAGAAATAGTAAATCAGTACTGATGATGACAAAAGATGAACATCTGAGGGATTACTGTAAGCTACACATTGCTCTATGGTGCTGTATGTATTTTTATTAACTTTAACATGTTATTGGTGTTTCATATATGAAGAAATTATTAAACAGTGAATAGTATTTGAGTCTTGGTTTGTCTGATTCGCAAAAAGAAGGATAATAAAATTTATCGAATTCAACTCTTTCTTTCACAGATTTGGGAACTGAGTTTTAGAGAGGTGAATCATTTGCTTATCAATTAGCTAATTAGCTAGATTAATGATAGATAGAAAATCTTTGATGTTGGGTTGGAGAGACAGTATATAGCAGGTGGGGTCCTTGACTTGAATGACTCACCCAGGTTTGACCCCTGCACTCCCTTTGTTTTCAGTCCTCACCAGGAGTGATCCCTAATCTTAGAGCCAGGGAAGTTAACCATGAGTACCCCTGGTTGCTCAGAAATAAAAACAAGTAAACAAACCTTTTATAATATGTTTGTGTGTTTTTCAGTTGGAGATTCAGGGTTTTGGTACAGTACAGATATAGTTCATTACTCATTTTAAACCCTTCAGATTTTTAATTTTCTATACAACTATTCCTCAAATTTGTATTAAATTTACTTCCAGTAACATAATGTAATAATAGTGTGATTCATATGTTAAATCATATTTCATGATCATTATGTTAGACATTTGGTTAAAAACATTGGACTTCTCACTTTTAATGAGCCCTTTGGAGAATATGTGTATAATTTAAACACAGGGTTTCCAAATACATATTTCATTATTGAAAATATTCTTATTCTATTTAAGATAAATGGCAATACAGTCAGGTTCGTGTTGTAGATATGGTCAGCATTTTAAAAGTTTAGTGCTCTCATTTCTGTGGTATTTTTGTAAAATACATTTTTGTTTCAAATTGAATTTTATTTTTTATGAAGAAACTTGGCCTTAGATAAAAGTTTTTAACTTTGGCTCTTTTTTTCCCTTCCAGGTTTCACCTTGCTTAAATGTTCTATCACGATTGCTATTTAGCAGTGACTCAGATGTATTAGCTGATGTTTGTTGGGCCCTTTCTTATCTCTCTGATGGACCTAATGATAAAATTCAAGCAGTTATTGATTCTGGAGTCTGTCGAAGATTAGTGGAACTTTTGATGTAACTATTATTTTTGATTAATAATTTCATGATTGGTTTAACTTTGACAGTTATGGTGATGTCCCAGTAAACATCTCAAGAACCACTGTTTTCAGGCAGAGATACCAGCTCTTCTTTGTATACTAGCTATAATATTGGAAAGTGACTCTTGTATTTTCATCTTCTAGTTGGGAATGATCATTTTGTTAATGAATTTTATTAGTTTTATGTAAACTTTTTCTGAATGAGAGGAACTTAATCCATCAAATATTTCTGGAATGCCTATTTGCTGCTAGTGTGGTGTTACTGCCCACACCACAAATATTTCTGGAATGCCTGTGTGCTGCTAGTGTGGTGATACTGCCCACACCGGAAGTGCTGGAATGATCAAGAGGGAGGGGCAGTAGTAGTCTCAGGTGTAAATAAGGGCACTTTCTGTTGACTTAAAGAAAGTTGGTTTCTGGGAGACACCCAGTGATTTTTTTTTTAAGGGACTGGTATGTCAAGTTTGGTATCCTTTGTGCTAGCGTGTTGTTCAAGACATTATTAGTGAAGTATAGAATACAGTTCTTGCTGTCATAGAACAACCAATTTTTCATCACAATAATTGAATGAAAGTCCTGGTAGTGAAAATTAGCCAGTATTTCACTTGTATTAATAGTATTGCTTCTATTTCTGTGCTACTGTGGTACGTTCTTTCAGAAGAACAAATTTTCTCTATGGTAAAGTTAAGAACTTTTAAGAAAATTTGCTTTTAAAAGATAAAGCTTCTTCATTTTCTTTAGAAAAAAAATTTTAAAGACAAAAATCACAGAAAAGAGAGATAAGAAGAGATAAATGATTTGCATGAGATGAGCATCCATGGAGGTTGGGCAGGCTGTCAGTGAAGCAGTCAGGGCTCAGATGATGGAACCCCCTAGGGCTGAGTGGGGGGTTGAGCTAATACACCACGGGAGAGCAGTCCAGCTGGACTGAAGGTAGGCCACATGGAGGAAGATGGGAATGTCCGAAGTATCTTGCTCTCAGAGAACAGAGACATAAATATGCAAGAGAGAAACCTCACAGTAGTGATATTAGATTAATTGGAATATCAGTAACATACTTTTGATATTCAACATAACAAGACATAGAAAGAAATATATGTAAATTTGCGTGAGTATGGCTGTTCTTTTTGAAGAGCCTGGGAGAAATGATACATTTAATCAGCTAAACACAGAAGATGCCATTGGCTTTTAATTATCACTCTCTGTTGAAAGGAACCCGGTTCTTAGAGAAATGGCTTATTCTAGGACTTTGATTTAAAAAAATGATGAACTCTAGAAAGTAAAGAATGGTCTAAGAATGCAAAAATATCATCACTGAAGCCCACCTAAAGGGGCTTCTACTATTCAAATCTCAACTGGATTGATTTGAACTTTGAAACAAAATTAATGTACTTTATTGATTAGAATAGGAACCCAAGGGTCAATACTAAAATAAGATAAATCATCTGGTAGTGATACTAATAATTATAAACTTTAATAATAAACATAAAAATTGCTATATCTAGTAGTAAAATTATGCCAGAGAATGATTATTTACAGCACTTCCTTTGAAAATAAACATATTTAAGGGGAAAACATATAATATTAATGTGGGAAATATGGCAACACTGTTTTCAGTGATCCACATTCAGCAACACAATAATGAATAAAGCAGACATCATATGCTGTCCAATGTTGTATAATAAAAAGATTGTATAGCACTTGTGATGGCCTAGGCAAGAGTATATAACTTAAGTATTAATCATAAGGAAACATTAGACAACACCAAATGACTGGCTTGTGATCATCAAAAATGTCAAAATCATGCAAATCATAGACTAAGGAAGTGTTCCGATTGGGAAAAGCTTAGAACATGACAGCTACATGCAACTTCTGATCTTAAATTGCTTCTTTGTTGAAAGATAACTGGAATGAAAGATGAAAAATGTTACTGGATATCTGAGTCTAAAAATACATACAAGACAAATGTGTGCTTTATGAAATATTCTAAAAATCTTGTATTCAGAGTCATATTTTTAATGTTTTAGGCACAATGATTATAAAGTTGTGTCACCTGCATTAAGAGCAGTGGGTAACATTGTGACTGGTGATGATATTCAAACACAGGTGAGTTCAAACTATAATATATTGTTAACAGAGTTTAGGAAGTTTATCATGTTTTATATCATTTGATTGCATATTGATCTGTTCTTTGTTATTCCCATTATTATATAAGCATCTACAGTATGACATTAGCACTGTAGCACTGTAACACTGTCCTCCCATTGTTCATCAGTTTGCTCGAGCGGGCACCAGTAACGTCTCCATTGTGAGACTTGTTACTGTTTTTGGCATATTGAATACGCCACAGGGAGCTTGCCAGACTTTGCTGTGCACGTGGGATGCTCTTGGTAGCTTGCAGGGCTCTCCGAGAGAGACGAAAGAATGGAACCCGGGTCGGCCGGGTGCAGGCAAATGCCCTACCCACTGTGCTATCACTCCAGCCCCAAATACAATGTGACATTAAGTTTAATAATAAATGATAAATCTCAAACACCTCACTCTTAATAGTAAATGATCAATCACGAGTACTTTATGTGAAAAATACTAGCTTGGATCTGTCCTTGTAAAAGTATAATAGGAAGCTGGTGAGATAGCTTAGAATAGAGGAGCAGATGACTAGCATGTGTAAGACCCTCGTATCCTTCTGCCCTCTGAGCTCAGAACTGTGAGAACCACTTCCTTGGGGCCTAGCATCTCTAGACATGGCCCACAGTCCAATCCACCTCAACTCCAGCACTGCTGGGAGAGCCCCTGTTTAAAAAAGGTTAACTGGAACTTTGCTCTTGAATAATCTGGAGAAAAGATATAGTAGACTACCCACAGTAGTCTTATGATTTTGGTGATCAGGTTGTAGTGCTATCATTGTTTAAAAAAGAGATTAGTATGCTAAGAAATATTTGATCCTTAGCTTCACTTTTGTTTCTAGTTGTTCCGTTTTTAACTAAAAAGTTATGCACTGGTTTATATACTCTTTGCCAAATAAATTTCATATAACTCACTAGGTTAGTTTGTTTTAAAAGTACCACATCCAGCAGGCTCTGGGGGTCATGCAGTATTGGGATCAAATTCAGGCCTCATATATGGGAGGCATATATTTCACCTCAAGCCATATCCCTGGCCCCTCGTTGAGCATATTTTGAAAAAAGAAAAATAATTTGCCAGGGACTCAAGAATGTAAGACAATGCACAATATACTTTACAAATTTGCAAAGTGCAAAAGTGAAAAAAAAATTGGAGGGACGCTTTTTGTGACATACTTGGCAATGGTCAGAGCTTACTCCTGACTCTCTGCTCAGGGATCACTCCTGGTAGGGCTTGGGGGACCATATTTGGTTCAGGGGCAGGGTGGAGGCGGGGAGGCTGCATCCAAGGAAGCACTCTACTTACAATACTATCTTTTGAGCCCTGCAATAGTAAAAGTTTTAATGAAACAACAAGTAGGTTTCTTCTGCACAATAAGGTTTCTTTCAAATTGATACTCTTCCCCTACCTTTACCCCATCGATTCATTTGATAAAATTAGTTTAGATCCTTACTTCAATGATTATATCTTCATGTAGTTATATCAGTTGAACATTGAGTACATTTGTAAATTTAAGGATCTTGGAATGACCCCAAGTGACCTGCTTGTTTACATTTTAGTGAATTGAAAATAGGGTATCACTACACTAATAGTAGACTCATTTTATCAAGTGGGAGTATGACATATCTTCTAGTAAATGCTTAAATTTTACTTTGAGGAGATTTTTTTAAAAAAAGTTTGGGCCATACCAAGCTATTCTCAGAGTTTACTCCTGACTCTGCACTCAGGGATCACTCCTGGTGAGTTGGGGCACCTTATAGGGTGCCAGGGATCAAACCTAGTCGCCTGCATGCCAGGCAAATGCCCTACTTTCTCTACTATTACTCCAGCTCTGAGAAATCTTTTTCTTTTTAATTTAGTTTTCAGAATGGTTTTTGTATATAAGTAATTCATAACATTTTTGTGTAGATTATTTACTATAAAATTTTGTGTTACCATTCCTGATTTTGTTTCAGGTGATTTTGAACTGTTCTGCATTGCCCTGTCTTTTACACTTATTGAGTAGCCCAAAGGAATCAATTCGAAAAGAAGCCTGCTGGACAGTTTCTAACATCACTGCAGGAAATAGAGCTCAAATTCAGGTAACAACTTTTCATATCTGAGAATAGAATATAAAGATCTCAGAAATTAGTTTAAATGAGAATTGAATGAACATGACCTTTGCTTCTCTAAAACAGTATTTGCTTTTAGTTTTTACTTGAAAAATAGTTTAAACAGCAGAATAATAGCATTGGGAAAGCAGTGTTATTTATATACATATATAGGCATGTAGCCATACATAGTAAATACGTATGTATATGTATATATGTGTGTTTATGGATATATACATATATATGCATGTATATAGAAATAAATATAAAATTGCCCAACAACAGAGCCTAGCACATAATGGTTTATTTCTAGGGTTTTTATTTGTTTTGTTTTGAGTTTGGGTCCACACCCAGCAATGCTCAGGGCTTATTCTGGGCTCTGCACTCTGGAATCACTCCTGGCGGGGCTTTGAGGGACCATATGGGATGCGGGGGATCAAACCTGGGTCAGTTGTTGCAAGGCAAGTGCCCTACCTGCAAATTATCTCTTCAGTCTCATAATGGTTTGTCTTTAAAATGAACTGATTTTCAGTAGTGATTTTTGCTTTGGAAAGATAGAGGGATCAAACCGAGGGCTTTACACATGCCAGGTAAGCAGTTTATACACTGAGCCACATATTCCTAACTCTGATTTTCATCGTTGTTTTGTTGCTAATTGTTGTTTTTATGTTTTGGGGCCACAAGTAGTGGTACTCATAAATTGTTCCCAGTGGTGCTTAGGTAATCAGGTGGTGCTGTCTATCAAACCCAGGGTTCCTGCGTGGCAAAATGTTCATTCCAGCCCTTTTAGCAGTCTCCTCTGACTTGATCCTTCTTGGTTAAAAATAAATTATGATCTTCATCTGAAAGCATTGAAATAATGGCTTGTTTTGGTACCAACAAACTCCTTAAGTTAATAATCGCCTGGTTCAACCAAATTTGTCATCTGGGGCTGGAGAAATAGCTGATAGTGCACTTACCTTACACATGGCCAACCCATGTTCAGTCCCCAGTATCCCATATGGTCCTCCAGGAATGTTTCCTGGGTACAGAGCCAGGAGTACTCCTTGAGCATTGCCAGGTGTGGCCCTGCCCCAACCATCTGTAGCACTGTCGTCCTGTTGTTCATCGATTTGCTCGAGCAGGCACCAGTAACATCTCCATTCATCCCTGTCGCATGCTAGTGTAGCCAGCCCAGTGGCGTCTGCTCGCTCCAGGAACACGAAGTGAGACTTGTTGTTACTGTTTTTGGCATATCAAATACGCCACGGGGAGGCTCTGCAGTACGGGCGGGATACTCTCGGTAGCTTGCCAGGTTCTCCAAGAGGGATGGAGGAATCAAATCCGGGCCGGCTGCGTGCAAGGCAAATGCCCAACCCCCTGTGCTATTGCTCCAGCCCCACTCATCAGCCCCCAAAAACTTGTGATCGTTAAAATTCTTATGCCACTAACTTAGAAAATACATAAAAGTTAGTCAACAGATTCAAAATACTATATCTCAAAGATTTCCTAAAGCCTGACTTTTGAAACCATAGAATATTAAGAGTCTCTACTTTATAATATTTTAAAAATGACATTTGCATTTAGATGCAATATAATTTTTCCTTCTCAGTCTGTTATAGATGCAAATATATTTCCTGTTTTGATTGAGATTCTTCAGAAAGCAGAGTTTCGCACTAGAAAGGAAGCAGCCTGGGCTATAACGAATGCTACATCTGGAGGCACTCCTGAACAGATAAGGTATAGCGCAGACTTTCTTTTCAATTGTTTTTTAGATAGGGCAGTTATCAAACAATACTCTTCTTATTGATGAATCTAAAATTTTTCTGCTGGGGGTGGGGGTGCTCACACATTTTTACCTGTGCACTCATCAGGGATCACATATCAGGCGAGGTGGTTACACACTTGGCATAGCACCATCAAGGCTTGCTTTTTTTTCATTGTATAGGTTGGTATGATAAATTTTTCTAATGTGAGAGAATAACATATAAGTTGTCTAATTCATTTACAGTAGTTTTTTTTTTTTTGAGGGGAGTGGGGACACCCATGGTGCTCAGGGACGACTTCTGGCTCGGTAGTTGGTGGGAAATCAGTCCTGGAGGTGCTTGGGTCCCTGTATGAAAATCGTGAGCTCATGGAGAGATATTGAGATATCTCTCCAGCCTCACTATAGGGTTTTTTTCCATTTACCATCTAATAACATTCTCCTTGGCAGATGATAATTATTTATTATTATAAACAATAGATTAATGACATAATCTATAGGCTCCTGACATTTGTTTTGGTCTTAGGTTTTTCCAGTATCCTCACACATATATTTATAAACATTCTTAGTGTTGACAAAAGATACCTTTTAAAGGAGACTATAATCATGATTCTGGTGAAATATGAAGTGACAAAGATTGCCGTTATCTCAGTTAATGAGGGAACTTGTAGGATCCTGCAACCAACTCATAGACAAGTATACACCACCTATATTGGTAGATGCAGCAATGATAGTTGTTTTTTTCTGCTGGGGGTGGGGGTCCTCACACATTTTTACCTGTGTATTCATCAGGCGAGTACACATATCAGGCGAGGTGGTTACAAACTTGGCATAGCACCATCAAGGTTTGCTTTCCTTTCATTGTGATGCTTGCATATGTGCTCTCCAAGGGTTCATTTTTCTTTGTGGGGCAGAGTTTGTGCACATCCAGTAGTGTTCAGAGTTTACTCCTGACTCCTTATAGGGATCACTCCGAGTGGTACTTGAGGGACCACATATAGTACCAGGTGGCAACCTGGGTCAGCCTTGTTCAGAACAAGCATTCTACTATCTGTACTATCTCTCCAGCCTTGAGCTTTCACTTTTTAGTTAAGGCATTCGTGTTATAGATGGAAGAATCTTTCAGAGGCTCACACGTGTGCTTAAACGGGTCACACTTTGTACTACAGTACTTACACATCTTTTTAGTTGCAGTGCTCCTCTGGGGTTACATCCCTTTAGTTGTTGTGCTTCCTTATACCTGGCTGAGAAATCTCTTGTGCCTGGGTTTATAGACAGCAGAGCTACTAGGCTTAAATGATAGCATGGTCAGGCTCATGTTTAATTATGTGGTGACACTAGGAATTTGAATGTATGGCCATTAGCTTCCAAGGCACACATTCTAAGCTTTTATCGTTAACATTTTTATCTGCTTCCAAGCTCAAATTTTGTTTATTCAAAGTTCACAATTTCTTTTAGTTCCATTTATTTCTTAAATTTATAAATATGTATAATATGTCCAAACCCATTTCACCATTTCAGGAACTTTCTATGTGGAGAGTGTTTGATCTTATGTTAGCTTCACTATTCATACCACTTATGTTGTTGAGTGTTTAATATTGCTAGTTTACTTTTTTAAGTTATTTTGGTTATTGACTGCCAAAATGTGTGTTAGATACTTCCATCTGTTTTATCTGCCCTAGTTTTATAACTATATGAGATGGTTCATTCAACAAATTATATCTGATTAAAGTATATGGTAAGTGAGTGTTCAGACGAAGGTATACTTCTGGGGAGGGAAGGATAGAAACTTAATTGAAAACCTATTGTATTTTAACAGTAGCCCTCTGAGGTTTATACAGTTTTCATCCCCAGGTTAGGATAGAGAAACTGAGGAATAGCAGTTGCTCAAGATCACATGTAGCTGATAAGAAATGGAATCAGAAGCTGGAGCAATAGCACAGCAGGTAGAGTGTTTACCTTGCACGCAGCCGAGCCGGGATCAATTCCCAGCACCCCATATGGTCCCCTGAGCACTGCCAGGAGTCACTCCTGAGTGCAGAGCCAAGAGTAACCCCCATGCATCACTGGGTGTGACCCAAAAAGAAAAAAATAAATGGAATCAAGACTTAAAGCATGTGGTCTGGTTTCGGATCACGTTTTAAATTTCATTTTTAATAATGGATTTGGGGTGGGTGATGTGGGGGTTGGGCCACACCTAGTGATACTCATGGATGCTTCTAACTCTCTGCTCAGTGTCACTCCTGACAGTTTTTGAGGACCATATTGAGTAGCGGAGGTAAGACAGATTCATCTGCATGCAGGGCAAACACCTTAATTCCTATACTGTTCTGTCTAATAGGACTTTTTTTTAATCAAGTGAAGAAATTGTATTGCAAATAATGATAAAAGAACCTGTAGTAAATAGAAACACGAAGAGCATAAGAAAATGAGTAAAATAATTTTTGTGAAGATTACTTACAAAAGCTATTAGCAGAGTCTGACCTGTTTTGCTCATGAAAGCTTTCTATGCTTCTGAAAGTACAGCTCTTAAAAAATAAAATATGCTGAACCCATTATCTATGCACATATGGCATGAAAAGAACAAGCTCAAGTACTAATTTACTTGCATGTTACATGTATATTTTATGACATATGAAATATTATTTACTGCTAATTATAGTGTGAGAATGGGACAGTAAACAGGTTTTCAGGTTCCTATTTAAGTGAAAATTTAATGTTTGGGTTTCTATAGGAATAATTTATTTTTTATTTAATGTTTCATTATAAAGAATACATGCCATTGGCATAAGCATTTTGAAATGTTTTCATTTTTCTCTTTTTTCCTTTTAACCACTTTGAAGGTATTTGGTTGCCTTAGGCTGCATTAAACCACTTTGTGACCTTTTGACTGTTATGGACTCTAAAATTGTTCAAGTTGCTTTAAATGGACTTGAAAATATTTTACGTCTTGGAGAGCAAGAATCTAAGCAGAATGGGATGAGCATTAATCCTTACTGTGCTCTCATCGAAGAAGCATATGGTAAGCCATCAGTTAAAAATGTATAATTACAGCCAATTCTTAATATGATTTTTTTAATTACCTTTAATTCTGTTACCTAAGCCCTAACAGTTTCTTTTTATTCTCTGACTTTTTTACATTGTTGTTGTGCACATATACTTTACATTTATATACTTCCCATTATGTATAGGTTTATGTATATAAAACTTTATCTCCAAGTTGGCTTTAAGTTTTTCTTGACTTTATATATACAGTAGTAGTATGTTTTCTGTGTGTTAATGCATTTTCTCTGCTGAACTTGCTGCTGGGGCCTGTGGTGCTGGAAACCAACAAGGGCACATCCAGCAGTGCTTGGAGGTCTTCAGGGCTACACGTAGTGTGGACATGTCTACTAGGGATTAAACCCCACATGAAAACATGCATTCTTCACTCCTGTAATTTGTACCTTTTTATAAAAAATCCATGCTCATTTATATTTAGATCGCCCAGTCTAGTCTTCTTTCTGTTCCTTAAATATTTATAAAGGCATTGAATCCACAGAGATTTCTTTACAACTGATTTTTTATTGGGTTGATTTTTATGATTATTTTCTTAAAACATTCAACACATGGAATTTATTTTAGGATAAGGAATGAATCAAACTTCTTTTTTTCTTTTATTTCCAGTGAAATAATCACCTGTTTTTAAGTCGCATAGATTATGTGGTTATGTCAAGCTTTTATGAATTTTTTTTTTGGAGGGGGCGTCACACCCAGCAGTGCTCAGGGTTTACACTGGCTTTGTACTCAAGGATCACTCCCAGTGGGCTCAGATGACTTCCAGGGCTTTGTACTCAAGGATCACTCCTAGAGGGCTCCAGGAATTCAGGGATCGAATCTAGGTTGGCCACATGCAAGGGAAACACCCTACCTGGTATACTACCTTTCCGGCCTGTAAGCTTTTATGATTCTTCAACCAAGTTTGGAATATAAATTTACTCTTAATTCAAATAGTATGATGTCATTTCTTAAAGCATTGTATAAAAAAATACAGAATTTTAATCACTAATTTGAGATTTTTCTCAAAATGGTCATTATTTTAACCCTGTTGATTCTATAACTTTGGCTATTCTTTTTTTTTTGGGGGGGGGATGGCCACTCACACCCGTTGATGCACAGGGGTTACTTCTGGCTCTGCACTCAGGAGTTACTCCTGGCGGTGCTCAGGGGACCATATGGGATGCTGGGAATCAAACCTGGGTTGGCTGCATGCAAGGCAAACACCCTACCCGCTGTGCTATCTCTCCAACCCCTCAACTTTGGCTATTCTTCGTACAGATATACTACTTTGATTATTTCCTTCTATCCTATGATATATAATTTAGAGTATTTTCAGTAATTAAGAAAAAAAAGTTTTCCTTAAGTAATTAAGTAAAAAAATAGTTTTTTTTTCACTTAGTTGAGCATTTCTCAGATTTATGAGATTCTTATTAATAGTAGATTTGCATATGCTGCCCGAGCTCATGTGCTGCTTGTGCTCATGTGGCCAAGCACATGTGATACCTGAGCACAAGTGTCACCAGCATCTCCCCTCTTGAGATGTGTACTTTCATGCCTTCATGTCTAATGCTGGGATGTGTGTAGCCGCTCTCTCCCCTTGAAGAAGCCCGGTTCTCTCTTGAGTGTGTTACTCTCCACTCTCTCCCACTTTCTCTTCCTCCTTCCCTTCAAAACCTTCAAATAAAGTCTGTTTTACTTTAAAAAAAAAGTAGATTCTTATTAATAGTAAAATAGTGGGTCGAAGTGACAGTACAGGGGTTAAGGCAATAGCCTTGCATTTGCTTATCAAACTCAATTAGACCTGGAGTGACATCAGGAGTGATTGCTGATTTAGCAAGTTATACAGTATCCATATTGTATTTGCACACTGCTCAAAACCATGTACTGTATGGACATCTCTTGGTTCCTTCCATGGGAAAATGTGTGTACATGTATAATTGTGCTTGCATTTTGGTTTGTTAATTTGCTTTTATTTTGTTGTATTCCCTTTTGTGTTTTTTCTTTAGTACAATTACTCCAGAAGGAGTAATGGAATTAAATAAACCAAAGCTATAATTTTAATATTGAGAAGCTAAAGTATATTAAAATTAATAGCACTGCACTGTAGCACTGTCCTCCCATTGTTCATTGATTTTCTTGAGTGGGCACCAGTAATATCTCCATTGTGAGACTTGTTGTTACTGTTTCTGGCATATCAAATACGTCATGAGTAGCTGACCAGGCTTTGCCCTGCAGGCGGAATACTCTCGGTAGTTTGCTGGGCTCTCCGAGAAGGTTGGAAAAATTGAAACGCCCTACCTGCTATGCTGTCACTCTGGCCCATTAAAATCAATAGTAAATTTAAAAAACTAAAGTACTGTAAGTACTGTGAATTCAAACTTGAGTGAAATCAAACGTCAGTGTTGGCTAAAATTTGTGCAAAAATTAGATAAAAGTAAGTGCCCCTTTGGTGATGGACTTGCTGATGTTTCATAATAAAATAAACTATATATATATATATAAACTTGAGTAACAATTTCATAATAAAACTAACAAATTATATATATCACACACACACATATATAGTTGAATAACAATTTTACATTCATGAATTCTTTGTATAATAGGTCTGGATAAAATTGAATTTCTGCAAAGCCATGAAAATCAAGAAATTTACCAAAAGGCTTTTGATCTGATTGAGCATTACTTTGGCGTTGAAGAAGAGGAACCCAGCATTGTACCTCAGGTGGATGAAAACCAACAACAGTTTGTTTTTCAGCAGCAAGAAACACCAATGGAAGGTTTTCATCTTTGACTTGGTAGGGTAAAAAATATCCAAATAGCTGAAAAGGATAGCTTGGATATTTCATCTCTTTTGCAGTGTCAATAAGAATGTTTCCTGTGTAGTTACAAAGAACAGGAAAAAAAGAATTTTAAGAAGCAAAAAAAGAGTTTTCCATTCAGATACAATCTTCCCTTATGATTCTGTTTTCATATTGGTACGCCTATATTTATGTCTTTTATTATTTTATCTATTTCTATAACTTTGTGAATAATTAAGTACATAATGAAATTATTTAAGCTTAAAAAAACTTGGTAAAATATTACATAATAGTCATCATTTTGTCTAGCATCTTTGGAAACTGCACATTAGCAGTATAGCTATTGATAATTGCATTTTGGCAGTAAGTCTGACACATTCATTCTCTTCTAAATCTACCTCTATCCTCAAGCAAGAAGTTACAGAAGCAGGAAATTGTATAAAAACTAAATTAGAATGTGAAAACACTTATCACTTTAATTATAAGTCACTGTGCTATAGGTTATACTTTGCAAAAAAGTTACAACAAAAAGCCTATAAATTTATTTATAAAAATAGAAATAGTGTACTGTTAATGTGACAATTTTGAAGAGAAACTCTTCTTCATATTGAACACATTAAAATGATTACACATTTAAATATTTCATTTTTATCATATAAGTGCTATTAGTATCTTTTGTATTTCAACCAAATATGCTACCATTTTATAGTATTTTATTACTTTTTCACTTTATTTTAAAGAGTAACACGGAAGAGATGCCATCAAGAATCTAAAGTACTGCAAAGTGAAAAAATATGTAGTTCTTTTTCTGATTTCTTTCTGAGATACTTTATTCTTTCTCAGAGCAGTAACTGAAATTCACTTTCTATATAATAATGAACTTGGGTACTTGAATGGCATTTTTTTCCTAAAGGAAATACCTTGTTATGTATTAAATGCTACTAAATGCAGTTAATCTTTGGACACAAAGGGATACTATTAGTGAAAATTATTAAGGATTATTTAATATAGTCAAAATATATATTAGAAATTTGGGGCATATAGTACTCAGAGGGCCATACTGCTGCTTGTTATGAATCATTGTATTATCTTTCATTTATATCAGGCTGATCAATATAATGTGTGTTTTATATATTAACAGCAAAAACCTCATTTTAAGCTGAAACTTTTGAAAAGTTTCAAAAGAAGAAGTACATATATTTATTTATAGATATATATGTGTGTGTTATTCTCACAGTACTATTTGGTGGATTTTTCTAAAATATAGTACTATTAAACTTGAGTCTTTCATTTATAGTTATATGCAGGCTATTTACATTTCCAAGTACCATATCTTAAATTCTTATTTAAAAATTAGTTTACAACTGTTCTAACAGGGAAACTAACACATTTTTATACAACTCATAGTCTATTCTGTGATGAAAGATTTCATTTATGATAGCATTTACTGATAATGTTTCTGCTGGAAATCAGAGGCATGTTCAAGAAAAAATGTACATAGGAGTACTTTTAAATAGTCTGATCTTTGTAAATTATTTATCATGAGTGAGGCTTTTGGCAAGACACTTAAAACTCACAGCTATAAAACACAGGTTTGGATGGTATTTATAATGCTGACTGCATTTACCAAACCTTTTTGTATTGTTCAGTGGAGGGTTATATCTTGTGCCCTTTTAAATGTAGTGGAAATTAACAAGTGTAGTATAAAAAGTTTTTCCTTTGCATTATGTATATTCAGAAGAACAGGGTAATTAAAGATTATATAAAATTGATGCTGAATTTATCAAATAAACACTTGTGGTACAGATGGTTCTAAATATCAGGTGACAGGGTATATTTCACTCTTGAACTTGTTAATGCAGCGTACTTAATTCATAAACTTACCGGCTGTGCCTGTTGTTTTTCTTTAATTGAGGAATTTGTAGTCACATTAATAAGTATCCAGGCCAAGTCTTTCAAACAAAATTTTAAAACTTTTCAGTAAAACAAAACTTATATCTCTAAGATTTAAATTTGAGATATAGGCATTTAAAATATAAGATTTATTTCATTTCTTGTGTAGATGTTTAGCTTTGAATACAAGGGGCACTATCAAATAGTTGGGACCAAGTATTTGCCTAGTGATTAGATTTTTGAATCAAGATTAGAAAATACTTCTTATAATTTTTTAAAACATTACTTTTTTCAATTGAACTATTATTAAAAGGTTCCAAGATGGATTTTCATTTATTGTCACTAACCTTCTGACAGCTTTTTACTTGCTCTTCTAATATTAATATACTTAAATCTGAGAGAAACTGTGCCAAAAAATTTTTATGACATGTAAAAGGAAACACATGCAACATTAGTGCATAAATCAAGAAAATACTTGAATCATTTTCATTTATTTAATAAAATCTGATGTTTCATTCTGTGAGAATTTGAATTTTTACTAATCTATGCAATTATACTTGTTTTATATTTGTAAGTACTGACTCACTGCCCTAGTTTTTTTCAAGTACTAGTTTTATTTTGAAAAGTTTTTCCTATACTTTAATTTTCAGTGTCATTGTATTCTCTTACTGGTAACAACTAGAACAAGAAAGCAAAAAAAGAAAAGAAATTATAAAATCCTCTGGCACAGAAATGACACTTCATTTGGTAACTCAAACCTCTTTGCAGTTAAGGGTTGAGTTATTGGAACTAAAATAAGCATTATCTTTTCCTTCATATTTTTTTCTTTCAAAAAGGAGCATTATGAAAAAAAGTAACTATAATACAAAGTCTTGGCAGTTTGCTGCTGTTGCTGTTCTAAATTAAGCAATCTACTGACTGCATATTTGTAAAACTGTGATGTAACTATTGTTAACCATTTTTTTATTTCAGTAATCACATAAATCTTATGAACTGTTATATATCAGGAGTTAATATGATAGAAATTCTAAAAGAATAATGTGTCTTTAAATTCTGCGTGGGGAGTGGAACAAAGGGAGAATTTTTTTTTAGCTTAACAACATTTGAGCAGTATGTAACATTAGGAAATGTTACTGCAGTAGATTAAAAATAATAAAATGCTATTTTATAATTCCACTTCTATAAATGTGTCTATTTCATTTTTTGTCAGTTATGATTGCATATTCCTAATGGAGTGAAAGCTGGCATCCTTGATTAAAATTTCTTCCACTTTCTAAAACCAAAAAGACTTTCATTTGTAGCTTATTTGGAAAGTCAGTATATTGCTTTTAATTTAGAATTTATTTGGGTGTGGTGGGCCACACCCAGCAGTGCTCAGTAATTACTCATGGCTCTGAGCTTAGGCATCACTGCTGGTGGTGCTGGGGGACCAAATGCAATGCCTGGGATCAAATTGGGGTCAGCTGCATTTAGTTTAGAATTTATATGCTTATCTATAATGAAAAAAAAAGTCAGTTTGGCATTTAGTGGACACTCGTGTTTAAACTGAAGTTATTCAGAGCCTGAGTGGTAGGACAACACTTAGGGCACTTGCTTGCGTGCCTTTGACCCAAGTTAGATCCCTGAAACCCTATATTATCCTCTGAGCCTTCCAGGAATGATCCCCAAGTGCAGAGCTATGAGTAAGTCCTAAACACTGCTGGGTGTGTCCCCAAAACAAAACAAAAAACTCCTTCTTCGCTTTTCTATGATTTTATTGTAGTATATGTTTAAGAAATAGAATTACAACATAAAAATTAGAATATGAAATATTAACATAAATACTGCATATACTTTTCCTTCACTAGGCTTTTTGCCTCTGACTGTATGACTTCATCCAATAGCACATTCCATCACAGAATGTAGAGCTTTTTATTCCTTATAGTACCTGCAGAGTACTCCTTTGCTTGTATGTTCAGGGGAGTACTGTTTATTTAATTATTCCCCTGTTGGTGGACATTTATATTACTTTCAGACTTAGTATTGTAAATAGTTTGACAATGAATGTCATTGTAATTCTGGCCCAATAAATGCCTAGAATATTTGCTAGGTATTGTCAGATTCCCAAGAAAGGAAATGCTATCGTTCATGTTTTCATTCTGAAAAAACAGTATGTGAGAGTACCAACCTTCTTGCAGTAAGAGTTCAAGTCACTGTTTTTTTTAAATTTATATACATAAAATTCATCCATTTCAAGTGAACAGCTTGAGTTTTTATAATTTATATGCTTGTGTAATTGTGTATCACTACAATCTAGAATGCTAATCCCTCAGTAGGTTCTTAGGTAAGCATTGTTAATCAAATATTTGGTTATGTTCATTGTGGGGTTAAAGGCTAGCCTCAAAAGCATGTGACAGAAGACTTGTGGCTAGATATTCATTAAAGGTTTTATCCTACCTTTCATTTGGATCTGAAGATGACAGTAAGTCACCCCTGTCTTTCTCTCCACATCTTTCTTTTTTTCTTTAAGGCACTGTGATAATTGAGTTTATATATCAGTTTGTGGTGTTGGAGTATTACTTAGATACTAAAAGTTGCATTGAGTTTATTCTGTAAATCTGGTTTATATCTATCTACAGTCCGTTCACTTTAAGTAAAGATGATAGCCTTTAAAATCTGGGTGAGGGGGCTGGAGTGATAGCACAGCAGGTAGGGCATTTGCCTTGCATGCGGCCAATCCGGGTTTGATTCCCAGCATCCCATGTGGTCCCCTATGCACTGCCAGGAGTAATTCCTGAGCGCAGAGCCAGGAGTAACCCCTGAGCATCACCAGGTGTGACCCAAAAAGAAAAAAAAAATAAAATCTGGGTGGGCATCATCCAATCAGCTGATGAATTCTGTTGAGCAAAATTGAGAAAGTTTCTCTCTTGTCTGTAACTTTAGCTCTAGCTGGAGACTTCTTACTGGCCTACCAAATAGAATTCTGATTTGACAGCCTATACTGGCAATTAAATAAATTCCTTTAAATAAGTTATATGTATGCGCATATAAAATATATATATATACTTATATATAGACTGAAATAAACACACACACACATACACTGCTTGTTCAGCTTGACAGAACTGTATGTGGTATAGGCATAACTACTATCACCATTAAACCCTATTCTGTCCTCTGAGAATGTCATTTTCTGGAATTCTGGCTTTATGTTGATCTTTCCAGTTCATAATTTCAGCTTTTGCAAACCTTGTGTCTATTTTCCGTAGCATATGATCATCTTGGTTAGACCCCGTGGCAGATAGCAGCATCTGGTAGGATTAACGACCAGATTTTAACTTACTATATAACTGCCTATAATAAAAATCCGCCTTATTTTTCAAACAGCTTAGCCAAGTATTTTTAAAAGCACTTAGTAAAATATTTCATCCAGAATTTTTAGTCCAGGACATCCAGTTTTCCATCTAGCCAGAAATGGAAGTCATTATATATTCATTCTTATAAACGCTTTGAGTAGTCTATATACTCTGTAGAAATTTGGGGAATCTTCAAGTGTTTGGGAGATTTGAAAAAAAGAAGACTTTCAGTTTCAGTTGGCTGAGGTTCCTGGATCTCCTGGATGGATGCATCCTCAGTCCGTTCCCCCCCCCCCCCCCCCCCCCCGCAGACAAGACTTTTAAAAAAACATCCAGGGTAAATATTGCTCAGAGAATTGGTCTAACTCTATAAATGTGCTGGAGCGATAGCACAACAGGTAGAGCATTTGCCTTGTACGCAGCCGACCCAAGTTCTATTTCTCCACCCCTCTTAGAGCTCAGTAAGATCTCCCCTGCACGGCAAAGACTGGCAAGCTACCCGTGAAGTATTATATGCCCAAAACAGTAACAAGTCTCACAATTTGTTGTGAGAGTTCCTGGTGCCCGCTCAAGCAAATCGATTAACAACGGGAGGACAGTGCTACAGTGTATATATACTCTTTCTTAAAACTGATCTTTTCAGGATAGCCTGTGGCAAGCTATAGTTTTTCTATTCTCATAATTATAATCCTTTGTACTGTTGTACAAAAACAAACAAAAAGCCACCCATTCAGAATCTTAGTTGGGGTTTGCTTTATTGTGCTTTGAGTAAAACCCTGTGTGAAAAGTGAATAATTCAAGATGAAATTCTGAGGAGGAGTTCCATGAGGATGAAGCAGAGAGAGCCACTGCATAAAATGTCCAAATGGCCAATATCTAGGTTGATTGGGAAGCTGCTTCATGCTTTCTTGATGAATTTTAGAGTTTAATTCAGAGGGGAGATTAGCATCACAGGAACACACATTAACATTTTCATTTTCAAATCACACTAACAAATAATCAAGTTTGACAACTCATTTAATAGGGAGGCTGGCTTTTATCAAAATTATAAAGTGTTGAGTTAATATGTAGTTTTACATTTATGATAAAAAGTATATCTTCCCAATTACCTATATTAAAGTAAAGTAAAGTAAAGGCCCTACCGTTGATCATCGATTTGCTCAAGCGGGCCTAGTAACGTCTCCACTGGAGACTTTGTTGTTACTGTGTCTGGCATATCGAATACTCTCGGTAGCTTGCCGGTCTCTCTGAGAGGGGCGGAGGAATCGAACTCGGGTCGGCCATGTTGGCTGCGTGCAAGGCAGATGCCCTACCCGCTGTGCTATCGCTCCAGCCCTTAATTACCTATATTATTGATTAAAAATTATAGATATCAAAAATGCAAGAAGAGATCATTTAGAACTGTTTTTGGATGCAAACATGTTTTGAAAGCGTTAAACCATTTTCTTTAATATTTAATATTCTTTTAAAAATTGCTTTACAAATTATTATTTTAGTACTTTTAGCATTTTACAGTAGATTTTTAAGTTAGTAATTCTTGCTTTATAAGACTTTTCATACTCTGGTTGCAGTATTTACTCTGGTAAATATCCATTTACCAAATATTGCATATTTGGTTAACATAATTGTGGTTAAAATTAGAGGCCTTAGTGATTTAGTTCAGCCTTCCTTATTATATTGTTGTTTTAGAACCATATCCATCTGTGCTCAGGGCTTACTCCTGGCTTTGTGCTCAAGGATCACTCCATATGAGGTGACAGGAATAAAACCCAGGCTGGTTGCATGCAAAGCAAGAACTTTACTTGCTGTATTATCTTTCTGGTTTCATTTCAATATAGTTTTAATGACATGCACAGAGTGCTATTTTGCATTGTCATTAATCGCTAAAACTGAGCTAAATATTCTGATTAGTTGTGATATAGCCATGCAAAAGAATCATCTTTTGCAGTGAAAATGAACAACATTTTCAGCAACGTGTTGAGAGAAAGAATCCACACAAGCACATTTTGCATAGTTTCATTTATATAAAGCAGTGTCTTAGAAACAGGCAGAATATAGTGATAAAACTCAGAACTATGGTCACCTTTTGGATAGTGTTAACAGTGAAGGCTGCAAGGATGTTTCGAGAGTACTGCTGTTATTCTAATAAGCTATTACAATGCTTGACCTAGCCAGTGGTTCCACACACACCATCAAGCAGTGTATATTCGTGTGTCCTTTTCTGAAAGTATGTTATACCTCAAAATAAAGTTTACTAAATAGCAAAAAAAGATTAAACTACTTTTTACCAAATTAAACCATCGCAAAACAATGTTAAATATTCTCTTTTGCAAATGTGTTATTGTTGCTGAGAATAGTGATGGTATTCTGATGAACTCTTTGCCACTTAGAATATCATTTAGCCTTAGTCTGTGCAGCCAACGCAGCTTCTTCACGCCACTTAGCTTTCTTTGCCAGGTTCCAGCTTGTTAAGGATTCATGTCGTTCTACAGCCTTCAAAAAAAGCAAAACAAAGCATTTGTGACTCTCTGGAAAAAAATATATGTTTTTGATTGACATAGTACAGATTGTCTAAAAGTGGAAAGGACAAACGTAACTGAACACATATCACAAACAGTATCCAAAAATGATGCTATGGTGTAGAAAAAAAAACCTGGTTTGCTAGACTCCAGTCAGCAGATTGGTGGAGTGTCAGAAATCTATCGCCACTCTCTCTTAGCACACACAGACGTTTGTTGGATGAAATGCATGACAAAGTTACATTTACATACAGAAATAAGTTCAAAATTGAGAAAAATTCTCAGGTATCAGAAATACAGAAAAATATTATTAAGAGAGCCAAAAAAAGGGAAGAACCTATAGGGAAATTTTAGAAATGGCCAGCAGAGAAAATATGGGAGTGTGGTAGTGCTGTAATAAACAAGTGAAGATGTTTGGAGGGAAAAAAAAACAACTGATGCCAATGTTCTCATTTCACTAGTTTCTAAGTACTCCTATGGAAGGAGTGCGTTCCCCAACAAAGAGGAAGTGAACTGTTTACTTGGTCACATTAGTCTATTCTAATTTCTACTTTTTGATTCATCAAATTCTTCATCATGTGTGGGCTTTAATTGCTGTCCTTCCTTCCCCTCCTTTTGCTGTAGTGACATAACTATTCAGAAATATTTTCTCTGATCATTTTATCGAAAGTGGGCTTGTACTTAGGTACTTAATATTTTAACATTATTTTCTTTTTTCATTACATTTATAATTCCTCATTTTTTAACTTTAGTTATTTATTGATAATTATTAATTTTCCCTACTAGGAGATAAGTGAAAATTTCTTGGTCACTGTGTTATAGAAATAAGCATAATACCTGGGATGTGTCAGGTGCTTAAAAATATTTACTATCTTAACATTTATTAGTCAGTCTGTTTCCTATTATAATTTTAGAAAAAATGAAATGATGCTGTAACTGGTGCACTATTAAGAACTTGGTTATTAACTGCTATTTTAGTCAGTTATTTTTGTTTCTTTACAGAGAAAAGTCTTGGCTACTGACGATAATTCATAATAGAGTTACATTTGAAATATGAATTTTCATCTACAATGTAGAAGCTCTCTTTCAAGTTTAATCACATTTCTAAAATTATTCTAACATTTCATGTTAGAATAAAACCTAATGGTGTCAATTTGCTGATAAACTATATACTTGTGGTTTTTCCATTTTGGGGGGGCGTCAGATCCTGTAGTTCTGGGGTTCTTTGTTCAGGGGTCACTCCCAGGGGGCTCTCAGGTAACCATGCAGTACCAGGGATAAAACATGGGCCTCCCAAGCACAAAGTATGAGCTTAGGCAATTGAGCATCTCTCCAGCCCAAAGTCATATGTATGGAATTTTAAGACTTATGATTTCCAGTCTGGAAAACATTTTAACATGACTTTATGAGTGAGCTATTTTAGATATATTCTATGTAAACTACTTTCCAATTATTAGTTTTTTGTTGTTGGAAATACAGAATAAACAACTTTGATTTGATTTATCCTACATAGGTAAACAATTCTTTTAAAGTCAAGTAATAAAAATTTTTGCTTCGTTTAAGTTTTCAGTAAATACTTTTAACTTTGCCTCATTTAATAGGAATAGTTTCAAAACAGGTCTTTGCTATGCTAACAGATATAAACAAATTTGTGTATAACATCAGTAGACTGAGTTACTCTAGTCCCTTTGAGATAATTATTGAATTCAATACTCTTAACCTGGGTCTGGAGCGATAGCACAGAGGGTAGGGCATTTGCCTTGCATGGAGCTGACTTGACTTCAGTTCCTCTGTCCCTTTCGGAGAGCCCGGCAAGCTACTGAGAATATTCCACACGCATGGCAGAGCCTGGAAAGCTCCCCGTGGTGTATTCGATATGCCAAAAACAGTAACAAGTCTCACAATGGAGACGTTTCTGGTGCCCGCTTGAGCAGATCGATGGACAGAAATAGTGCTACAGTGCTACTCTTAACCTGAGAAGTAAAGGAAGAACAGTAATTACCTAATAGTGGACAGTGAAGATATAAGGATCCAACCCAACTATTCTGTGTGACATGCCTACCAAAATCCATTTTTAACTCCAGCTGCACTACTGAAATGCAATATTCATAAATGAGAATGTTATAGTCACTTTCATATATACTCATTTGTAGTGCCACAACAAAGAGGGACACTCACAACTGGAGTATCCAAAGAAGGGTTCCAAAAGAAAGAGGCATGAATAAAGAAATTAAGACTGAAGAAAGAAGATTCAAGGACTATGTTAGGTGTCTCCAAAATTTGCGGGGCTGCTCTGTGATAAAAAGTGACTAGCAGATAAAGAATCTAGAGAGCCAGAAAACTAGATTAAGGGTGGAATCAGCTCTTAATTTCATTAGCTGAGGCATCAAACAGACTGTACTCCCCTGGAGATAGCCCAGAAAGATGACACAAAATATATATAGTATAAAGACTAAGCCTTGGTGATCACTCTGATTTTTGCATTTCTATTTCATAATACTATATAACAGCTAACTGCATTCATGAATTAAGGTGGCATTTCTCACCAGGGCCTACATGTCTCATGTAGGCCAAATCAGTATATTCCAAGGGGGGTCCAGTGAGGTTAAAAACTGAGTAAGTGGAGAAGCACAGCATAAAACAAGGGGCCACCTCGCAGGAAAAAGGGACTACAGAAATAGAAGATTGGGAAGGTGCCACAGTTAGAAAAATTATGAGAAACACTGGTTTTAGGGCTGATTTGTCTGAGTAATTCTTACACTTCAAATTTTTCCTGCTTGTGCAAATCTTAACCAAGCTGTCAACAGTCCTATTTTTATTTTGTTTTTAGTGGAATCAACCTTTTTGCCAATGAGTTTGTACTATACTGGTCAAAGATAATTCAGTAACTCAAATTTCTAGGAACAAGTCTTTTTACAATTTATAGATGAGTGGCTGCTCCAGGTTTCTAAAACAAATATTGTTCCCACATAGAAACAGCAATGACTCTGGAACTGAGAGCAAACCCCTGATGTTTTTTAAATTCACAAGTCTGTATTTCAAAGATGTACTCACCCTTTTGGCTGATGCTATCACTGCAAAGCAGGCAATAATGGTGAGTCCAATCATTATGTAACAAGCTTTCACTCGAGCTTTGTTTCTTGCAGCATCTATCATTTCTGGTCTAAATCAAGATGTGTAGTTTGTTAATAATATAAAAGTAGTATGGTTTTATTACTGGTGTAATAGACAATGATTTGTTATGTAAATATCCTACACATTTCTGGAAGACAAACAAGATATGAAAGATTTACAAGTGCCAGCCTCAATCCTATTTTTTCAAAAAAAGTAATCTTTCGAATTTAATTAATGTTAGTCACTATGAAATCACAGTGCAGTATATTATTTCTGCTCAAAATTTTAAATGATGCTGCCGAACTCCATAATTTTTCCACTACTAAGGGAAAAGGTAAGAATTTAAGCATATGCTTGTTTATGACTTAAACATGTGTCTCTGTTACAAAGTAGCCTCTCCTTTCAGTTTTGAGCAAGTTAATTTAAGAAACTAAATTTCTATGTTTTTAATTTCCCAGTCTCTTCTTGCCTCCTCCCATCCTAGTTGTATTAAAGAATTTATAAAAACGTTTTTGAGAATGTTTTTATAAAAAATTTCTGAGAGTGTACATGATTTTTGCATGAAGTTTTAAAAAGTGATCAAAATCATAGTAATTTGGCAAAGCAATTTCATTTTCTTGTCATTTTGAAATTTCATATGCTTAAATAATGGGCAGTCTATAGTGGTAAGTCTATTAATAGAATTATAAGCAAATTGTGCAAGATTTTAGTAAATAATGAAAGAGTGCATAGAAGTAATCATGACTATACTGAAATAAATTAACAGTTTGCAACAATATGAAACAAATTATAAAGACATGATGAAAGCATAGTTTGGGGAATGCATTTTGTAGTTTATATATAATGTAATTAAATATTTTTTAAAAATACTCCAGAAAAAATATAACTTAGCATTTCTCTTTAAAATGAAAAACTTTACTCTTAACTCTTCTATTAGTTGAAAGAAGGCAGAAAACAATTTATGTTGCCTGTTTTCCTTAAATGTTAGGGAGAGTGATGCATATTATGTTAGTTGCAAATAGATGATTATGATTACATTATTAGATTATATCTATTATTGACCTTTATTCCAGGTGGAGCTAAAAGATCTGATCTTCTTATCTATCCATCTGGCTTTGATTTGTTACACCAAATTGGTTTACCACTGAAAAACAGTGTACAATTATTAACATAAGTGTATGGTACAAAAATTATAGGTCAATTTGTTAATTATAAGTCCATTAAGAGTAAAAAATTAAAGCTTTTTACACTTAATTTAACAGTAATCTGTCTTCTAAATAATGATGCCCAAAACATTCGAGAAAATAACAAAATGAAAAGCATTTCAACTAAAACTACAATACCTTTCTTAGGCTCAATGTATAAAGTTAAATTCTTTTGTTTGTAATAACTCTTTTTACCATGATCACAAAGAAATGGGTGTCTTCTCACATATAGCTGTATAGTGTCTCTTGACAAGCTTTAATTGTGTTAATTTAGACTATACTGACTTCACATTTAAAAATTTTCTCTCACAAAATGCTCTACATCACTAATCATCAAGGAGATGCAGATCAAAACAACAATGAGATATCATTTCACACCGCAGAGACTGGCCCACACCAAAAAGAACAAAAGCAACCAGTGTTGGCATGGATGTGGTGAGAAAGGGACCCCCTTTCACTGCTGGTGGGAATGTCGACTGGTTCAGCCCTTTTGGAAAACAGTATGGACAATTCTCACAAAATTAGAATTTGAGCTCCCATTTGACCCAGCAATAACACTCCTGGAATAGATCTCAGAGAGACAATAAAGTATAGTCAAAATGACATCTGCACTTCTATGTTCATTGCTGCACTGTTCACAATAGCAAAAATTTGGGGAAAAAAAACCTGAGTGCCCAAGAATAGATGACCAATTGAAGAAACTTTGGTACATCTACACAATGGAGTACTATGCAGCTGTTAGAGAAGATGAAGTCATGAAATTTACATACAAGGGGTTCTACATGGAAAGTATGCTAAGTGAAATGGGCCAGAAAGAGAGGGACAGACATAGAAAGATTGCATTCACCTGGGGAACATAAAGTAACAAAATAGGAGACTAACACCCAAGAGCAACTGAGATAAGTACCAGGAGGTTTACTGCATGACTCAGAGGCCAGCCACACATGCTAGGAGAAAAGGCAGCTCAGATAGAGAAGGGAGCACCAAGTAAAGGGTGTTGGAAGGATCCTCCCAGGATTGGAGATGCATGCTGAAAGTAGACTGTAGACAGAACACGATGACCACTCAATACCTCTATTGCAAACTACAACACCCTAAGGGAAAGAGTGGGCAAAAGGGAATGCCCAGCCAAAGAGGTGGGGTGGGGTAGAGGGAATGGGGTGTGGGGATGGGAGGGCTACTAGGATCATTGGTGGTGGAGAATGGGCACTGGTGGAGAGATGAATACTTGATCATTATAAAACTGAAACGCAAGCACCTAAGTTTGTAAGTCTACAACTATACCTCATGGAGTTTCACTAACTAAAAAAAAAAAAAAAGTTAAAAAATATTTTCTCTCACAGCTGTAGAACTTAAAATCTAGGGTGTTTTTATTTACTTTCATTTTACAAAATGCATAAAATCCTAGGGCATCAGTGAGAAATTGATAGCCAGGACTTATGATAATAAGGATCTTTTTAGATCCTTAAAATTGTGGCAACCGGATGTTTGTAGTATTTTTAGTCCACAAATCTCAGAGGAAAAAAATATGTTTTATAATATTAAACACATATTGAAACCAACTTCAAATTCCACATCCATTCCTCATCAAAGAAGTTGATTCCAAATAGAAATAAAAATAATTGAATTTTAACTGGGTGGACAGTTTCAACTACGGTTTTTTCTTATTTATTTAAGGTAGTTTTGGTGATATACTAAAATGCAACAATACTGTAGGCAAAATATGCAAACCCAGATGAAAACCCAGTTACCACTAAACTCTAATAGCCATTGATTCTGCTCTGCAAAAAATAGACAATATCTGAAATCCTTGACACTACAGATCTGTTATTTTTAAGAACACTCTTAAAAAAAAATAAATTTTTACTGGGACATTTACAGACCAGCCCTATCTCACCCCCAAGTTGGTTGCCCTGGAACTGAACTTGTTAGCTTAAGGGGGTTTTTGTCTTTTTTTTTTCTTTTTGGGTCACACCTGGCGGTGCACAGGGGTCCGAGTTCATGCACTCAGGAATCACTCCTAGTGGTGCTGGGGGTGCGGGGAGAGGGGGGGGGCGGGCAAACCTTATGGGATGCTGGGATTCAAACCCGGGTCTGCCGCGTGCAAGGCAAATATCCTACCCGCTGTGCTATCCTTACAGCCCCAGTTAGCTTGAGTTTAATACTTTCGCGAAGCTGTCACAGGTTTGGGACCCGGCAGAGAGAGGCCACAGGTACCACGGGTGCTCCCCTGGATCCCAGGATGAGAGCAGCGCTGCGCTGGAGGCTCTCCCAGGTTTCCTCCTTCCCCAGAACAGGGGGTCGCTTGGCTTCCTCCCAGAAAATAAACTCTTTGACCTCCCAAGCTCCATGGCCAGCTACTCCTTACTTGAATGGAGCAGAGGGCTTAGCGACCCCCGTCCCGTCTCTGAAGCTCCTCAATCTCTTGGGGTGCCCTCTGTTTAACTGCTCCACTACTCCTCTCTGGTGGAAATGTTCACCAAATTCTGCGTTTTCTTTGCTTTTCTTTCTTTAGTGGTTCCGGGGGACCACACCCAGCTGTGCTCAGGGAATACTCCTGACTCTGCTCAGGGAGGTTTAGGCACCAAATGTGATGCTGGGGATCGAACCCCAGTCGACCGCGTGTAAGGTAAGCTCTCTCCACTGGACTCAGCGTTTTCACTTCAACGACTCCCACTCCCACCCCTTCCCCGCTAGAGATGCCCAAAGTCTGATAAAGCCGGTGAGGATCAGACTTAGGAGGCAGGTGTTATTGAAAAGAACCCCTGAAACGGCGGTCGCCTTCGCTCCAGAGTGCGCTCAACTCGGGAATGTCCCACCCAGAACCCGCCCAGTACGCGCTCACCCGGGCCGTGGCTCTGCATGTACTTACGGGACCCGGGGCGGGATGTCTTCCATGGCTTTGAAACGTCCAGTCCATAGCAGAATTTTTTTGTCGAACTGTGAAGGCTTGAGTTCGGCGGGGACCCGATGAACCTTCCCTGCGGGCGAAAGGAACCGGGATGGAAGAACTCACGGACAGACGCACCACGGACCCACCCCGCGCTCGCCCCGAGCCCTGCAGCCACGACCGGGCTCCGGCGCGCAGCCCGTCACCGCCCGTGCGCGTCCCAGTCGCCGCTCACCCGGACTCTGGGGCCCAGAGCCGCTGTTGTATCGGGGTGCGGCCGGGGCACCGAGAGGTGCCAGCGCGCCCCGCGCAACTGCCGGACGCGCCCCCGGGGCGCAGCGCCGGATGGGCCCCAAGCCGGGGCGCAAGAGGCTCCCCACCGCCGCCAACATGCTGCGCCCCGTTCCCGCGTCCGCCGCCGCCTGGCCTGCGCCCCCAGCGTGGCCCCCAGCGCTCCCGTGGGAGCTCGGGAAGCGCAGCTGGATGGAGCCTCTGACGCCAGCGCTCTAAAGTCCAGGTCTCCGCCTCCGACTCGACCCTGGACCAGGCACGACCTCCGGGGCTGAGTCTCTGGCCAGGTCCGGCCCAAGGGGCCGCCTGCTTGGAGGGGGGAAAACCCCGAGCGTGGAGGCGAGCCGCTTTCTGCACAGCTCCTGCCGCTCGTTTCCCACGCAGATCTCTGTGATGAGTAGAAAATGTTCCTTTCCATCCGGCTTTCACCCTAGGGGTCCGCTGTTTGGTACCCAATATTATAAACCGAGACCAGAAAAGTACAAATGTTTGCCAAGTGACTGTGGGGGATGGTAGACTGATTTCTTATTTTCCCAAGAAGAGGTTTCTTTGAAGTTAGCGCCCTCTTCCAAACTTGATCGCCTTTCAAGGGAAAATAAACTTTTTTTTAATTCTTATTTATTTTTTATTATTTATTATTATTTTAATTTTTATTAGTGACAAACCAAGAGGTACAGTTGTAGACTTACAAATGTTTGTGCTTGGGTTTCAATTATGCAATGATTAAGTACCAATCCCTCCACCAGTCCCATTTTCCACCACCAGGGATCCCAGCGTGGAGGTGAGCCACCCCTCATTCCCCCCCCCATCTCACCCCCCATCCCCCCATCCCACCCTGCCTCTGTGGCAGGGTATTCCTGTTTGTTCTCTCTCTCCTTTTGGGTGCTATGGTTTGCAAAAGAGGCATTGAGTGGCAATCATGTTTGGTCTATTGTCTACTTTCAGCATGCTTCTCCCATCCTGGGCGGATCCTCCCAATACCCTTTATTTGGTGCTCCCTTCTCTATCTGAGCTGCCTGGGAAAACAAACTCTTTGTCACAGTTGTGTTTTCTTTCCTCTCCCCCTCTTCATTTCACCACCAAGTCACCCAACACACTACAAAATGACCCTTTTTTCCACCTTCCACTATCTTTTCTCTACAAGGAAGCAATAAGGGTTGAAAGAGAATCTACTGTTCTCTGGAATCTAAATAAGAAGTGGGAATCAGTCAGAGAAAAAGGTTTTCAGAGCAGCAATCTACTTTGAAGCAATGTTCTGACTCTGCCTGATGCATATTGCAGGTACCATAGGCCCCTGCCAGGTGAAAACGCTCTGTAGGACCTAGCCTCAGCCCCAACCTCCACTTTTCCTGTCTCAGGCTCCTCATGCAAACACTGCCTTGCATTTCTAGTTGGATTTCCAGTTATTTCTTTCTTTTGACTCTCTGGAAGACAGTATCTTCTCTATGACTTTAGAGTATTTCTTCATTTCCTTAGTGTTAAAGAGAATCAACTAATGCCTCCATAAAGTAGTATCTATTTACAGGAGTAAATGTGGAAAGAACAGGGGTTTTATCTTTAAACTAAGACTTAAACCCCTGATTTGTGACTTATAAGTTACAGGATGGGGACCTGAGAGAAAGTTATAGGGGTTAAGGTATTTTTCTGGCATAGGGCCATCTATTTCAGCACAGAGCCTGAGCACAGAACCTGGAGTAATCCCGGAACAGCTCAGGATATGACCTAATCCCTTCTCCCCGACACACAAAAAAAAAGGGGTTTCAGAATTGGGCAAGGACAGTTTAGTGTTTGAGGGCCTGCTTTGCCCCATAGACAAGGTGCTACTTCTGGGGCACTGCTATTTGGGATCCTGAGTGTCACAATAAAGTGCATCCCTGACACTGCAATCAAGTTGTGTATGAGCACAACTAAACTGTACAGCTTTGAGCAAGCACTTCAATCAGATGATCCTTTCACCCATCACTGCAACAACAACAAAGGAAAGAAAAGGGGGAATAACATTGCAAAACCATGAGCAAATAACTGAAGTATTCATCTTATTTATAAAACTAGAATTCCTACCTGTCAAGTTCACTCATGCAACATCTGTGAATAAACCTGCTAAAAGAAGGCTGTCTCTTGGAGGTGGAGATAGAAAGGTAAACAATGTCAAGAGGGAATTAGTAGGTAAGAAAAATAAAGTAGAGTTTACAAAAGCACCAGTAGAGGTTGGGTAGAAACTACTCAGAAAGGATAATTAGCAATAATCCTCCAAGAGTCACTGGCACATAAGAATTCAAAAGATGTTATAATTTCTTTCCTTTCTTCTAAGTTCTTTGTTTAACCAGTCCCAAAACACAGTGACATTTTGATTTGTGAAAATTCCTGTTGAGAGCTTTCCTGTCTTTTTCACCACTAGATCCTCAAGATACAACTGAAAATTTCTTACCATATTCTTAATAAATGTTTGTAAAATAAATTAGAAGATGAATGCAGGAATTCAAAAATAAAATGGAGCCCTAAATCCATTTGAGCTAGATTAAGACTGAAATACTTTGGTTGTGCCACACCACGAACTGAAAGAATTCCTGTCTGAAAAATTGTGTTATCATAGATAATATTTGACAGTTATAGAAATGTGTTATCTAAAATTTCTCTCCTTATTGAAATGTCTTATTAATGATTTTGTTTTTTGCAACAATGAGAAGAATCATCAGAAGAGCTAGAGAAAAGTATCTCTGAGAAACAACCAAGCTTAAGTGGTCCACCACAAGGAATATTAAACTAGCTAAATAAGCTCATTTCCCTGGAGAGAGCCAAATGTCAAGCGTTTACACATGGTTTTCTATCTCAAGCTTCTTAAGTACTGCAGAACTTCAGGGTAAGATAATAAGGGCTTATGTCATGGGAGAAGGAACAATTTGCATTCTATCTCTATTCCTGCTGGGATTAAAATATCATTGTTTGGCATTGGCCTGGTAAAAAATAATTACAGCTGCATGGGAGATATTTTCTTTAGCTTTAGAATAATTGGAACACAATGAAACAGAACTTGAATCGACATCTAATAGAAGAAAGCTGCTAATTGTACTCATTTATTTTATATTCTTTTTCTACTTACAAAAATCAAGACTGCCCATTTGTTCACTTAAAAAAATAGCTGAAACCGTGCCATCATGCCTGCCCAGAGGGGAAAGGGTGTTGCCCCATTTGCCCTCTCCTCTCTGGAAAGAAAGATGGAGGCCGCATGGGAGCCTTGTGGACAGCAGGTCTGAGCCGGGGGTCGGGGGCGACAAAAACCTCATGGGAAGGGGGGCATTCTGGCCCGTCCTTCACGCCCTACTGAGGTCACCAGTTGCCCCCCACGAGCGGCTCTCCAGCACGGCCACGACTCCAGAACACAGAAACCAATCTCTTAATTATGTAACTTTTAGTAGAAATACTTCCAGGGTTAATAAGTAAAATAGCAGAAATCCAAAACTGCGCGGCCGCTATGGTTGGGTATTAAATTTTGGTTGGGTATTAAATTAGGCTATGAGGCCACGCAACATCATTTAATTCTTGAACCCAGCTGTAGAAAGCAAATCATTTCACAACGCTTTTCCAGCATGTCTGATCTGGGGGGGGGGGGGGGGGGCGTAAACTCTAAATAATAATGGTGCATCTTTTATCGAAACAATTAATCTAGTCAAAGTAGATAGAGTGTTAACTAGAACTCATCTGCCTCACAGGAATTGGGAGGGGGTGGGAGGTGGGGTTCTGTTGGGGTTCGTGGTAAAAAATAAGTATTGGTAAAGGGAAATGTGTTCGATATTTACATGACTGAGACCTAAACCTAAAAGCTCTGTAACTTTTCCCACGGTGATTCAATAAATAAATAAATTATAAAAAAAATAGCTGAAAGCTGGAGGAAAAGTATATTGAGGGCACTTGCCTTTCACACAGCCAGCCCAGGTTGGATTCCCGTTCCCCATACGATCCCCCTGTGCCATGTAAGGAGTGACCCCTGAGCACAAAACTGGGAATAAACCTGGGTAAAGCTAGGTGCAGCCCCCAAACAAAAAAATAAAATAAAATAAAATAACTGAGTGCCCCCCTGTGTGTTGCACTCTATTCTCAGTAGCCTCTCAGGTTATAGTGGTGAATATACAGAAATCTCTTCCCCACACAGATCACTTAATCACTTAATCACTTAACTTCCTGTTAGTCGTCGATTTGCTCGAGCGGGCGCCAGTAACGTCTCCATTTGTCCTGTCGCGTGCTAGTGTAGCCCAATGGCATCTGTTCGCTCCGGGAACATGAAGGGCCTCAAACCGATCGTTCATGATCTTGACGAAGAAGTCTGACCATCTGGTAGGTGGGCGGCCACGCGATCTTTTGACATCCCGTGGAATCCAATCAGTAACAGCTCTAGTCCAACGGTCGTCTTTAAATCTCATTACGTGACCAGCCCATCTGATTTTCGACACCTTGGGAAATGAGACAGCGTCCCTGATCCTTGATCGTCGACGGATGTCAGAACTCCGGATTCGTTCTCTCATTTGAGTGAAACGTGATATTCCAAGCATAGCTCTTTCTATTCTTCTTTGGGAGACCTGAATAGCGTTCTCATCCTGTTTGCGTAGGGCCCAGGTCTCTGAGGCATATGTTAATGCAGGAAGAACAGTGGAATCAAAGAGATGTGCCCGGAGCCGGAGGTTCTTCATCCTCTTAGCTATTTCTTCGACGTTCTTGAAGGCGTTCCAAGCCGCTCTCTTCCTCCTGCGCAGCTCAGGTGCCAGGTCATTTGTCATGTTGACCTCTCGACCTAGGTACACATAGCTGTTGCATTCGGAGATGGTCGTTCCATTGAGAGCGAATGGGGCGTCAGGAACAAGGCTGTTTCTCATAAACATTGTCTTCGTGAGATTCAGCTGTAGTCCTACCTTTCCACACTCATGGTCAAAGTCGGCCAGTATTTGTGCCGCTTGGCTGATGTTTGGTGTTATTAAAACAATATCATCAGCAAAGCGGAGGTGGTGTAGTTGCCGACCATCTATTTTCACTCCCATTCCTTCCCATTCCAGTCATCACATGATGTTCCTGAGGGTGGCACTGAAGAGTTTCGGTGAAATGGTATCACCCTGCCGCACCCCTCTCTTGACATCAACGATCACTTCTTTGTAGAATGGTGAGATCCTGGTAGTGAATCCGCAATACAGCTCACGGAGGATCTTGATGTATTGGGCTTGAATGCGCTGATTGGCTAGG